ACACCTCCAAACCCCTGACCTCCTCTGCAACCTCCCATTTCCCCCGCCTTGATCTGGCCCTGATTCTCAACCAATGCATAGTCCAACTGGTCCCAGAATGCCGCAGATTGCTTGACCCGTTCGTCCTCGGTTCTGTCATACACCCACCGAGTCCTTCCAGATCGCAAAGTTGGTATTTTTCCATCCGGTGAGCCAGGGAGAATCAGTAGGGGGTTCTTGGGCGGTGGCTTTTCCAGGAAATGAGTCACCCCCGTCTGGCAAGCAAGGGTGTCCAGGTGCACTGATATAACCGACTTGGAGCCGTCGGCGCGATCGTGAAGTCGGTGAAGGGCGTGGGCACCGGGATAGTTGGTTATTGAGGCAGGGAGGAGGAGGAATGTGGAAACGAGGAATGCGGCTATGGTAGAGAGGACAAGAGCGATTGACATGAGTCGGTACCATGAGGATTTTCTGCGGTGAATCCAAATGTATGATGCGCCAAGGGCAGCAGTAGCAGTGAGCGATGGGATGGTGTATAGGATGAATCGCCATTCCTTGTGTGGTTGAGTACTTATCAGGGCGATGAAGGCGAGAGATGGAGTGAGAAGGGAGAGCGCAGCATGTCGCCTCGCTGGAACAAATGACATGGGAATGGCGACTATGTAGGCGAGGGGGTTAAGCAGGAGACGAGGAATGGCGCTGGTCAAGTAGAAGTGCCATGGATGAACGCCCCAGTCCGATGCCTTTCCGGACACAACATTATAGAAAAACGCTGAAAGTTCAGGCCAGAGCGGGAATCTTTGCCAAAAAAATGAATCAATGGGTACTGAAACCAGCAGTGCAATCAAAACGCCAGATACGCCGGCGGGGACGATCTCCCGCCGGATACTGATGTTGCCTTGTAGCCAGTGATAGACGGTGATGGTGCCCAGTAACAAGGCTATTTCTGATCGAAACACTATACCTGTAATAGTAAGGAGATAGAGACAGAGTCGGTATCTTCCGCTCGACGTTCGAAGCTTTGAGCTGGCATCCAGGAGAATGGTTTGCAAAGCAAGGGTAGCTATACATGGCTGTGAGCTTCCCATCGATGTATGCGCCGGCAAAAGGGGGACTCACTAATCCCAAACGCGAACATATTCGGAAGTGTCCGAGAAGCATAGTATATCACATGGAATTGGCTTGCCTGGAGCAAGATATACCACACCCCAGCCTCCTTGCCAAAAGCCCGTCTCACAGCGCGGGCATAAAACATCAAAGCAACAGCATTGAATGCGCCCAAAATTCCTCTCACTTTTGACAAATCAGCAACAGCTCCGTAAGCACACGCAACAAGCAGTGAGGTTTTTCAAGCATAAAATTCCGTACCCAACAATTGGCTCTGTAGTTTTGCATTTATCCATATCAACGGTCTCGCGACGCCCGCAAGCAGCAGAGCTCCCACAAAGGTCCGCGGCACGGCACCAGGAAACGTAAAGTGGTCATAGTTTTCGCGCAATTCCTTTGGAATGTTCTTCGATGGAATCCCGTATCTTAGAATGTCGTGGACGGCCTGGATGTTGAAGGATTCTTCCACCTTGGTGTAGGGCGAGAGAACAAGGTGGACGGAGATGAGGAATGGGACTGAAAGGAGCAGCAGTAGCTCTGTTTCATTTTCCGTTAGTATTGCAGTTATATTGTTGGAAAAAGGCGGGTGATTTTACTTCCCAGTGAGCTTCGCCATTATTTCCCGCCGTCCATCTGCAGCTTGCTTGCTGTGCGGTCAACTCGCTGGCTATGAGCTTCTCTGACGGACAAGGACAGCTCAAGCTTCGGGAACATCAAGACCAAACAAACCTCCTTGAATACCATACTCACCACCTACTTCACACAACAACACGTTAAAAGACCTCCTAGGACTTTGAATCCCAAATGTGTTCTCGATAGAATCCCATACAAAATGATCTTCTTCATGTTCGGAAAGCTTCTCTACGGTAACACCCACTCCTCTTAGGCTACATACAAAAACTAACCAATGCATATCATTTCCTAGTCATCATCCTAATCATCAACGCCATCGCCATCCTCTCCGAAGACAGATTCCTTGCCAGAAGTATACAAAGCCCCAACCTGCCCGCGCCGCTTCCTGCTCCCCCGCCTCAATACCAAGTTCCCCTCCCTTCCAATCCACAGACTGACATTCTCCCTTTCCCAGTTGGCTGGGGCCGTACCCAGTCCGATCCCGGCTTCGGTTCCGCACACGATGACTCCAGCATCAAAGCCAAATCCGTGAATCTGATTGCCAGCGTGCGAACGGTCATGAGAAGTACGTTTCAATTCCCCTCCCCAGGACGGCTTGATGTCGAGGGACGCCATAGGTCTATGCAGGCGTCTGGATAAAATGCGGTGTGATAGCTGACGGCGGATATCTACCCTTATTTTTTTAGTACCCCTAATCGCTATCAACACTATTATAATACTCTACGAAATCATACTGGGCTAGAGTTTTGGTTGTTAGCCCCTTTGCCAGTTGCTTTGGGCTAGTACGGGTTTCGACCTTGGTCGACAGCACCCGTTTGCCGATGAGGATAGATATTTCTCTCCCGTTTGAAGCCCCTTCTGTCACGGCTCTGATCACGAAAAGTTGCGTGGATATACAAATTTATTTTATCAAATTCTATGTGCAACGGCGTTGATTTACGGGCCATCTCTGTATGGATATGAGATTGATGAGGACTCGCTCGGGAGTAGTGAGAAACAAAGGAAGCATAGTATGGAAACAGAGCTGGCCGTGCACTGTAGGCCAACGCATTTCATTACAGGCAGCATATTGTTATGGGGCGTCTAACTCCTTGAGCAAGTATCTCCTATCGGCAATACAGGAAAGAATATACAATCATTCCATCTCTACGGCGCTGAATAATTCATCGACAATATCATCAAATTGAAGATTATAATTATTACATCGATCGCCTGAGCGACATTGTACCTCTTGAGGACAAGAGTCGTCCAGAGAGATAACATCAGAAAGCGAAACGCCTGCAGGAAACATTACCGCAAACACGTCCCTTTGGATATATATATAGGTCACTCCGGCACCAATTTCCAATCTCATTCGTTTCATCGGAGCAATGGCAAAGGGTAAAAGAAAGTAGAAAGTTAAGAACGCGGGCACCGTATTACCATTATCCCATTTGTTCGGTTCAACTTGGGTTCAGGCGTGGCAGACATAAAATCCAGACGAGGTAAAAAGCTCGGCATCGTACACATGCAAGACCGGGACCAGATCATCACTCAGCAGAAACAGCGGCAGTCAATATATGCACGAAATTTAAAGATTGAGGGAAGAAGCAGGAGAGTCCCATCCTGCGCACACAAAGAGTAGGTATGTGGAAAATAGTAAGGAGAGTCATTTATACCACCAGGATCCCACCTCTTCCTTTTAAGTGAAACTTATGGCATGGGCAAGGAGAAAAGAGCATCTATATACAAAATCATAAATCCAAAAGTGAAATTCGATGCAGTGAGGTATATAAGCGAAGAAGTGTAAAATGGATGAGGACTCCACGCACATTAGGGGGTGTCCATCCTATGCAGTAGAAAAAAGAGCACCAACAAACAGGACAGTACGAGATGGGTACTATTGCTCAATCAAAAAGGAGATAGAGGAGCGAACAGGTACACGTAGAACTAGAATACACTAAAGGATTTTTTCCGTAAATTGAAACGGCTTCGCTTTGAGGAGGGTTCTCGTCGAGACTTTTTGAGATCACCATTGCTGCTGATATGAGGGATCTTGGGCAATGTATCAGCACGATAGTTGAGAGATTTCCGTTCCTGCGTGGAGACAGTGGTGGCGTTCGTCGAATCGTCTTTGTCGTCATCCGTTGAAGCATTGGACGGCTGCCCAGGGGACGAGACATCTGTAGTCGATTCTGGCATGCTGTTCAGAGGCGGTACAGGCGGTACAGGCGGAGCGTCTGGCGGCGGGGCTGTATTATTCCCCTTCTCTCTGTTGAAAATCTTGGACTGGCTGATGCTCCTACTCCCAAGTCGGAATCTATTAAGGCCACCTTTTGTGTTTTCCTTTTCAGCTTTGGCGGCATTGAGTTGATCCTCCCGGGCTTTTGAAACTCTACTTTGTGCCAATGCGGCTCTGAGCTGGGATTCCTCCAATTCTCTGGCATCTTTGGTTTGCTTTTTTTGCTCCCTTTCATGCTCCTTTTTCTGCTTTTCTTCCTCTTTCCCCGCTCTCGACCGCTCAAATTTCATCCGCATTTCGCTTATGTTGGGGATAGAAAAGGGGCTGGGAGATTTTATTTTAGGCGTAGTATTAGGAGGCGAGGTGGACACCATTTCCCCGGGGTTTGGAGCGAGATTTGCGGGTGCAGTTGTTGTTGACATCAGCGGAACTGTCTCGGTGGTAGGTATTGCGTCCACAGCACTCTTGGTTCGATCTATCTTTGCCGGAGACACTGACTGTCCGTTCGCTTTCGCCAAGGAAGAGGTACAGTCTTTCGATTCCGCCGCATTTCGAGGAGTCTGCGCTTTCTCTTTGGCTAATTCTCGCGCCATTGCTTCAGGCGTGGTCTCTTGGTAAAATAGCACGTAGGCAGAACCTAGGCCAGGGCGATCTCCGAAGAAATTTCGAACGAAACTCTTATCGACGGGTTCGACCATCTCGTCGTCGAAGAGAAGCCAGCCTCTATCCACGGTCTTTATGATAGCAACATAGTGCCCATGATACGGCCCACCGCCAATATGCACCACGACAGCGTATAACTCATAGAGGCGATCTGGGTCTTCAGCATCATCTGTTGTGTTAAATAAACGTAAATAGTAAGGGTATACCACTCGATGAAATAACTTTTGCAGTCGGTCTAATTCTTCGGAATATTTGAATCTCTTTAGATGTAGTGCCAAAACTTTGGGTAAACGTTTAATTTTCATTCTTTTCTCTGCCTCTTGCAGGCCTCCGCAATTATCACAGTGGAACTTGTTGCGTTCACAGAGGACCTCCTCCTCTGAGAATTTTCGCAGACACGCCGTCACCGATGAATGCTGCTCGAGGTCAACGGATAAATCGAGAAACACTTCATCTCGTTGTGAAACAGTTTCACACGTGAGACATTGCGTTTCTGAGGTCAAGGTTCCTTCAAAGAGTTCGTGGACCCATCGAGTGTTTTGGGATTTGGAAGGAACTGTGGAAACAGAGCTGTCCGTCGCGGTTCGTTCGGATGCTCCCTCGCTATCATCAGATTCCTCGTCCGCATCGGACAAAAGCTGGGCAGCCTCTACGTTAGATACGACTTCATTCAGGAGCAGATTGAGGAACTCATGGGCATCCTGGTGCATAGTTGTTCTGAACATTTCGTGTTCTCGCCGCAGAACCTCCAAGAAGTGATATGGGCGAATTACGCCCATCCGTTCTGGACTCGCGGCAACGGCTTCAAACATGTCTTTTAGCGAAGTGAAGAGCGACTCTTTCATCCCATAGCTAGCGGAATTGTCTGTCGTTTCTAGCAAGGGGAGTGTATGCAGGGCAACCTTCTTTTTGTATTCCCCCGAGTCTTTATCCTCCGGCTTATGCTGCTGGGCGGGAGGGGCGTTGACAGGCTTTCCAGGTGTATTCGGTTTTGGTGTCGCATTTGGCGGCTGTTTCGGTTTGAGAAGTTCTTCGAGGGGGATATTCGGATCGGGGTAATGAAGGTTATTGGCCAGGGCATCGGTTAGGACTCCAGGAGGTGAGCGTCGAGGGTAATTGATCACGGACTCTCGGAACGGGACGGAGTAGAAGAGACACTGAAGAATCGAGTTGCAGTAACTATCGAGGGGATGAATGTTAAAATGGAGAAAAGCATGAAAAGCAAAAGGCAGAGGGATCCTTACCAGGTGTTACCGAATTGCGCCTGGGGGTTGTTAGTACCGTCCACCTCTGCCGTCGGAATCGATGAGAGTCTTACGTTTTCCATTCCAAAAAACTTGTCACTCCCATCATTCCGTAGCGGCCCAGCGTCCTGCAGCATTTTCTGCAGAGCTGTGGGCGGTGGAGGCACAGGCTCTTTTTTCGGCGGCGCGGAGGGCTGGACGGCATTTGCAGAGGCCTATTTGGTTCCAACGAAGGGCATGCGGTCAGTTCAATGACAGATTCGAGACGCAGGAGGCAGTGTGGCACATCCACCGATGTACCAACTTTGAAAAACACTCACAGAGTTGCCTCTGAGCTTTGCCAGCAAGGTCATTGTGGAATCAGGCTCGCTGCAGCACTCTCCAAACAGTCACGGCTCGCCGCACGGCGGCGGACCTAGGCCTGGCTGTTCAGAACCGCGAGGTGAGATAACCGGAGGAGGGGTGAACTTTTGAGCGCAATACCAAACCTCCAAGGCTTTCAGGTAACGGTTCGCGGGGGGGTTCGTCTGAGATGGGGAGGAGAGGTCGTTCGTGACAGTGGAAGCGACCCAGCGAGGGCGGCGGTCGCTTCAATGGGCTTGATACGGGGTCGGTTACAGATAGACCAACTGCGACCTCCAGCCGAGACTCGATTCCGCGATCACTAGCCACGAACGGTGACGGAGGTCGGGTTCGTGCTGCTTTAGATTTGGTTTGTCGCACAGCTCAGTTGGCAACGTCCACGGTCGAGATGAAGATTAAGAAAACGGCAAAGGGGGTTTGCCAAGGTAGAGAGAGCGAGGACGAGGGAGCCGTGCACGGTTAAAGCAGGCAAGGATGGAGGCAGCAGGAATCCGTCGCTGGAGGTAGCAGCCCAGCGTCGCGTTGATGCAGCGGACGGATTCTGCTTTTTTTGGGTTGATGGCCAAGTTGCTACTAACTAATGATTCCCTACGAGGCACTGCTGGATGGCGGTTCACGCGGTACCAAGCGGACAGCAGAGAAGCCCAGAAGAAGGTTCCAGCGGGATGGCGTGTCTCAAGAGGCAACAGAAGCTTGTCAATTCTGCTGAGCTGTGTGTCTTTTGAATCAGTCTCCTGTTGCATCTCTCGTTCTCCCGAAATGGCGCAGCATCAGCCAAGAACGAAAATGCAACTCATTGGGCAAACGAAAATCCCGAGCAAAAAGCAATATTACAATTCTCGGCACGATCGAGGGTTCCGCCAGCCTGAACGTGTTTGATCGATCTATCCGCCATCGTCATCTGGCCCAAAGGGCGACTTCTGCTGCCTCTGCCAGGCCCTCTTGTCCACGAGGCGACCCAGGGATCCAAAACGCTCTCCAGTCAGGGCTGGGCTGCCAGGCGAGATGGGCCCAGGGTGGCGGGCATGATCACAATAAGAATGTGACACTGTGGCACCCTGGAGCTGTTCTGTCACCCAGCAAAGCCTTATGACAGGTGAGGTCTCTCCTCGAGCCGCAACAGCCCTCTGTCTTTTTGACGTGTGCTGTTCCATGGGCAAAAATGCTTCAGGCATTGGACTTTTGCCAAAGCCAGGACAGATGCGCCAGGCTTCTCGCTCTAGGTTTGCCTGTTCCAAGGTGCCGCCGCTGTCATTGCCAGTTCCCAGCACTGCGAGTTGACCGGCGACAAGCTTTGGCTGGATTTCCGTAAGCTTTCGCCTGGGGCTTGGTTTGTCTGGAGGCTACAGTGACGACCTAATGCCCATAAGCCTGCAATGGTGCTTTTGTAGCCTTGATATATCTGTAATCTGTTTCCTGTTTACCCCATCGGACGGAAAATAAGCCAGGCGATGCTCCGTAGCGCAGCATCCAATCACCCCGGCATGGAGAATTCCCCGGCTGTCCGTCCTCGAAGTAACCGGCTAACCGCCAATACAACTTGACTGCTTGGACAAGCATTCTTGGACGCGGAGACTTTGCCCCCGTCACCGCTTTGTTCGTCGAGATACAGAGGCCATGTTCCAGTCAACCCTGGCCGTGGTAGTTGCAAGTACCTCGCATGGAGGACCAACAGGTAGAGGATATGCATATGCACGAGTCCCGACATATCACGAGAGCGGGGAAGCGATCGAGATCCCAAAGATTGGTAATATAACAAGAACGATAAATGTCCCGACGACGAGATGCACTTCGGAAGCACACCGAGGCTCAGCGGTCTTTTGTCGTTTAGAGAAGACGGCCAAACAGTCCTCTTCCTTCAGATAGAAAATGATTTTGAGATAGAACATGGATGCAAAACTGTGTTGGAATCCAAACAATCTAGGCAGACCATCCCATGCTGTTGTGCATCTCTTTTGATCCGCTGATCGCCGTCCAACTCACTAGAAGGCTTCTAGAAGACTTGAACCAGATTGATTCCCAGGTTCAACCCTGCACCTCAGATTGTTCCTCCAGTGATTGTTGTCTATCCCATGCTATGGAGTTACGGTCAATTGCAATGCGGTGACATGCACCAGAACGCAAATGAATGGACAGAACAATCACAGAAATCCAAACAAATACCCTGTTCGTGATGGTCAATGTTTGATTGCTTGTTGATTGCTCTCCAACACAGCGTCAGTAGCAATCACAGCGCGGCAAACCAGGCACTGGTAGGAGTATATATTCACTGCTTATGTCTGTTTACTTCATTCCTTTTCGATCACTGCAGCATGGCCCATGGGTGTTGGCCATGTCTATTAGTATATATAATCAGTGACGAGGTTTCAAAACTCATTACCTTCCTGATCATTGAGTTTGATACCAGTCGCTGTCACTGCGACTCCCAAGGCATGGCGATACCCCAACCAGGGCGCTATATAAAATGCCCATCTTTTTCTGGCATGATGTGGCTTTCCATGCCCGACGTGCAATATATTCCTCCAGCCTACGAAGTATACCGGAGCTTACAAGAGCGATCGCAAAGAAACCTGGACCGCAAACCTGCCGGCAATATTCTCGATTCAGAACGCAGCGCAACTGCGGATCTCGCCTGTCTCCAAGACATATATATACGTACAAGCTCCGCCCTTGAAATCACCCAAGGACAAAATGGCACGCATGACGGGGTTCGCCAGGTCTCGTGGAGGAGACATCGAAATGGGCCGAATCGGAGGTCCATCGGGAACAGGAGGCGGCCGAATCGGAGCACCACCCCCAGAGGCAAGCTTGGTATGCCTCGGAAATTCCTTAGCTTGCGGCTGCATGGTTACAATCGCCCTGGTGGTCATCGCTGGGATCGTCATTGGGATTCTATTCGGAACGAAGACGATCAAAACTGGGGGAAAAGAATGGTAGTATAAAACTATCACTCGAGGCGATGGAGTCTAACGCTTCGACATGTTATAAAAGTATTCGCTTTGGGAAGTTCGTTCAGCGGAGGCCGATTTCGAAAAGATTTTGATTGCTTGCGGAGGAGTCTGGCGTTACTGTGCCTGGAGTTTTTTGGCGGATATAGAGGACATGGTCCCGTTGGACACATAGTCAAACCATTAGAGATGCTTGTTGCACTTGGGATGTAATAACAATGCGATGATAGAATTATATCTTTGATGCCATAAAATGAATTTGATACGGAATGGATCATCCCTTTTCCGGCATCGATTTGTGACTCAAACAATTTTGCTCGCGGCGTACAAAAGCGCAGAGGGAGTGGTCAATTGGATGCTTTTTTTTCTTCTCTCTCTCTTCTAGACCTGTCTGTATTGCTCTTGGATGAGGGCTCCCATTCCGACCCTTCTGTGGCCTCGAGGAACCACGACCGTCCGCGGCCTTCAGCTGCGCAATTTGATCCCCGCAGCCACCTCGTTCGCGGCGCTCCCTCCCCCCACTTGCCGCCCTCGCAACCAGTTCTTCCCACCGTCCTACCACACGAAAACCGCAGAGCCCAAAATGCCAAAGGACAAGGTGTCGTTCAACCTCAAAACCCCCAAGGGGACCAAGGACTGGTCTGGCGGCGCCGCCATCCTCCGCGACCGCATTTTCACCACCATCACCGATGTCTTCAAGCGCCACGGCGGCACCGCGCTGGACACCCCCGTCTTCGAACTGCGCGAGATCCTGGCGGGGAAATATGGCGAGGATTCAAAGTTGATCTATGACCTACAGGACCAGGGTGGAGAGCTGTGCTCGCTCCGGTATGATTTGACGGTGCCTTTTGCGCGCTGGCTGGCCATGAACCCGGATGTGCGAAGCATAAAGCGGTATCACATTGCCAAGGTGTACCGGCGTGATCAGCCTGCGATGACCAAGGGCCGCATGAGAGAGTTTTATCAGTGTGATTTCGACATTGCGGGCGCGAATTTCGATCCCATGGTTCCCGACGCGGAGATCCTGCGCATTGTCGCCGAGGTGTTTGACGATTTGGGCTGGAAGGGGGATTATACTATCAAGATCAACCACCGCAAGGTCCTTGACGGAGTGTTTGAGGTGTGCGGTGTCCCCAAAGAAAAAATAAGAACGATTTCAAGCGCCGTGGATAAATTGGATAAACTGCCTTGGGCTGAAGTGCGCAAGGAGATGGTCGATGAAAAGGGATTGGATCCAGCTGTTGCAGACAAGATTGAGACATATGTAGTTCGAAAAGGAGGCAGAGAGTTACTGGATTCCTTAAAATCAGACGAAACTCTTTTCGCGAATCCATCCGCGAAACTAGGATTAGAGGAGATGGGCCTACTGATGGATTACCTTGAGGCGTTCAGCGTCTTGGACAAGATATCGTTCGATATGAGTTTGGCACGAGGGCTGGACTACTACACCGGCGTTATCTATGAAGTTATCACCGAAGGATCTGCTCCTCCCACCGCATCCTCTGCACCAGAAGCGCAAAAGCTACAACGCTCAGGGAAGAAGGACAAGGCCAAACTAGACGCTGACGAAGATCGGTCAGATGATCCTACAATTGGTGTGGGCAGCGTGGCCGCTGGAGGTCGCTACGACGAGTTGGTCGGCATGTTCTCGAATAAGGCTCAAATACCCTGTGTTGGCATTTCTTTCGGCGTGGACCGCATATTTTCAATCACCAAGGCTAGAATGGAGCGTGACAAAAAGGAGACCCTCAAGAACAGCGAGGTAGATGTTTTCGTTATGGCGTTTGGAGGAAAAGGCTTTACCGGCTTGCTGAAAGAGAGAATGGATATTTGCAAGACGTTATGGGAAGCCGGAGTCAAGGTAAGCGGCTTCTTAATAGTGTCGTTTCATGTTTCAATGCTGGCTGGTTAATTAATTCAATCGCGCAGGCTATATTTTCTTACAAGGTCAAGCCAAAACCTCAGCAACAATTCACAGCTGCTGAAAGTAGCGGTGCCCCTTTTGCGGTCATCCTCGGTGACGACGAGCTTGCAGCTGGCGAAGTACGGGTCAAAGAAATGGGTTTACCAAAGGGTCACCCAGAGAAGGATGGAGTACTCGTGAGGATTGAAGCGCTCGCATCGGAAGTAAAATCAAGAATAGAGAAGAGAAAGGCCAGAGTGGACGGTGGAATTGAAGAAGAAGCAGAGGTGGCGAAAAAAGTGGAAGCATTGGAAGTTGCATAGACAAACGGCTAAGGATGGGATACCCAGTCTCAACTATTTGAAGCAAAAGTCGTTGAGAATATGACGATTCATTTCTCATACGGCACTGCGACTCGTATGCTGTTTTGTTACCTTCTTACAACCCTAGAGCGGGATTGCATGGCATGAGCACGGTACTATAAAAAGATAGATCTAATGACTCTTCGCCAGATTACTTGATTTGAGTGGTTTATGAGTTCTATCATTTCCTTGCATGTTCCATTGCAGTCCGCCGAATCAGTAGGCCTTCCCAAGGATGCTAGGGTGATATATATACCACAAATAGACTGAGCCTTGATGCTCTTACAAGCTGTATAACCTCATCATGAGCCTTGTGGCTACATTTACACCGTCCCGATGATATGATACAAGAAAAACCCACGAGATCCAGGCGTTTTACAACCGCCCTTTTCAAGAGCCAGAAGCAACCTTCATCAACAGGTCCTTGACAGCCGGAAACCGATTCACCGTATCCAAGCCAAACCCTCTCGCCCACGCCACCGGTCCGTTTCCAGGAACATTATACAGCTTATGAAGAAAATCGCACCCGGCGCCGATCTTCGCGTTCGGGATCCATCGCTCAGAGGCATACCGCTCCAGACTTAGGAGGTCGCCGACATCCATGCCGTGCAGCACGGCGTATTCAATGGTGCCGTGAAGGGACGCTACGTCGGCGATGCCTAGGTTCAGTCCCAGCCCGCCAAGCGGGTGGATAACGTGCGCCGCATCCCCGACGAGGGCGATTCGTGGAGATATATAGGTCGAAGCGTGGCGGTGTCGGAGGGGGAAAGAGGCGATGGTCCGTGGGTGCACGCCGCCGACTGTGGGCGGGAGTGATGATTCGGGAGCAGTATGGTTTAAGCGCCAGGACAATTCCTCGCCATGTTGATTGGATGCATCTGAGGTGGATGAAGGGAGTGTGAACATGTATTTTAGGTCCGTCATGGACAGGCGAAACGCGGCGTTGACCATGGCCGTGAACGCTTCCGGGTCAAGAGACTTTAGATATGCGGCATTTTGCACCGTTGTCGACCATACCAGCGTCGCATAGTCCCCAGGAAGAGGGAGCATGGCAATCGGGCCGCCAATACCGGGGAGGAATCGTTGGTAGGCGGTAACAGGTTTCGACAGAGACGAGGAACCTGCCGGTGACAATTCCAGCGTAGCCACCACGCCGTGTCGATTGTAATCCCATCCATCCGTAGATATACCCGCAAACGATCGAACCGGACTATTAATCCCATCCGCCCCAACCAGCAGCCGCGCAGCAATCTTCGGCAACGCACCCCGCTCCCCCGTCATCGTCGATGCAGCCGGCGAGAGCGAGAGCACCGGCCACGCAGACAGATCCGGCCCATCCACATGGTCCACCCCGTTCTCGATCGCAGCCACAGTCGTCGACGAGAAAACCGACACTTCATCGCCCAACGACTCGATCCGAGACAGTAGCCCCTTGATCAAATTCGCATTCTCCGTCATCGTCGCGATGGTCTGGGATGAGCCGCCCGGGAGCAGATTCGAGGACCAGTCAAACGAGATGCGCGACCCGTTGGCGCCGTCCCACACCTCCATCTCCTGGTAGGGCTGAACGCGCGAGGTGTCGACATGCTGCCAGGCGCCGATGTTTTGGAGAAAGGATACCGATGAAGGGGTCAAGCTGCTCACGCGGTTGGAGAATTGGCTGGAATCAAGCTTCCAATCCCGCGCTCTTTTGATATCCTGGCTTTCGACGAGGGCAACTTTTAGCTTCGACGTGATGGGCGAGGATCCTAATCGAAAAGGGGTACTCGATTAGCTACATATTCAAGAAAGGAATAATTAAAAGGGAGATTGAAGATAGGTATCCTACTCAAAGCTGCGAGAAGCGCGAGTCCGGCCGGTCCGCCTCCCACGCAGACGATATCATAGATTTCCGGCAATTGGGACGCGGCGGAAGTGGAGGCGAACCTCTTCTTCCCGAGCAGACCCTGCCTACATGAGGGACAGATGTAAGATGTTAATTTTGGACGGAAAAGTAGCCGCATGGTGGGCGCTGCAGAGAGAGTGTGTTGTGTGAGGGAAGAAGTTCTTTGGAAGCTTTCTGTCAGAGCACCACTCCTTGGCCAGAGCTCTAACCACTCGGTAAATCCGACATACAGATTATCAGGACATTCTGCCAGAACAAGTATGGAATGATTATTAGATAGATGTTTTTAAGGCATAAAATTCGTACCAGGCCCCAAAAAATAAAGCAGATAACTAGCTGCTCACAGTTAACACCATGGCTCAATTTGTAAATCATACAAGAAAACAGTCCAGTATTAGGTACTATTTATCCGGAGGGCTCCCCTGACTGCCTCGCCCTCATGACACTTCATTCGGTGGCCTTTGATTCTCTCTTTGGTGCGCGCTCTCCTCTTCGCCATCTTCCATCTCGACAATGAATCTTTCCCAAGTCGCGAGCACGCCCTGGTAGAACTCGACATGCTTCTCTGCCATCGCGCCCAAAGTGTCCCGGAACTCAACGGCTTTGATGCGCTCAAAGTCGGCGATTTCCCGGACCACTTCTTCGTCAAACATCTCCGACGTGGTCTTTGCGCTTTCAACCTCACGGGTGAGTTCGTCAATGCGAAGTTCCAGCTTTCGCACCCGTTCTCGACGGGATTGCTCGTGGTCGACACCTCGCATGTCTTCCATCTTGGAGCGAATGAAAGACGCAGGATTACTTGTGAGGGGGTTAGTAGCATGATATGAAGCAGGATTATTAGCCAGATTATCCCGATCCGAAACGGCCTTGTTGCGGTAGTCGACCAGAGCTTCAAAATCAAGCTGCTTTTGTTCTCGGGTCTTCAAGAGCGTCTTCAGAGAGACTATGTATGCCTCCATATCACGAAGGCTGCCAAGGTAATTCTGATCAGTGTGGTCCTTCAATGACTTGATCCCCCTGGTGGTCTCTTCTATCGAAGCCGCAAATATTTGCAAAGGAACTTCAAGGTCAGGTTCCAATGCGACAAGTTTCCGGAACTGCATCGCAAGGTCACTGTAATCGGTTTCCAAATCATTCTCCCGCCTCGCAACGCGAGCAACCACCTTCTCAACATGGTTCAAGTCTTCATCGAGCTTGTCCGCCTTTTCTTTGACCTCAATGAACCGCTTATCCGGTTTATGAACTTTGGTGAATGCGTTGACAAACGTGTCTGCGAAATTGTCGAAGATGCCTGTTGGCCCACCATCCGATCCGCTAGTGGAAGCCCGCGAAGGTCGCATTCTCATGTGCGCATTCCAATCCGGCGACTCAAGGAACACCACCAAAACCGGAGCGCGCCGGAGGACCGGGTGCAGTGTAAGGCGTTTGATGAAACGATGCAGCGACCACGCTCGGCGATGGGTGAAGTCGGGACCGAACCTGTCTCCCCGAACGTATTCCATCTTGTGCTTGTCCGGCAGCGGGGGGACGGCACATGCTGGGTACTCTCTGTAGAGTGTCTTATACAGGTAGTAGAAATCCGTAAAGCGCCGTCGAACAGAGAACTCGGGTTGTTGGAAGGATTTGAAATCAGTCTATGCCATCTCACAAACGTCAGGATCAACAACCCTCATCACACGGATGGAAATGCCAGTAGATATGCCAGGAAAGACCAACGTGGGTAGTAACAAGGTAGGACACATAGGCATCCTTCGTGCCATCGTTTTCCTTCAGCGGCGAGCCCACAGAGCACTCCAGCACGCCGTCAAGGCTCGAAAAATCTCCCATATCATCGTGCGTGGGCGGGAGCTGCTCTTCGCTTGCCGAGCTCATCCGCCGCTTGCCATTGATATCATGAGTCGAAGGCTCGGTGTCTTCGGTGTCGGTGTGCATAGCCGCAGGGCCGGAGGCTTCACTCTCAGTGTCATTCCTCCACGACACGGTGTCGAAATCATTGTGGTCCATCGCACAGACGGGCTTCACCACTGGCAGCAGGGCAGGCGCACGACGGATCTAGGAGCCTAGGCAGTCACGATAGTGGGCGATCTCAACTTCCAGGGGCGGCGTCAATGGAGAACAAATCTATCATGTAGTTTACCTTCAATCACGACAGCAATGAGCAGCAACTGCAAGATCCTCAATCACCATCACAAGTGCATAGAGAGCAGGTCAAGCGCGAAGACAGCTTTCAGGCTGATGACCTAATGCGGGAATTCACGTGGTTTGTGGGCGGAGTGCGTCACTGCTTGCTAGCGCCCAATGTAGTTATCCCAGCACCAACAAGATCATCAATGTTTGTTATTCCAGATGTTGATAAAGGAGTTGGCTCTACTTGTTGGTCAAACACAGAAAGGATTGCATGATGCCACTGCACCGTGGAAGAAATTTGATTAAAAGATACTATTGTGTCAAAGAACATCCATCATCCATTGAGATACCCATTGCGACCCCGATAATCCTCCAGATGCTTCCTCGTGTCGGTGAAATAAGAACGAAGATGGCGATCCGCTAAAAGTGGTGAACGAGGTGACTTTGGTGACCGTGGTGTATCGCCGGAAAAGACGCGTTGATCGAATCGAAAATATCAAAAACGCCACTCGAGACCGACTCCTATCGCTTTTTTTGTGTTTTCATTCAACTCCAGTTCAATGCCGCCCTGCGAGAAGTAAAAAAGGTTTCGCCCTTCGAGACAAGAGATACAGCGCAAGCCGGAAAAAATCCATCGCCATTGGAACGACCCCACTGAAACCAATTACACAAGCTGCAGCTTCACATCCGGAGTGGAAACCCTGACTTTCAAACACAGCACATCGCGACCCGGCCTGGCCTTCAACAAGCCCAAGGTCGCCACAAGATTGTCCCTGTCCAAAGCCGAGCTGGGCGGAAAAGTCAGGCTCGCGCCAGAAGTGCGGTCCCATTCAATGTACAGCCCATCGAAGGAGAAGCCCTCTGTGATCTCGGGAGCGCGGGCGTAAACCTCCTTTTGAAGCTGGCCGAGGATGGTGGCGTATGTAGCGTTCGGGCTGAGGAGGATGGGGGTGGAGGTGAGCGCGTTGATGCGGAGCATGATGGGGATCGGCTGGGAGGAGAGGTTGGCGGAGAGGTCGAGTCTGGCCATTTTGGAGACGAGTTTGTGTGAGTGTGCTGCTTGCGGAGAAGACTGAGGAGGTAGATTGTGATTGCTTGTGAGAGGGTTGAGAAGGTTGAGAGAGAGAGAGAGAGAGAGAGAGAGAACGGCGTGAGAGGTTGAGACGGAAAGACTGAGAGATCACTTGTTTCTGTTCCTGTTAACTATTTATTGACAACCAAACGAGACAAACGAGCCAAAAAGCGACTTCACCCCCGCCGGTCCTGCTGTCTTTATACTCTTGCAGGCACGCCTTCCAAATGCAGTACAAGGTCAACAAATGGGGCTGTCCCGTGATCCAAATCCCCAAAAATATCCGAAACCGCGAAAAAAGAGGCCCAGCGACACCGAACAGCGGGATTTCCTGCTACATACGTAACAGCAATCGGCTGGCTTAGCTCAAACCCAGGAACCCTCCCCCCCAACAGGATACACGGAACAGCAGCTCAACGAGTCTCACTTGCGACCAAGTCGTCTCTTTTACCCCGTACTTTTGCCCGCCATGGCATCATGGCGCTTACCGCCGCTTCTTGGCGGAGAGAGTGTGGGGTAGCGCAGGGCCTGGATTGCAGTGCTGGGCCAATGAGGGTGGGCCTTGGCGGGTGGACTGGAAGAATGTGTTGCCGACATCCGAGGTTGTGCTTATGTAACGAGTTATGGGTCTTGGCAAGGGGTTGAGAGGCGGTCAGGTGGGTTGAAGCCAAGGGTCAATATCACTTTGTATTCCAATTCTACACGCTCAGAACGCCTATTCTATATATTATGAGTCCGCAGTATAGCAGCAGCAGCAGCATCTAGATTAAAACAGAAAGAAAAGAGAAAAAAAGCCAACGAACCAAAAGAACAATCATCAGGAACCAGACCCGAGCTCTCCACTTCCCCTCGACTTCTCGCTCCACTTGGGCCCATCGTCCTCCCTTTCGTCATCGCCATCCTCCTCGTCGTCATAGTAGGGCTTCTCCCCATCCTCACTGCCGCTAAAGATCTCCTCATCGCTCTCCCCAGCAAACGCATCGTACAACTCCCCTCCCCGGCGCCGCCGCTGCGACTGCTTCTTCGCACCCGCGCCCGCCACGCCCGCTCCGTTCAACGGATACCCTTCCTCATCCTCAGCCACCATCTCAAACTCGTAGTCGTCGCGCGGATTGTTGCGGAGGCGCTTGTGTCGCTGCACCAAAAAGTAAACGCCCAACGTGACGCAGAAGATGAAAATTAGAGCAATAGAGCCGTAGATCCAGATTTGTGTGCGTTTGGACACGCCAAAGGTGGGGAAGGGCGAGGGCAGGAAACTGTCTGTGAGTCCTGAGGTGCTTGGTGTTGCGGCCGCCGCTGCGGATCCGCTGGGCACGGCGGTGCTGGTTGGCGAGGCGGACGGTTTGGCGTTGACGGGACGGTCGAGGTGATTGGTGGGTTTCCCCGTTGCCGAGGGTTTGCTTGGGCCAGTTGAAGCGACGGTGGTGGTCATGACCTCTGGAGCGGGCTCGCTGGTGTCGTGGTCGTGGTCGTGGGGCCCCGGTAGTGGATGGAGCTTCTGGATCTTGCCGTCAATGGATTCGCCCCAGAGCGAGAGTTGCCAGTCAAGGAAGCGTCCAGAAAAGTCGTTGATGGTAATGTCCTTGACAATGACAGTCCACTTTCCTTTGCCGGTTTCTCCCCTAGAAACACAGTTTAGCATCGAGTTGGTTGACTGATGAGATTGATGGGATATCCTGCTTACCAGTGCGCAACAGACATAAATGTCCAATCCACGTAGCCTGCATTCACCGTATCCCCGTCTCTCGCTACACTGAGGTGGCTGACAACACCGGTCGGACTCCTGAGCTCCACGCTCAAGTCACCACGTCGTGTATGGTTGACATTCATCGTCACGGTCACATGTTCGATGCGCTCCAAGTTATTCTTCTTCAACATCTCTTCAGTGATCTCAAACGAGCTTGCCAGTCCCTTGAGCCCTTGAGGAATGTCCTTGTGGACCTTGAGCCAAGGTGAATGGAGCCAGGCTTGAGGCTTGACCAGTTTCCACGTCTTTGCCAGTTGGACCATCGAATATGCATCAACTTTCCCATATCCGAAATCATGGCTGAACTTTTTCCCAATGGCGGTTGTCTGCCATCCTTCTTGATCCGTATTGACGGGAATGGCAGTCTCGACGATCAGATACTGCATATCTCTCCAGGTAAGTTCGGGTCGTACGCCCAGGGCGAGGGCAACAACTCCGACGACAAGAGGTCCGGCCGCTGAGGTACCACCGTGTTTGTTGGAGCATGAATCCGGGCCAATGTCGGTCGTAGAGATAGCATCGTTGCCACCGCTGCTGTAGGTCACGACGAGCTGGGCGGAACAGGACTCGGAGTAGTACGGATGCTGGTCTTCCCGGTCAATCGCGCCAACGGTGATACTGTAGATGCTGTTGGTGTAGCCGTCGAAGTTGCAGTTGTCTCCGTTTCCAGCCCCATTCCCGGCAGCAAAGACAAACAGTGACCCTTTCCCGTCTCGCCCTTTTTGAATTCCGTTGACCATCGCGCGACGTATGAGAAGACCTGGAGCATCCATGGTTGCACCACTGTCCACAGGTCCCCAGGAGCACGAGTAGATTTGGTTTTGCTGGAATCCGTAGTTGATGGCCGCAGCTTCATCCTCATCGGTCACAGGTTTCGACAGAATTCGAATCCCAGCAACCTTTCCGTTGTACGCCACGCCAACACCGCAGACGTTGTTTTTGACAGCGGCCACTTCCCCAGCGCAACGGGTCCCATGCTTGTCATCGGATAGACGTGGCTTTGGCTCTTTGCCTTTGTCGTTGAAGTCGTAAGAGCCTTCGGCAAAGTAGTTGTCTTTGAGATCATTGCTATACATATCCAAGCCATCGTCTACGATTGCTGTGATAGTTCCATTGCCGGTGATTCCTTCAAGCCAGAGCCCAGTCACGTTCAAGTCATGGCCAGGTTGTACGGTGTTGAAAAGGTGCCACTGGTTAACGAAAATGGGATCTTTGATGACCAGCTCTCCGGCAATTTCCTGTTGTCTTGCAACAGCGGCTTCTTTGGCTCGAGACTGCGTACTCCGTTTCGATCGGGACTTGGCCCAGGACGCGGGAGGCGGGGGTATGCGTTTGTGTAGTCGTTGTTTAGGTATCAGCTTCTCAGAGTAGAGAATGCCGTTCAACTCTTCTTCATCTTCCCTCTTATCAAGATGCCGTTTTCTCTTCCGCCTTGCTTGCAAGTCTTCCAATAATTTGTCTATCTCATCTCCTCGTCCCTTTGAGAAGGAGAACGTGTGATGGTCCTCTAACTCTCCTATTTGTCCTTCATGCCTCGCACCTAGTATCTGCGCTGCGCGGTCGGGGGATAACGAAGAACGAAGGTGTACAGCTATATAATCGCGCGCATCGTGGTCGCGAGGGTATAAACTGGCAGCGGATAGCGAGAACAGGATCGACGAGAACCCGACAACACTTAATAACCTCATAGTTCAGGGGGAAACGAGAATGTAGGCAAGGCCAGTCGCGGCCGCTATCGATGTCGTTCAGGCCGCCGGGTGGTTAGACAGATCGAGTAATGCAAGTCCGGCTTGCCATGAACGCAAAGGGATGGAGGGAGAGGCAGGAAAGGATACGGCGGCCGGATTTTCGTTAGTCGAAGGCGGGGAGGAGTTCAGATGCAGTTTGGTAGCATTCAGAGCGGCCAACTTGTAATCTGTGAAGAAAGGCGAGGCGCTGTTACTCCATGGACAGCCGCTGGGGTGGTGGCGATCGTGAGATATGGTAATGGAACCCTTCTCTCCCCTCAACCGTTGATTCTTCGAGCACAGCAGCGTCACCGGCCATGCATCGAAAAGGAAGATCAAACCGGGCGCCTGGCGATGACACAGAAGTGGACGGGAAATCCCTCCTTCAAGAAACAGTAGGCGTTGGGGGCTTGTTGGTCTCTGCGCTTGTCTGCGGAGGCCGCCTGTTGGACAGGTGTTACCTTTTGGTCAAGACTTTTTCGCCAAGCGGGATTGCGAGGACGCTTCTGGACCGCCAGCAGGAGCGCGATGGAGCGCATGAAGGCTGCTAACTAGCTAATTTGCAGATCATCCATGCGGAACGGGGCCTAGCGTTTGTTTGGAGGTGTTTACAAGTCGGAGTCGAGCAAGACTGGATGCCGCGAGGTCCTGGGCTTTCAGTCGATGAAGCCGCTACAAGTCAGTGATGGTCAGCAGCAGCTAGTTACGGCACGTTCAATTGTGCGATAGTTAGCAGCTGTGCTTAGCCATTGATCCAGGTGTCTTCTGGAATGGTTGACTAGTTCTACAGATTGCGTATGCTGGTTCATCCGGTTTGAAGCTCCGTGTAAGGCCACTGTCGCAGAGAAGCTCAACTGGCATCCAGACTCATTTCTAGAAGGTCTCAGGCTGGAGGAATCCCGAGGTCCTGTGGTAAAATTATCGTTATCATTGGCAGCGTCATTCTGTCCCTGTGTTCTAGGCAGGCCATGGGCCAAACATGGCTTGGAGAGCTGGTTCCCGTATAAATCTGGACAAGTCCCATGGCTATTTTTACAAAACTTGCGACACGACGGTTATAGCCAACAAGTTGATTGAGCTAGACGCAGAATATCGGACTTGAACTTGCACAAACCTTCCATTACCCGACTGGGCAGATGGCTTTTGCTTCGCCTTCGAGCATTGGCGGCTGGGCCTGCTGGGATAGCATAAGGAAACTGGAAGAGTTTCAACTCGTAGAGGGAATATGCCGGCCCTTAAACGCTGCCTCTCCGGGTTACACTGTATAGATAGAAGAGCGGCTTTCCCCCGTTTCTGCAAGGTCTCAGAACGACGATCCGGAATGCAGTGAGCATCTGGAGTAGCAGGTAGCCCGGACGCAACGATAGATAATACGATGTCTAGGGAGGACATCATCTGTACCGGCGGAGTCCTCCCTCTTGGATGGAACCCAGTAGTATGGTCCTTGACGCGCTCAGTTGAACTGGAATTCGTTTCAGAGGAGCAAGAAAGAGGTTACTCGCAGTCTTCGAACAGAGTTCGTTGTGCCATGGCGCACTCGGGCCGTTATATGTCGTACCTGGTTGTCTTGACGATTGTAGCTTAAACAACCCCAGGCCGCCATGTTATGAGAGCGATTTGCCCTTCACTTAGTTAGAGAGACGGGTTCAAGCTGCTTGCGATCAGGATGAAGACTGACTTGGTTGGGCGAGATGTCCTGCAATTGGCTTGCAAACCCCCAGCCACCCAACGGCGAACACACCCGCATCGTCCTCGACAACGTGCATATCTCGAGTAACTAACTAACCCATCCAAACCTCTGGCAAAAAGGGCCTGGTTCAGCTATTGACCGGGTTGACACAGATTTCGGCCCTCGAGAGCTTCTCGTGGCCTCGCCGCGTTCTTATCGCGCAACGGCGCTTATCGGACTCGGTGACGCTCAAGCCCAATTGCGACCAGACGCAGCATCTGGCGGCCTCGATTGTCGTTTGAAGGCACGCTGCATGAGGTTGCCGGCTACACCCAAAATGTAAGGTAAATCACTGACTTCATCTGACTTGCCCAACGATGCAAATTAACCTGTTCTCAAGTTCTAGTTACTACTACTGGCGACGCGATCGACTTTCCTTCCGCCGTGCCATCAAACGAGGCCGCGACTAATAATTCTCGAGACCTAACCGACTAGCGGAATACCTTGAGGCAGATTACTCCTATACCTATGTTTTGAATCCCCTGATAACGGAGAACAATGTCGTCGACTCGCCGGCAAACAACAACTTCACGACCTCGGTCGGGCTCCCATGCGCCAATGCCTACGAACGGAAAGCTATATCCCAGAACCACCCAGTCCCGACCCGATGCGGATTATGATGACTATTCCGCGCTACCGCCTGGCCCTGAAGCTCCTATAATTCGTGGCGACTCGGTTCGACGCTCACACGCCCAGGAACAGTCTGGTGAAGCCCGATCTTTTGCGGAGCGCGCAAGGCATCTACCCCCTGAGCGTAGACTTCCGGAGCCTCCTCGATCTAGCCCAACCGAAAACATGCAGCGCTCTTCTTCGATCTCAGCAGCTGGTGCTATCCCGCCTACCCAACGGTCACAATCACTATCGGAGCAGCAAGCACTTAGTAAAAAACACCAGTCTCCTTCCGCAGAACATTCTATTTCACAGACCCAGCCGAGCGAACCAACCACGCCCATCAGTCGATCCAATTCAGAGACCACCCGGAAAAAAGATGCTCAGAAGAGGCGCGATCGCGACTGGGCGCCGGCACGATCTCCTTTGCAGAAACTTGAAGTGACATTGAAGGATATTAGCAAGGAAGAGAAACGGGCTAGAGTGGAAGAGGCAGAGATGCTCCTGAGAGAAGCCAAAGCTGGACGTCAGAGTCGTCGTGTTAGTCGGGATGTGCGTCAAACTCCAAGGTCCAGGGCGGATGATCAGGCAGGAAACTCCGTTACTCAACCATCCACCCTTGAGGAAGCCGGAATTACAAGGAGCTTAAGTATAAAGCAGCGAGAACGTCTACAGCACAGTGCCGTGGTAGAGTCTACGAAACCCTCCCCTGGACGGTTCTCAGCACAGCGCGAAGGATTCGATTATCGGGCATTTGAACAGGGCGAACCCAGTAACTCCGATGTAGATGTGGAAACGGAACAAAATCCCCAGTTTTCGCTTGATGCAGGGGTGAACCAATTCATGGCTGCCGCACAGGAATATGAACCAGAGCCAGAGCACAGAACCGCACAGCCATCAGCAAATCAATTCAGAAATGCACAAGGTCAAAGACGGCAGTCTTTTCAATCTAGTGCTTCTCCAGTTAGCCCTGAAGCTCCAGTACAAAGAAGCAACAGCCGGAAACTTCAAAAGCCTATGCCTAAAGAATATCAAGACCAATACGGTAGGGAATATGCTGGCGGCCCAAACATGGTACCTTCAACCAGCAGAGCAAATGCTTACGATAGTGCACCTATCAATTCAGAAACCCGGTCAGTACCCGTCAACAAACCTATAGAAACGCTCAGGGCTACAAATGACGATACTGTTGGTCTAGGGCTGGCCACCGTTAGTAATGAAGGCCAGTCGGATGACCTAGACTCGACGACGGAAGGGAAAAGGCATGAAAGTAAAAAGCGGTTTTCTGTGACATTCGCTGTTCCGCCGCCGACTCCGCCGCCGCTCGAGGAATGGAAAACGGCGACGGTCGGCAGGTTGGTTGCTGATGATTTTAATTTGAATCGCGTCGATACCCAAAAGGCTTGGTGGGAAGGGGGTGGTTCGGGCAGGCGAAAGAGAAGTCAGTCCATATCGCAACATATTCCACAGCCTTCCCCCAAAATAAAGAGTAAGTCCAGTCCCTGCGCCCGAGATTTGCGATTAAACAGTTGGTCTACAAGAGGTGCTGACTGCTTAAATCCAAATAGAAAACAACCAATTCGAGCCAGCTCTTTATTTGCGATGTGGACCATTACTCCGATTCACCGGAATGAAGCGCGAGAAGATTGATAGTCCTGCAGGGCCCATCGAAAGGGAGATCTGGAGAGGAAGCATTATGATTGCCACGAAAGACTCTGCCTCTTCATATGGCGTTCCGCCCATAATTCGCCTTTTTCCGCAACCGAGAGATTTGCTTCCACCTCCACCACCTGAGATTCGCCCAGAACGCGGGGAGCATCTTGCTCCTGAGTATGTTGATCCGATTGCTGGGCTCACCAAACTAGCCAGAAACGGTAAACTGCTCTATGTCAAACCGGTGGATCATATCGAGGAGGCGCAAGACCTCTCCTTCGTCGAAGACGAAGATGGGCTGTTTGAAGAATCACCTAGCCCATTAGATTATACCACTAGTCCCCAGGTGAACAAGTCACCCGACGCGAGGGTTCGAGACTTGGACGGGGAGTCTGTCGGAAAATACAAGGAAATCCCAGGATTTCGGCTCTACGCCGACCCAGCGAGAGACGTGACTTTCTGGCGCTTCAATCTTGAGATTGAGCTGGGCACCAAGCAGGCGCACATAGCTTATCGCATCAACCAAGGCTCTGCTCAAGGGTTCTGGGTGCCCGCAAAGGGACAAACGATGAACGTCATGTTCCACAGCGGCAATTGCTTCAATAAAGCCGTGGACACGGACAAGTTCAGCGGACCTGATCCGTTATGGCGAGATGCGCTCAACGTCCACCAGACGCGACCGTTCCACGTTATGGTCGGCGGAGGATCGCAAATCTACAATGATACCGTAGCGTTCGAAACCCAGCACTTTCAGAGCTGGTTGGACCTAAAAGTCAAATATGAAAAGCACGAGCACCCTTTCAACTTGGACATCAAAGCCGAACTCGAGGATTTCTATTTGAACAATTATTTGCGGTGGTTCTCCCAGGGGCTATTTAGCATGGCCAGTTCGCAGATACCGATGGTTAACATGTGGGATGATCACGATATAATCGGCGGTTTTGGATCTTATTCGGATGAGTTTATGAATTCGCCGGTCTTTTCTGGGCTGGGGAATATTGCTTTCAAGTACTATATGCTTTTTCAGCATCAGAGCGTCCCGGAGGAAACGCAGACGGAGGAGCCCAGCTGGATTATGGGTGCCAATCCAGGCCCCTTTATTCACCAAAGAAGCAGAAGCGTTTTCGTGCACTTGGGTAGGCGGGCGGCACTTTTAGCTGTAGACTGTCGAACTGAGCGCACCGTACGTCAGTTTCCCCTCTTATCTTGATCACTGTTGCTAACGAGGCCCCTAGAGGTACGATATCCTGAGCGACGACACCTATGACCTGATTTGGAATCGCTGCCACCAGGAGATAGTGAAAGGAGAGACAAAACATCTGCTCGTCCTTATATCAATACCGGTCGCTTATCCGAGAATGGTATGTGTGCGCTTGCTGCATTCGATGATTGAACCCTAACCGCATCTCGTAGGCGTGGCTTGAAAACGTGACAAGCAAGGTGATGGACCCTATGAGATCACTTAGCAAAGTCGGGTTGTTTGGGAGCTCAGAGAACAAAGTTGGGAGCGGCGCCGGGCATTTAGACGACCATTGGACAGCAAAGCTGCATAAGCTCGAACGAAAGTGGTTGATTGAGGACCTTCAGGAACTAGCTGCAGAGAAGTCTGTTCGGATCACGATTCTGGGGTATGTATATCGCCCGTTGCATTTGATGGATTTGGACCAAATTAACCCCTTCGCAGAGGTGATGCCAGTTTGGCGGCAATGGGGCAGTTTTACACAGACCCAAAGCTTGAGATTCCAAAGGATAAAGATTACAGATATATGCCAAACGTGGTCTCGTCACCGATTGTCAATGCACCCCTGCCAGAAATTATGAGTGACGCACTGAATCGGCGAAACAAGGTTCATATCGTCGATACGAAGACAGTCGAGGACATGAGACCAATCTTTACCCATGATGTCGACGGGAAGCCGAGAAATAATAAACGGCTCCTGCCAAGGAGGAATTGGTGTTGCATCCGGGAATACGCTCCAGGTATGTCACAATTGGAAAAAAACTGCATTTATAATATTTGAAGGCGCTGGTTGTCTAACCACGAAATAATTCATCTGTGTAGGTTCAACACCGGTTCACACACCTTCGGAGCCCGACACGCCAGAAGGCCCTAGAGTGGGGAACCTTGTCCGGTCTCTATCACTCTCTCGTGGCGAGAGCCGAGGTCTGGGACGGTCATTCTCTCTCTCACGACGGTTTTCTATGCGAGGACCGCCGCCGTCAAGATCTATAGAGACAGCAGAATACAACCAGCGCAGCGTCAGCCACGACGGTTCGCAGCAGCCTTCAGAGCATCAGGATAGTTATTTCCCAGCACTCTCGGGACAGCCTCCCCAACAGCCTAACGGAAACGAACCCGAACCACGGCCCGGGAATTTCATCCGACGACGCACCGATTTGAGTGCAAAGGATCTCAAGCAAGCGCTCAGACGGGGGCACGATATGCATCATTTCATTAACCTTGAGGGTGGCCTGGATATCACCTTAAACTGCGAAGTAAGCCCCAGCGACCCAGCTGGCATCACAACGCCGTACAGGGTCCTGGTACCTGCGTTATCATTCGACGGCGAGTTTGAGCCTAGCATTCCTCTTGAGAAACGGAAGTGGTGGATGCTGAGGCGCAAGAAGCCAGCCAACACGCAGCCCGGAGACGAGATCAGTGAGGATAAGTATGATGATCAACCCGGCCAGGGTGCTGCGAGGCCATCTACCCCGCCGGTGCAGGAGAAACATGGTCAATTTTCTTCCCCTGACGGCGTGGGACAGGGATACAGCAGCGTGGAAGCGTACAGGCCGAAGAAAAAGCGGTTTGGAATCTTCTGAAACTCGTACGGATTAGCCAGTTGGACTCTACGATTGTTTCACAGATTTCTTTTGGCATGGAGCATTGATATTCATCTTCTCTTTTCTTCTCTGTTTTTGTTGAAAAATCTGTTTGTTTCGGCCAGATAGCCGTTTTGCGTCCAGTGTTACAATCTCAGATCCCAGTAATCCCCAGCACGTCTGCTGGAGCACTAATGTATGTATGTACGAGTATACCCCTGGTCAGCGGTCAGTGATATCGGCTTTGCATTGGCGCCCTGGGTTAGTTTTGCGTCTGAAGCGTCAGGGAAATGATTCAACTGTGGAGAAGATCCTCGCAATCGATCGACAAGCAACTCAGTCGCCAGGCTACTGTAGCATCTGCAGACTCTCGAAGCATCAACACGAAACGTCGATAATTTGCTTTTACGGAGTTCTTTTGAGTGGTTGTTTGATGTCGAATTTGTAAGCCTCAGCTCCCCAGACTGATCCCAGACGGTCACCAGAAGCATCCAGACCCATCCCTCCATTTTGCATATATAACCATTTTTTTGTCGCCAAAAAGAGACGCTGGATCTCCGCAATACCTTCAAGCTGTTTTCCTCAATCTTCCGCCGCCGCGCCCTTGCTTCCGTCCGCTCCTCCGTCGGGCTCTCAGTTGCTGCTGCGGCTACTCTTCATCAGAAACCAACCCCTCCGGGTCCGGCCACCGCTTCCCTACAGCCCTCGACGCCGTTGAGCGTCAAGGCACATCTACAAAGCAGAATGGCGCATTCCAAAGTTATCAGTAAGCCCGCGTTGCAGATCCCCCGCAAGCGCAATTTTGCCGTGGTGAACATGTGCTGATTTTTTCTTCTCCCTCTTCTATAGTCATCGGCTCCGGCCCCGCCGCCCACACCGCCGCGATCTATCTCTCTCGCGCGGAGCTCAAGCCCGTGATGTACGAGGGCATGTTGGCCAATGGCACCGCCGCAGGAGGCCAATTGACCACCACCACGGATGTCGAGAACTTCCCCGGTTTCCCCGCCGGCGTGGGAGGTACGGAGCTCATGACGAGAATGCGCGAACAATCAGTTCGATTCGGAACAGAAATCATTACGGAGACCATCTCGCGGGTTGATCTGTCCTGCCGTCCGTTCAAATTGTGGAAGGAATGGTCTGACGGACCAGAGGATGCTCCCGCGCATACTGCCGATGCCTTGATCCTTGCGACTGGTGCGAATGCGCGCCGGTTGGATTTGCCCGGTGAGGATAAGTACTGGCAAAACGGCATCAGCGCGTGTGCTGTCTGTGACGGCGCAGTGCCGATTTTCCGCAACAAGCCGCTATTCGTCATCGGTGGAGGAGACTCCGCCGCGGAAGAGGCTATGTTCTTGACCAAATACGGAAGCACTGTGACTGTGCTTGTTCGCAAGGATAAACTACGTGCCAGCAAGACCATGGCGACCCGGTTGTTGAACCATCCAAAGGTTGAGGTGAAATTCAACACTGTCGCCGTGGAGGCCCAGGGTGAACCGGGACCAAGGGGCTTGATGACCCATTTGAAGATTAAGAACGTGGTTACGGGCAACGAGGAAGTTCTTCCCGCAAACGGATTGTTCTACGCCGTTGGCCATGAGCCTGCTACTGGGTTGATCAAGGGCCAGGTCGAGACTGATTCGGAGGGATACATCGCGACCAAGCCAGGAACCAGCTACACGAACGTCGAGGGTGTCTTTGCTGCGGGAGATGTGCAGGACAAGAGATATAGGCAGGCCATTACCAGCGCAGGTACGTGCTACTGTAGAGTGGAAGGTGGTTCCAATGGGATATCTTGCTGACAGCTTTTGTTTTTTCCCCCCCACCAGGATCCGGCTGTATCGCTGCCCTTGAAGCTGAGAAGTATATTTCAGAGATGCCAGCGGAACAACCCGCGGTTACAACGACGATACAACAGTCTGCAACACAACAAGAGCAAGCGGACGAGGCAAATCCACCTGCGTCGTTGGAGTATAAATCCAACCCGTTGCTCTAAAGACTTCTTTTGTGATTAGCTACCCCTCAGTTGGCATAGAGCTGTTAGGTTCTCTTGATTGATTTTAGAAGCGAAGAAGATAAGAGACTCATCATGCTTGTTTTATATTAGATCGCTGGAGCTCTGGTCTTTGTATCGATTCAAGTAGATATTTTGGGGTTGTTTTTTAGATGAATCCTGCATTGAATGAAAACAAGAACTGTCAGCAATACATATCAACTGGTCTTCTCCCTCCTGACATATAATATTTGAATTAGCAATGAGCGGATTGTACCTGTAGACACTGCCCATATAGGTATCCATGCGGCCTTGGTCATCCAGAATAGCTAGCAAAATGGTAGAACCCCCGTTCGTCTGCCATTTGACTGAATTTCCCGATACTTCCTCAAGATTCAAGGTCCAATTGCATCCATCACGCTTAGTACAGAAGTTAAGACTGAAGCTATATCTGATAGAGTTAAGACTAATAGGAATATAAATAAATCCGATTGAGTAGAGTAGAAGTTTGCTTATCAACAAAAGAAGGGAGCAGAGGCCCATTCCTGCTGACAACGCAGTAACAGCAGTGAGCAATTGCTGCTGCTTCAAGGAGTTGCATAGAGAGGAGGTCTAAAGTAGGATGCATATATTGCAATCATCTTATAGAGAGTATGGAGAGGAGCATCCAAAGTGCACATCCAGGAGCTGTGTCCACACCCAGAACCAATCCAACATCCCTATATCTTGCGCTTTCACAAGCACTAGCTCTCCTCATGCCTTGATATCACAGAGAGCAGCCAAAGGAGAGATACAGGACTGACCATAAGATACCAAACCAGTACTAGCGCGAACAATGGCTGAAATCACGGGATATGCCCTGATATAGCAACAGAACCCTCCCACACAAACTCCTTCATCTCAAGCGAAAACAAAGCTCCTCTCAGTCTCTCATCGCTTGTTATCAAGTTGTCTTCCTGTCCTTGTTCTTCACAACGTTGTTGTAACATATTTGTCTCTTCTGAAGGGTGGTGATAGTTTCCAAATGGATGCTCCGCCGCAACGCGCTTTTAATGCTGTCTTTACCTTGTCAGGCAATGCAGCAGCCGGGGTGCCAGGAAGCGAACTTGGCTCTGGAGCACATGCTGCCTTAACCAATCAGTCTCAGGGAGAGATGCCAGCCCAGTTCCTTAACTGGGTCCGCATTATCATTACTATCACCTGTGCCCCTGAGCATCCTGGCGTCAACGGCGGCAACGGTCGTGAATTCAATTATTTCGACTATATTCCTCGTGATATGATCGGACGCAGACTCGAGTCTTGCAACGTCAACTGGGAGCCCGCAGGTCGCTATTTCGCCGGAATCCGCAACAGGTACCACAATATCGTCTTGTTCTCACAGACTTGGGATTGCCAATTCTGCGGAGAAATCTCCAGACATCTGTACATGTCAGGCATGCCACGTCTCATGGACATGCGTAGATGGTTCGTCTATGCCATCCCGATTTGTCGCACTCTCGGCTCCTGCGATCGAAAGGCCGTCGCATTGGTGGACAAGATCTTCAGCGAGCGTTTTCCAACCATGGCTGTTCCTGATGGTCCTTGCTGTGAGGTTTGTGGCTTCGTCCACGATTTGAAATGGTGCAGTAGATGCAACATGATCCAGTAAGTAATCCATGAGGTTTTCTTGTTCTCTGATCCTTTGGCCCCCATAGGAAATAGGCTAATAAAGGCACCTTTTAGGTACTGCTCCGTTGAGTGCCAGGCACATCATTGGCCAATGCACAAGAAGGACTGTCGTAACGCCGAGCGCGAAAGGCTTGCCGGGAATTAAGAGCGTGAATCAATCAATTTGTAAGGCAAGTAGTATGATCCCCGGCACACATAGGCATTGTTAACCTTTGCCGCTAGGATCCGTTTTAAATATGAGGAACAATGCACAGCATCGGAAAATTGGAAAATCAAAAAATACCAGGGATATCAGCAAGAGTGTTTTGACATCATAGTCATGCTAATCGTGTTCAGCTTTGAAGGGGGATGCCTGTATGCTAGGGACTTGTCCGAATGAATGAAAAGTTTTGACCTTCTTCTCCCTCACACGCATGCCAACAGCTTGGTTGACGTGCGCAATCCATTCGGGCATTTCATAGAGGCACCTAGCCTCAGGATCTAAGGGTCTGTGAGGCCAATACTTGTGACGCAGCACCAAGAGAAATTTGCATCCTCAAGCGGACTTCTCCGTTAGCTTTTCTGCTTTTTCCCCTCGGTGAAAGTCATTTGTATTGGCTTCTCGAGGTGTTTGCCCTTCTGAAAACGAAAGGACAAGTTGGAGAAAGCACGCTTTGCTAGTAAGTTCTCAGCGAAGTCCTCGTCATGGTAGGCGAATGCGTATCGGCAGATTGACTAGCAGATGGCTGCTACGAGGAGCAAATTATCTGGACGGAAGAGAACGCCTGCGGTGAATATTGTTGACTTGTCTTTGCCATGTTGATATCATTCAGTCTGAGTTTTTCGACTCAGGAGAATACCTATCAGAAGTGCCAAGCCAGCTAACTAAATATTGCCTAGCTCCCGCCCTCCCTCCACTTTTGGCTACAACTTCCGTGTGGAATCGTCCGAGAGAATGAGGAACACAGAGCAACTTGGCCGCCCGGATGGACGTTGCGCATCGTTGCCATGCGTTGGAATGATTCAAGCCTGATGTGACGTAATACTGGAGGGCTGAGCTGTTCTTCCAGCCATGCAGTGCGGAGACATGAGTGTCAGCCGCAGCAAAAACTAACTACTGTAAATACTCTCCCGTCCGCAAAGCTCAACATATACGGAGTAATCCAGGCTAGTTTGAGGTTACTGGATTTCTATATTGATACCACTCTTTGGACTTGAGCAAATATGACCGATCAAACGACGCCATCCGAAAACCCCAGCCTCCAAGAGAGCGTCCGAACGGGCTCTTGTCTCTGCGGCAGTGTTAAATATCAACTGACTGGCGAGCCAATTAGTGCACTGAATTGCCACTGTGTGAATTGCAAGAAGACCAGTGGAGCTGCATTCTTGTCCAACGGATTGTTTTGGAAAAAGGTGCGTGATGATACTGGGGTTACAACCTGATATTCCCTAGCTAGTTAGCTGAGCTTCATACTAAACACATTTTCCTAGCAACTCACCATTACTTCATCCTCCTCCGGTCTCAAAACGTTCCAAGATAAGACCACCAATTCCGGGGAACCGTTATGCCGCAAATTTTGCTCCAATTGCGGCTCCACGCTCTTCGTCGAGTCACTGTTACCGGATACTCCTGTCGCCGTCACCCTGGGCTCGCTCGATCAGGGCCAAAGGCCCTGGAAACCCAGATTGGAGGTTTTTACAAAGGACGCTGTTGATTGGATGCCACGTATTGAAGGAGCCAGAGTTTTTGAGGAGATGGCTGATCCCCATGCATTTTTTGAATGAAAGCGTTGAAACTTGTTCCGTGGCTAAACCGTGTTCCGTTGGTAATAGTGGTCCTGATGAATCGAAAATTATACTTCCCATAGTTACCATACAATGCAATCAGCTCCGGTGATCCTGTCGCCTTTTGATACATAATTCAATTGGCACGGGATTGCTCAGTGATCATTGCCAAGTTTTCCGCTCCGCTCCCCTGCGCCAAGAAACCGTTGATCAAATACACCAATCGGCGGAATGCGGAACATCAGCGCTATCAACATTAGTACTTTTACGCAGATATATAAGTGATAAGGTAGTCAAGAAAGATGCGCTTCAAGTAAGTAAAAGACAATTGAGTGGATATCGCCAACTATGGTACAGCCCCGAAAAATCCCCAACTCCAAACACGACAATAATTGGTATAAATGAATCGAACGCTATCACATTTCTTCTTCACCGTAGAGGCCCTTCATTAACCAGGGGTCAAAAACAAGCTCTTCGGCGGTCGGTCGTTCTTCAGGCAACCACCGGAGAATCCGCCGAAGGAATGCGAGGAATCCTTCCCTTTCCCCGCCATACATCTTCTCCGATAGTTTCTCCAGTGAGACATCGGGAATAGGAGATGCACCTCTCCAATTACCTGGGAGAAAGAGATTCGTGTTAGAACTATGCCAGAGAACATGGTAAATGCTTTGCGGTAACTACCGTTCTCGTCCCACCAGAAACGTCCCATCTTCCCTCGCTCCAAAAACTCCTTTGGCGGAGGGCCCATAATCGCGATCATTTCTGCAAGGTGAATCGAGTCATCCAGTAACCTTTCCTCGTTTCTAGCTTTGAAAAGAGTTCGTCCCACGGCAAGGTCCCAGAACTACGTCAATCAGTTGCAGGAAATTTTTCATAAGAGTGTGGGTTGAACAAACCATCATTCCGATCCCCCAGATATCAATTTTATTATCCCAGGGCATTTCAAGGATAATTTCCGGCGCCCTGTAGACCTCAGGCATTACATCTTCCCATGGGAGTTTGTCCTTCCCGTTGGTAATTCGAGCCTCGCCAAAATCAGTTATCATTGGGAGACGCGGTGTTCGTAGTAGTCGCCGGCTCATATAGATCGTTCGATCATCAAGGAACTTCCTGGGTGCTGGTGCTTGTGTTTCAGCATCTTCGAAAACTGAAAATACCTTGGGATCGTCAATATCAAGTAGCATATTTCGAGATTGCACATCTGCTTCAGTGTCAGCAAAAATATCTTTTGTGACAAAAAGGCGTATTGTCTTGGGGACTTTCCTGCGTGAACTATATTCCCTAGATGGAGATATTCAAGACCAAGTAGGATTTGTCGCAAAAGGAGGTTTTAGTTGATTAATGCTAAGAGTTCGTCCAGGTCGAATATCAAGTATTTGAGTCAAGCTTAGCCCTAATGGCTGTTGGACCAAACATATATGGGTGCCATGGGGCCCTTCCACTTCAAAAGATTCGTACAGTTTTCGATAGATATATTTGCCGGGTTCGTCGATGCGAACGGTCTCTAGATGCTTATAGACCTCAATCTCGCGGTTCTGTTTTGTGGAGTTTGTACATAGCTTCAACACAACATGCTTAGAGTCGCTAGTGCTCAGAATATTAGAGTAGATTTCAATAATGGGAGAAAAGAACATACGCTAAATCGCGAGAGAGCCAGACAGTCGAAGAGCCGCCGTATCCTAGCTTCCCAACAATTTGATATCTGTCTTTGAGGATCTGCCCTAACTGAGCTGGATAGTAGCTTTCCGGTTTGTAAGCTGGAAGGGTCTCTTCCTCGATTTTCTTAGAAGCGTCAATGATATCAAAGCCAGTTGTAGGGAACGTCAGAGCGGAGAGACGAGGTGCCATCATTCCTCGGATGTGTCTCCGTACGGACTCGAAAGAGGTTCGCAACTGATAGCGCAGAATAGAATTAGAAGCCATTGTTTGAATGATTGTCCCAGGTGTATTTCATATGTGTGAATAACTCTGTTCATCAAAAGGGAGATTTGGCTGGGTATAGAGTACTCTATACTCCGTACGCAAAACGGAGCATGTTGGAGCCCGGCTGCTGTTTCTTTTGATGAGAAGCGGTGGAGCGAGGCATAACTAATCGAGTATTGACCAAAGGGACCTAATAATAGGGGACAGTTAAATACAACGACGTCAAGACATGCATATTTTGAAAAATAAAGTAAGACTTGGTTGGTAGCTCAAGTAAATAAAACAAGAATGCATAACCATCGCCTCAGCCATCGAGCGACAATTAATATTCCAGGCAAATGTAAAAATGATCGCTAAGAGCCATGCCACCACCCATGCAATCATCCCACGAGCATGCAAATATCTAACAAAAATGAGATTCGTCGCATCAGTTGAGTTTTCTGATTTTTCGGCTCCCGCCGTCGTCAAGCAGCTTTTTCACCTTCTCGACAAATGCATCATACGGATTCGCCGCACACCACTGGTCCTTGACCTCATAGGTCCGTCTCTCCCACTCTGTAATCTTCTCTTTCCATTTAGCCAGGTTCTCTTTATTGGATACACGATTGGCCTCAATTTGAGTGAGATACGGCTGCTTGATATTCGCGGGCGCATCACGCCACATTTTCCCAAGTGCTTGCCGGATTTCATCACGGGGAGCTTTGGCCTCGGGGTTACCTGAGCTGCGGCGACGAGCGTCATCGCATTGATCTTTACAAACGAACCAATAGTCCTTCTGATATAGTAAAAATGGGTTCAAGGGTTGTTTGTGTGGTTGCGGCTCTGCAGGACCCAACTCTGCGATGATGGCATCCCACATAGCTCTTTCATATGTTTCTTCGAAAGGCACGTTGGCCTTCAAGTGGTCTGTTTGGTCGATGACTGTAGGAGCTATATTTTGGGCTGTCAAGGAAGATGACCCCAATGGAGGCTCTTTTCTCTTTTTGGAGTTTATTACTGTTGGCTGGCGAGCAAGTGTTGGTGGTGTTATGGGCGTGACGGCGGGCGATGCTTTGCTCCTAGGCGGTACCAGAGGTGTCGGCACTTTAACTGGTCCAATTATCGATTCCATGACCTCTTTTGCCGCCCGTAATCCAGATAGATAGGCACCGTGTACGGTAGCAGGATGAGTGCCACATGTCGCCTCGCCAGCAAAGTATAAATTTCCAATAGATTTAGCCATCAAATCATAATCTCCGGGTAATGCTTTTGCAGCGACGTAAGAATAACTGCCACACGCAAACCTATCTTGTCCCCAACGCGTGATAATAGTCTCTAGAGGATCTGGCACAGCAGCGCCTTTGAAAATGTTTCGGAGCTGAGATGTGACCTCGTATAGAATCTCGGAATCGGGGACATTTTCGGCATGGTGTGCTGAATCCCCAGCCATTAGAGCAATAAGCATAGGTAGTCCGCTTGTCTTCATGCAATTCCAGAACAAATAGAACTTGCCCCGACCAGCAGCATAGTCCTCCTGAGATAGGCTGTCGGGAACCGCTGGCTCGCGCAGGAGACCGATCATGTCTCTGTCAACGTCCCAAAACGGCTTTTCAAACACAAGAATGACCTTGTTCATGACCCCAAATCCCAAGCGATCAATGGCATCGGTTTTCCAGGTCGGTAAAGGTGGTGTAAACGTGATGGACTGGCGTTTTAGCACACCCAGGGGAACTGTAAGTATGACCTTGTCTGCAGTAACCACCTCACCATCGTCAAGGTAAACTCGTGCCTTGTTATTGGATGACTTATTAGCCTTGTAGGAGATTTTCGTGACTACCTTGTTGGTGCGCACGTCGAGTTTTGACGGATACGACCACAGGCCTCTTGGAACTTGTTGGTATCCGCCAACAATCTGTGCATGTTCACCTTCGAATTCATTGCCCATATCTTGATCCCATCCAGCCAGGCTAAGCTTTCCTAGATTTGCAGCATTGGCATACTCGAGGTTGGCATAATGCCAGTTTAGCAATCTCATATCTTTTGGTGTCAGTGGAAGGAGTTTTTGGCATTGGCGAATTGCATCATCCATAACTGTGCCCAATGTCTGATTCTCTGATAGGTCGGCAATTTCGTCTAGTGACAGCGTGTCCGTACTGGAAATACCTTCACGCAATTTCCATCCCATGGCTTGATACGAAAGGGCGGCAGCGTTTCCGCCGGCCGTTTCGAAATCGGATAACTGAGGGCCGGCTACTGGTTTAATGTCTGCAGTTCGGTGGCCAACACCCCGTCGAAGTCGTTTGGCTGGTAGGAGCAAATCTACAGTTCCGGACGCAGCGGCATCTTCATATTGTCTGATTGTGATCCCGTCATCGAGAACAGCATCTCGCCCGGAATGAATCAGCTCTCGGTCGCCCTCAGCAGTTTTGTTTATGACTGTTTTATGACGATACATCCCAGAGCGGTTGAGAACGTCATTATAGAGCTTTTCCACCATCGAATCTTGCAGTTCATCGACGGGATAGCCGTCAGTGTCGTAAATCGTGGAAATATCACGTAGGAGGTGGCATCGCAATGCCAGCTGCGAGCGAATGATAGGATCTAAAGGATTTCCATGGTCAAAACCGACAACAATCTGGGCCCCCATCTCTGCGGTAGATCGAGATCCGGGCGGTAAAGTGTCCGATTTCAAGGATTGTAGCGGGTGTGAGTATATGCGACCACCAATTCGCTTACGACCTTCTAATACGATAATTTTTGGTGGCATTGTATCACCCTCGTAGTGTTCGAATAGGCCTTGCAGTTGCCTAGCACACCCCAACCCGGCCATACCAGCCCCTATTATAACGATTGTTGGACCCTCTTTCCTGCGACCTCGTTTAGGAGGGTTCGGGTTTTTGAGGGTGTCAATACAGCCGAAATTGATATAGCCATTGCGCACAAGCCAGTCGTAAGCAACAGCAGCAAGATTCATCCATCGCCAGTCTTTCGCACAGCCAAGCGCTTCTTCTTCCGTAACGCTGAGCATAGGGTTTCGTGTCCACAGCCTAAGAATACCATTCCGGATATTAAGATATGTAGTGACATGGAGGTGGCAAAGATAATCTTGTAGAATCTCCTGTTCACCTTTATGGAGCGCGTAGGGGTTGAGTCGAGAGGAATAGGCTGCAGCAACGCATTGTTGGGCATAGACGGACGCCAACATTCGAGGGGGAATCGACGATCGTGGGCGAGCTTGGCTATTGTGATGGAATAGGGGCTCTTTTTGATATTTGCGGGAGGCCGACGATGCGCTGGCGGAGACGGTGGCAGGTGGAGTGTTGAGCATCTGATTCAACTGAGCACTAGGTGTCATTGATTTTTCAAGGCCAAATGACGAGACCAAAGACGTTGAAGTTGCCGACCCGCTTGGAGTGTCATGACCGCTAAAAAGCCTTGAATGCTTTGAGACGTCGCTGGAACCCTGGGAACTATCGTCTCCTAGTTTCGACAGAGGAAGTTGGTATGCGGAAAGTTGATGGAAGCCGGGCCCGATGTCCACATTCCGTTCACATGTATCACTGTTCACGGCCGATGACTCTTCTTTCCCGTCGTTTGAATTGGAAGCAGCGATTTCCGTCAGGGCAGTCGGCGAGCGGGAGACACCGCATCCAGATGCATCGTCGTCTGACTTGATATCCGATTCATTCTTCATCGAACACGTCTCCGATTCCACACTCTTGACCGGCTCTAAAGAGCTCTCGGCATTGGATAATGTATTCCCGTCTATGCCAACCATGGCGAATCTGATATTGGTGATCTTCGGGGTGTAAACCGCCAGGATGCAAGACCCAACAGCCAAAAGAGAAATCCGTTAAGGGCAGTTAATTATTTTCACTCTGCTCTTCCCTTTGTGGCAATCAATATCAGATTTCAACTAATCCTGCCATTTTCGCAGATAGGGGTTTCGCAGGTCGCTGTGTAGTGATTCCTAGATGGAGTCTGGTCAAACGCTTCGATATGCTGGAAAGGGGTCTTTTCTCGCAACGGCTAAGATGAAAGTAAGCAGTCCAATCTTTCTGAGAAGCAAAATGGAGAATATCATTGTCCATGCGATTGAGGGGTGGAATGCCACTTGCGTTTGTTATATTAACACAGTCCCTATTCAGAGGGTCGACACCAGAATGGGAAAAGAGATTTTCACCCGCAATCAATATCTATTCAATCTCGAACTCTGCATTCAGACAATTGCATTCAATCTTCATCGGAATTACCCCTGCTGGAGCACATCCATTCGTGAAGCCGTGACTTCGAACCGCCATCGCCTGTCTGGCTCAAGATCCCTCGTCGCCCCGGTTCTCGGCGTACATTTCAGACTGACGCCGTTCATCCAACCTCAACCCTCAACTGCACCAAAAACGTCGCATCCGCAGCGATGCATCAAAGACATAGGGCATGTCATGGAGAGTCGAGTCTAGTGCAGGTCGATTTTCGGGACACCTGGGAGGCGGCTGGCAGCATATCAATCCCTCCAGTGGGAGCTAAACCCTCGCCCGCCGCCCAATGTCTTTGTGAGGATTACACGATGGCGACATCACGCTTCAACCCCATGCACAGCCCCAGCCTGTGAAAGTGCAATCTAGCAATTGTTTCTTAAAACTGATAATATCCCACTGCTATCTAGGCTTCTTGTTTGAACCATTCGAGCCATTAAAATCCAACAAGGGTGAGCTGGAGCATCAAAGTACTGACCAGGAAGTTTGCCACCCGTCACTTCAGATATAAGATGCCCGTGACGACAATCCTGCTTCAATCTTCCTGCGCATTGCGGGAGATGAGCATCTTTCTCGTGGCAGCCTTCGCAGCAAAATAGTCATGTCACTGGTTGATGGATTGGCGTTTATCATGGCTCGAATGCTAACAGCATGTCCTGGACAGCAAAGTGATCGGTCCTGCTACCTTCCATCTCGGTTAGTTCCCGCGGATTGTGCTTGTAAATTGCGAGATTGAATATGTCCGTGTATCACTAACCTCCTACAAGCAACAGGAATCGCCCGAAAAGTGACGTCGTGTAGGCTCCCTCTCACGCGTCCTCACAATGAATAATCTCGACAGCGCGTGGAAGCTCCAGGTATCTGGGCGACATTGTTAAAATGACTGTCAGAACTCAGTCTTTTGTGCTGTTACAAAATGATATCGCCGGAATTGCGAATCCGAGTTCTCATTCCCTGTGCTGCAAAGATTGCGCATTTGCCGGTTGGAGGTTAGGAGACATGCCGCATCCAATCTAGGCATGTAGAACTGGCATTGGCAAACAAAAATAAACACGAGATGATATAACTTTGAATCAAGCATGCAACTATAGCGGATATTCATATTTCTGCAGTTCAGGCTGCTGGCTTATATGTACTGGTGAACAACCAGAACAAGGCGGCATTTGATGCGATATTTTTCAAATCAATCTAGCTAGAATGTGCCAGTGAGTGATCCGGGTGGCCACTGCTGTAATGTAAATACACACGGAAATATGTTCTAGATATTGCATTCAATCAAGTAACGTGGGATGGACTATGGCTGTAAAGAGCCCGTCCCAACCCACCAATCTACAAAAGCATATATGCATTCAAACATGACCCGAAAGTACAACCTCACGCCAATATATCCAAAGCCCGAACATGTGCATGCATCCTTTTATACATGCCGATGCAAACTATACGTTTCTTCAGTTCCTTCGTCCCCATCACCAGCGCCGAAAACATCAGAATCATTGTCTGTGAATTCATCTCGATAGCCGCTGGTGTCTATCGCCACGTGGTCATTGTCTATGTCGGCAGTTATATCATCGTTGTCATCATGAAAGTTACGTTGCGCTTCAATATCGTGTGCGAGTAGGTTGGACGCAGCGGTGTACTCGTCCGGATTGTCGACAAAGGAGCCTGGAGTGGGCAGCTGTGACGGATCCCCGCCGGCTTGAGCAAGGATAGCGCGCTCTTCGGCTTCAAGCTCAGCGGCGCGAGCGAGGGTGCTACAAGGGAAAATTGGCTGTTAGATCAGAGAGTGAATGGGGGATGGATCGTAGTCATACCGTTTATATATGTACCACCCCGTAAATATGCCAATGCAAACACCAATGACTATGCTGATTATGTTGACCGCCTTGGTACCAGCACCCATCTTTTCTCCGCTGTGAGCGAGAACGCGCAGCCTGCTTCCTATAAATACAGGCACCAATAGCCTTGGCGTTACGATGGCCGTAGCAAGGCCGTACATGAGCGGTTGCACGGTTGGAAAGGTTGAAATGGCTCCGTTGCATATCGAATACGGCAATGGGCAGAGGCGGATCATGCAGAGAAGTTTCAGGCCGTCATATTTGAGCGTCAATGCCAGAGCCGCGAAGCGCTTGTCGTGCTGTACCAGGCGATGTACGAATTTGGCAAGGATTGTTCGGGATAGCATAAAAGAGCATATTGAACCAACGACGGTTGCGGTAGCGAAGACCGTCCAGCTAAAGGAAAGCAATTCATCAGCGCTGAAATCATAGCACCAGGAGCGCTCATTGCGGGGGAAGAAAAAGAACATACCCCTTCCAAACGCCAAAGATAAACCCTGCTACTGTCCCGATAGCTGACCAGCCGACCAGCGGCGGAAAAGAAACAACAAAGGTACAGATCCAGACTACAAAATACACCAGCGGCGATTTCTCAAAATCCGCCGCCACGGGTTCCAACCATTTGAAGATATGGCCCGAAATAATCATGAAACCAATACCAAGTGCCGATAGAGCCAGCCACGCGAGGACCGCCGTTATCTTTTGCCAGATGGTTAACCGCATCCATATTTTGTAGAGCCGACTGTAGGTTCTTTCTAGGCGGTTTATAGCTCTATCTCGGGTGCTGATGGACGCGGAAAAGGCGGATGAGGTGCGTCTGCCACGACTGAGGCTCGAACGTGGGCGGCTCCATAGCGGACGGGTCGAGAGAGAAGGGGAGAGTGATGAATCTCGGATTGGAGGTGAAGCAAGGCGCGCGTCAGCGACTAGGTCGCTGTTTGTTGTCATCGCAAAGGATCCGGACGGTGCCGGGTCTGGTGATTGGGGCGGGCTGGTATAAGATTTTCTTCAGGGCATGGAGGTGTAGTATGAGCTATTCTCGCACGGAATCTCCGATGAGTTGAGCGGCTGTTCCTCCGGGATGAGCGGCAGCGTGGAACTTGGACGGTTTGATGTCCAGGAATTCGGCCCGAAATTGGTGAAAAGCATGCAGTGTCAAATTCCCAAGCGCATCAACAGTTCCCAAAGCAACAAAATGGTTAGTTGGATGATAGAGTGCTGAGTTTCCCCGTCTGAGCTTTAATCATGACAGTCTCTTGTGCAGCAAAGTTTGGTCTATTTTTAAAAATCTGGATGCCTTGCTCCGCAGCCATTTATTCCGCGGTTGGCCTGAACACCAAGGAACATGTGCTGGTGGGGGCTGTTCAGTCAAGGCTGTGCTGTCCAGGCGAATAATCGGAGCACTGTCAGTCTTTGGACAAGGCGCGCCTGGGATTCCCTGCTTGTTGGGCTGAATTGGATGGATGAATGGACATGCTCTGGGAGTTGCTGCAGTTACACGGCTGATAGATCTGGATGATCTACCTGGTCAATTTGCTACGCTCTACAGGTCTGGCCATCTCCCCAACAAGGATGTTTGAAAACACCTCGCATTGATGTGTATATCAATCACCGTCTGCAGGAAAAGAGACCTGTTCCATGTAAAATGAAGTGTCATGAAGAACAACAGACCCAATGAGATAACATGAGCAGCCCGCCAAGAACAACAGTGAGAGTTGGTGATGTTATTTCACCCCCCATCAAAGAACCACGCACTAGGCTCCTTGTCGTCATTGTAACCATTACAGGCCGCATACAGAGATACACAGCTAATCACCTCAATACACAGCTGGCTTACCGTACCGTGACGCCTGTCAGCCCCTTCTAGGAGCCGAGTGTGACCGCGGAGCCAGCCTTTCTTCAGGCCAAACACCTTGGATGCTTCAGCTTCACATCCCCAGAAGCTCCATCTGGTGTTCGGGGACTGGGAGCATCACTGTTCTGTGTTCTCTCTTTCGCTGTCTCTCAGCTCTGTGCTTTGCGTGTCTTTACTCTGTGTTGTAATCACCATGTAAGTTGCAAGCAGGGGACATTCCGCTCATCTTCACATCAGTTCAATTCACTGCGATCTCGTCCACTCCCTTTTGAACCCCTTTCCACGTCTTGATTTGCATTTGCACCATGTGCAGCGGCTGGTTATCCTAATCAGTACCAATCTCCCCCATTAGCTACCCTCCTTCTAGTTGTCTGTTCAGCGCACGGCTACGGAGTACTCCTTTTGTACTGCCGCCATGGTTTCCGAGGAGGTCTTTGAATCATGCTTGCCCATACTCAATGACGCCGAAGTCGACGAGGAAGAAAAGGTTGAGAAGTTGGAGGCATTCCTACGCGACAAAGCCGCTCTGACCGGGACAGTCTTGGAGAACGCTGTGTTGGACATTCTCTGGCGCCATCGCAACTCGCTGAAGGGCGGAGCATCCCCTCCCCCACTTCGCCATACGGTCATCCGCCGCTCCTCGCCTGCGCCGTGGCAGATAACCCGCTCGTCCACTCCGCTTTCGTCCCCGTCCAACAGTCCCGCCGTTCCTTCGGGATTCCCGGTTCCACGCGGTGGCTTTCCTCGTGCTCCTAGATCCTTGACTGCCTCCCCGTTCACGTCGCCACGTCCGTCACCCCGCCTGGCCTTCGCGCAGCCAATCCCCCACAGTCCTAACCTCAACGCTTACGAGTTTGCCGAGCGGACTCCAATACCGGAATATGGCGATCTTGGGAGTGATAATGTTGATTGGCTGGTCAATGACGACGCGAAGAGCACTGCGTCGTCAACCGGCTTAAGCGGCGCCGCCCCAGAATGGGTTGCGCCGGCTGATATGAGCCCATACGACATTCTAAGATCAGTTTTGGGAGATAGACGATCCAATGACGAAATTGAGGCCGCCCTTGCGGCTAATGGGTATGATCTTGGTGCGACAATCGCAGCCTTGACTGAACAAGAAACCATGAACAATAGTGCCACTTCCAACAATGAAGGTAAGATTTTGGTTGGCAAGTCTATGACCATGGAGCACACGCGACCTTTGACTCCATCAGGCCAAAGCCGGAGTCCCGTTGTCTGCAAATATTGGCTGTCTACCGGCCAGTGCCTTCGAGCAGACTGTCGATTCAGCCATGATTTGACCAATCATATTTGCAAGTAAGTAATCGCGAACTATCTATATTCGCAACTCCGCGACTAACTAGCGCCTAGGTACTGGCTCATGGGCAATTGTCTTGCGGGTGATGTCTGCCCTTTTTCACACGATCCATCCACACTGGTTGGGTCCCTCAGCGTTGGAAATGACGCCGGCGCCACGTTTGGTAGCCCGTCAACTCATCAACAGCAAGTTTCCTATGGTCAAGATAACTATGATGCCTTTCCAGCCTTACAACCTGCCATGGGCGACCAATGGGCCAGTTACTACCCCCAAAAGCACGCTGCTCAATATATGTACGCCGGGAACCAGTCTCATCGCGGACATTCGCCCTCGAATGTTAGAAATAGGACTGCTCTCTTGAACCAATCGACCCGTCCACATTCTCGACCCACGAGCCGGCACCAACAGCGCGACTCTAGCGGCTCTGCTCTATCCGTAGACGACCCCGAGGCATTTCCAACCCTTTCATCACTCAACCCTAAATCAGGGAAAAAGCATCATGGGAAACGAGGTGGACATAACCAGAATCGTGACAGTGGCGGCAACAAGGAAGGTTCATCCGGTTCGCTGGCTGACGTGGTTCGAATGTCTCCATCCCAACGGAAGGGCGCTTCTAAAGGAGCCCGGCCTGTGAACAACGGCCGCGAGAACAGCGCAGCTTCTCAATCCATTCCCACCCCGAAGCATTTGCCATGGCTTGAAACGGGCCCTAGTGCGAACCAGCAGTATCTTAAATTTCGCCTAGACGCGATTACGCACGGCAACGTCAGGAACAAGTTTCTCCAGAGGTATGGTCTCGTCATTTTGTCCCTCGAACGAACAATATCATCAATATCTGACCTTATTGTAGTGCCGCGCAAGCTTGGAATCGCAATGATGCGCGTGCCGCAAAGGCCCTGTCACTTCGTGGCCAAGCTGAGAACGAAGCGATGCGGCGGTGTTATCGCGAAGCTGCACGCCACCTTTACGAGGGCGCTGACACAAACTCAAAAACTGACGCTGAACAGGAGATATACGTTGACCTACACGGGCTTCATCCTGGGGAGGCGATTGAATATCTTGAAAATACTCTGAAAGAGAACGCAAAACTAGGCCGCAAGCTTCTGTACGCTATCACTGGCACCGGGCACCACAGCAGGAATGGCAAAGACAAAATTGGCAAGGCGGTCAAGAATTGGCTAAACGAATGGCGATATGTGTACTGCGAATTCAATGTGCCAAGTGAGCGCGGCGGATATGTGGGCGGTGTGCTTGGTATTGATCCTACAAGCAGCGAGAAGAGTGGGCAAGTTTCAAGCTCCAATGGAGAAGTGCCCTCGGAAGACAGCAAGAAAGATACTCAGGGGGATGAAAATGTGAGCAAAGCTGGGGGCTCAATGCCAGTTCTTACCCTAGGCAAGGTACAGCTTTTGAAGCGGGAGGACTCCAAGAAGTAACTCGGCATTCTTCTAGGTTAAGAATGACAATGAAACTTCCCAATTACCGACTATCAGACAACGTTTGTCTCAGCTCCGGGGGATTTTTGGGCGGCTCGAAAACCGACGACTGCTCTACATGCCCCAGCGCTCGTTGAAATCCGCTATGGAACTCGATTTGATCGATCTTTAAGAGTACATTGAAGCTGGACCCTTGACGAGTCGCTATCCTCGGGGCTGCCGCACCCCTTAATGGGGTGTGATGCGATATGACTAGAGGACAATTTTTGGTTTTTTTTTTTTTCTCATCACTTGAAAGATTGCTAGCATAAGACTCAGAATACATCTTTGGTCTATAACTAGAAAGAATGACTACACATACAATATCTCTTTTGGTAACATTCATAAGTTTCCTGGATATAAGTTGTGAAATACATACCTATAAATTCGGGGGAGACAGATGGATCGAGAATAAATCCAGAGTAAGACATCCAAAAAAAGGCGAATGGCCTAACCGCTCATTTACTCCGGCTCCTGGTCGATCCACTCCCTCTTAACCGCCTCAACATCCATTCCACAAGCCACCGCTTTCTTCACAATCACCCTCGCCTTCTCCGCCACAGGAACATCAATCATCTTCCCGCCCAACGACCAAGCCCCCCTCCCCTGCCGCGCAGCCTTCTCATCCGCAATCGACACTCTAACCGCCCACTGCAGCTCCTCCATCTCCGGACTAAACGTATCCTGCACTATCGGAACCTGCGTGGGGTGGATACACTGTTTCCCATTGAAGCCCAGCCTCTTGCCACCCTGCGCCTCGGCTTTCAGGATATCAACCGCGCGCTTATCCTCTGGGTTTGCGGCCGTGCGTGAACTGTATGATGTGCAGACGAGGTCGATCACGGAGGGGATGTTGTGTGCGCGGGCGGCGGTGACGATGGCGGAGCGTGCGTAGAGGAATTCAGAGAGGGACGGGGTGCGGGTTAGGTTGAGGTCGAGGGCAAAGTCTTCGGCGGCGAATATGAGACCTGAGAGGAGAGGGGAGGCAGTGCAGATTTCGGAGAGGTTGGTTAGGGATTTGGCGCTTTCGATGAGGGCGAGGATGGAGATTGGGGTTCGGGGTGTGGAGGGTGCGGCGGTCGAGAGGGCGTGGTGTACCATGTCATGGACGAAACGGAGGTCGGAGGCTGAATCGACTTTGGGGACGACGATTGTAGAGAGGTTTGGGGATTGTAGCTGTAGGTCGTGATGCAGCTGTTAGTCTCTCTCGGGCCACATCGGTTCAAGTGGTCTCGATTCTGCCCACCATCTGCTCCAGATCTTTCTCTGCTAGTCCACTCCCTACTGAGTTAATCCGGACAGACTGTTCCCGGATACTATCCGGCTTTGTTTGGTCGATTTCGTTCCTGACCATCTTCCGAGCTTCATCTTTTTGGGAAAACGTTACGCTATCCTCGAGATCGTAGGCAACACAGTCCACAGCAATGGAGCGAGATTTCTCAAGCATGCGGCGGTTTGAACCGGGGACTTTGCAATATCGAATTAGCTCGCTTGACTGTGAATTTCCTTAAAACTAGAGAGGAACGGGAGCTATGTCTTGCAAGATCATACCGTAAAAGAGCGCCCTACGGAGCACGTTGTTTGCAGCCATTGTTGCTACCTGTTTCGCACCCAGAAATTCCCCCACGGCTCAGAATCTCCGTCTGCTAGCCAGCTGAACAGTCAATACAAACAATCGGCATCTACTGTTCACTGGCGACGAACAGTTCGACCTCCAGCACCGCTACAAAACGTCATTCCGCTCGGCTTCAGAGTTTCCCTCGGCTCGTAGGCGGAAAGGATGATCATTTCTCCGTCGAGGTTGAATCCCGGGACCCGAAGCCAAATTCCATCAGAAATGACGAGCTGAGGACTGAGGTGGATGGCAGCTTGTCGAAAATGATTTTCCAAGAGGCCAAAATTCCAAACAGGTATAGTTGGCAGGCTCCTCCGTTTGACTAACTGCCCGCCTCCATCTGGATTCAAAAGTGGAAATTGAACCGATAGTTATAACTACCAATTCTGGGTTTGATGCCCAAGCTCCGACATCAACCCGACGCAACGCAGTGGCTATCGAACAACAGCATTCTCCAGCTAATCGAGACTTCTAGCGATTTCGATTCCCGCTGGCGATATCTCTGGTGCGCCGCCTCGTTACCCAGGAATGAGCCTACTCTGAGCGAGTATAGAAAATTCAAATGCCTTATCGTGGCCGGAATTGTCACCAAAGAATATAACCCCGAAAGGGCTCATGGGTATCTCCATATATGGGGGTGCGGCTCTGCGGAAGGTGAAGATTCCAGCAGCAGAATCGCAAGCCCAAGTGTGTTCAAAAGGATGGACCAGCGTTTGAGAAGTGTACCCTGCACGGATCAGGTTTGCAGTGTAACAGCCAAACACTCAAGCAAATGCCAGAACCTACTCTGGACATTGCTTTCTACCTGGCACTGGGTTGAAGCAGAACGGTCCCGAACATGGCTACACTAGCACAATATAGAAGGCTCAAGAGTCTGCCGTTTGTAGATTAAAGCAATATCAAGGCCAGAATATGAAATACCACAGAACATAAAGTAATTTCCCTTGCGCCATGCTCTATATCTTGAGAATTGATCCGATCAAAGCCTGTAGAGGATTATCAGGAGAAAAGCACTGATCGCAAGAGGCACAGCGGGTGATTCACGTGACCAGTTCTCAAGCCATTGAATTGATGCGAGCTGACCCCAATGATCCCACATCAGCAAGTGCTCAAGTTCATTTGGAGAGATTCCACCGGATTTGGTCTTAATCATGGATCAGCCGCGGACTGGCGACCTTAACTGGCGCCTTAGTGCGCATCCCATCACTTTACTACTCTTTCTCGGCTTCAGAATAGGTGTGTTGGCTGCCTTGCGAGGAGCGAGCGGCACTATCTAGACAGCTTTTTACAAAGAGAGTAGCTAACATTTGTATTTTTACTTTTAGGCAGCTTGCTCATGTACCTATTTGGCGTCCTCTTCATTAATGATTTGTACGTTGCCAATCCTGACAACTTGCACCTCCGGGACTATCCGTGATTGCTACTACATTCGTGAATAAGGAACTGATGTGCCTCTCCTTCCAGTGTCTTGGTTTTCATATTCACCTTACTTCTTCTTTCTGCCGATTTCTATTACCTCAAAAATATCGCTGGTCGCCGCCTTGTTGGTCTTCGATGGTGGAATGAAGTAAATACCTCCACCGGCGATTCCCACTGGGTCTTCGAGAGCTCCGACCCCAACACACGCACCATTAATGGTACGGACAAGCGGTTTTTCTGGCTTAGTCTGTATGCTACTCCGGCACTATGGGTGGGACTGGCGATTCTGGCCATTGTTCGGCTTCAAAGCGTCATCTGGTTGAGCTTGGTCGGTGAGTTGGACATGGCAGACTTCCCACATGCGTCTTCCCGGGTATATGTGGACTAACTAGCAGAGCAGCCATTGCACTTATTTTGACCATCACCAATACTTTGGCGTTTTCTCGATGTGATCGTTTTAGTCAGGCGTCGACGTTTGCGAGTAGCGCTTTTGCGGGTGGCATTGCGGGCAATATTACCAGGGGCATGTTTGGAAGGCTATTCCGTTAGTTTGTATTGCGCCAAACGATGAGCACCAAGTTGCGTCTCTGAGCAATCTCTGAGATATTAGCGGAACCGGTATTCTAAGCAGGAAGCACTAGCACGATAGTAGTTCGCGTGGAGTACGCAACTTATAACCGTCTTGTTGCGGCCTCCGTCCCCTACACATTATTTAATGGGATACCAAATACGACGCGGCGTCTGGCGTTGAAGTAGAATTGCGCTTTCATTCTCAGTCTTGAATGAGGTTTTGTTGAGAATCATGATGTATTTTACTATCCTGTGTTGATAATTCTTTGCATTGCTTCAAATAACGAACTATACACCTCCAGGCTAAAGCCATGGCCCCCTCCCGAACCTTCCACTAGAGCCACGACTACATCTTAGCACGTTGCACTTCGAACATGAATTTCATCTCCTGTCTGACGGCCAAGTCCCTCAAAATCTCTTCACTCCCACCGCCCACAACAAATACTCGCACATCCCGACTGATAGCCTCAATTCTCGCTCCCTTGCCTGCCTTGTTATACCCTGCTCCACCCAGAATTTGTTGCGCCTCGCGGCACACTTTTTCCAAGCAGCGGGTACTCATCACTTTCAGTAGAGCCGTCATCCCTCCCACGTCAACTTCTTTACCAGTTTTGGCATTCAACTGGATAGTATAAGCCAACTGTTCCATAAATGCCTGGCATGGTTCGATGAGTTGGCCAAATTTACTTAACTTGGCGCGGATAATCTGATTGTTGATAAGCGGCTGGCCGAATGTCTCGCGGGTGATGGCGTAGTTGAAAGCATCTTCAACGCAAACGCGGGATAGACGGATGCAAGAGCTTGCCATCCCGAGGCGTTCGGGATTGAAGTCTATGCGGTTGATGATGAGTTTGGGGAAATACTTTAAGAGAAGACGGATGACATACTGGACATGACATATTTGAACCCATGGTTTTCCTTTCCAACGAGATTTTCTGCGGGCACTTCGACGTCGTCGAATTCAAGAAACGTTGAGCCACTGGCGTTGACTCCAGAGTTATACATCTGTCGCCGACTGACGCCCTTGGAGTTCAGGGGTATTATCAGTAAAGATATGCCTTTACGCCCAGGCCCGCCGGTCCTAACTGCAGCCGTGCAGTAATCGGCAAAGATGCCGTTTGTGATCCATTTCTTTGCTCCGTTAACGATGTACTTGTCTCCAACTCTTCTAGCAGTGGTCTTGATCCCTGAGACGTCAGATCCAGCTGCAGACTCCAGAACGTTAGTTATCAGTTCCCCCTTCAACCTATAGAAAACGCAAATACGGACCATCGGGTTCAGTAATTCCCAAGCAGAAGCGAATTTCTCCGCGAGCCACCCTTGGCAGATACTTTTGCCGTTGTTGCTCGTTTCCGAAATTCATGATGGGAGGGCAGCCAATGCCGTTGCCGCCATTCATTCCCCAAAGCACGCCGGAGAAGCCTACTCTGTATGTAGTCAGTAAATTTGACCAAACGACATAACAAGCGACATACCTCGACAGCTCATCATTGACGACGAGATTGTGGAATACATCCCATTTCTCCGGCTCAATCCCGGCCGGCATGGTCATTCCACCCATATATTCCCGTTTCGTGGGCTTGATAATGGCGAAGCCTTTCTCAACATATTTTCTAACCGCCTACACATCCGGTAGTTAGACCAAGGGTTCATCCTGCTCCGTATGCTTTTCTGAATCATGATTTTGTACATACTTCAGGGGGAACATGCCCATTCCGCTCCCACTCTTCAGCATACGGCATCAAATCGTTTTCAACATATTCGCGTGTGAATTGGCGGAGTTTCTTATGCGAGTCATCGTAGTATGGCGACGAGTCGCGGTAGTACCACAAAGGTTCGGCAAATGGTGCTGGGGCAGGCATCTCAAAACAGAACTGGATGATGAAATTTGGGCGAAAATCTGTACAGCCGGTGTTTTGAATCACGATTGGGTATGTTGTTGGCGGCTGGGCTGTTGACTTTCACATCCACTGAATTGGTCAACAGCCATCCCGTAACTTATGCATCACAGGCCTGATATCGATGTTCGAATCAACCGAGCTAAGCGTCGATGCTGTGGGGAAGCTCTTAAAGTCTGGGGTTCCGCGCCTAACATTGAACCTCGGCTCCGCTAAAGCCATGACAAACTGGACCGAAACTGCGGATCCGCGATTCTGATGGCAATAAGAAAGGGGCTTTTTTCCGATGACGATGATAAGGATCATGGCAAATCCAAGTGGTCTGCACTTTACTAACATTCAGTGGAATAAGTATGCGCCCGAAAGTAACATTCGAAGGCTATCCTCTAGCTTAATTGCACATCAAAATACATCCTTCCAGCGTTTAGCATATATAGTTTGGGTATCACCTTTAGACATCTAGAGCTTAGAAGGAGTCCAATTTGGAGCCCTTTTCTCCCTGAAAGCTAGCATTCCCTCCTTCGCGTTATTCCCAAAGAACAAGGAGCTACCATACTTTTCTACCGTCAAACTAGCAGCAGTATCAACGCTGCTAGTTTCCCACGCCTGTCTTATACCTGCTCGGCTGACGATGACACTATCCGGACTCATACCTGCGATCAACTTCGCGACCTCAATTGTTTCAGGGAGCAGGTTTTCAAGAGGAACAACTTTCTGAACCAACCCCCAGTCTAAAGCTTCTTGAGCGGTTAGTGTATGGGCGGTTAAGGCAAGCCACATGGCCCTCTGTAGCGTGAAATTCCGACATAGTCGTGGAAAACCTCCTTCTAGGGCCGCAGTCCCGCGAAGAACATCGGGTAGGCGGAAATCCGCGTTGGAAGACGCAAGCACAATGTCGCTATTGAGGATAATTTCAAAACCACCGCCATGAGCATGGCCATTGCAGGCAGTGATAATTGGCTTCTTGCCCACACGCCGAGTCATTCCCGCAAACCCGTTAGCAGGATAGAGATTGTGACCCGGAATATTTGGATTGCCGTTTAGAAATGCTGATTGGCGTTCTAATCTCTGATGAGATGCACGTTCAATCAAGAATTGGAACGCATATTCGCACCCTTAAGGTCCATCCCAGCACAAAAGGCCTTTTTGCCAGCACCTGTAATAATCCCAACACGTCTAAAATTAATCATTAATACCATATGACTTTTTAGGCGCAAATCCGACAAAAGACTTACAATTGAGGTTCCTCGTCAAACCATCTCCAGACTCGGTCCATCTCCCATACTGCGTCAACTGGCAGTGAGTTCATTTGTTTCTCCAGGTTTATAGTGAGCAGTAACACATGGGGGGCCGGGAAATCGAGGAGAACAAATCTCACAGAAGGCGGCGGAGTCTCAGTAAAGGAAGACATTGCTCATACGCCGTGAGACTTTTCTCTGCTTGAAATGAAGGAAGCGATGAACCTCTTCGGCGGGTGTTGAACATCGCTCAGGGGTTGACCAGTATGACATTAGTTAGTTATGTAAGCATGCGGGTGGCTGAAAATAGGTCCCGAAGTTCTCACTGTGGCTTGGATGAACCGCGCCAACGTCATCTCCGATGGAATACGAGCTGCGTGATATCAAATGATGAGGTTGATTTTTAGGCAGCGCAATAAATGGAAACGGTAACTAACTAGTTGTGGACTGCCACAGAAATCTTTTTGAAAAGATAAGACTCAGGGTTCCTTTCAAACCACCTACTTACACATAACTACTCAGCTAGTGACTATTGCATGAAATAACTGAGTTACTTACAGTACAAATATGGACTCTGGATCAGCTTCGACTTCACTTTTACTTTCTGGAAAGAAAATCGCTGTTGTCGGCGCAGGAATCTCGGGTCTCGCTTTTGTTCACTCGGTGCACAAACAGTGGCCTCAGGGTCATGAGTTCCCCGACATCACCATATACGAGCGAGACCCTGAGGATGCTATCGGGCGTGAGGGCTACTCCATCTCGATTCGTGGAGATACGCTTGCGGGTGGGATGCAGGCACTTCAGAAGATGGACCTCTTGGATCGCGCATTAAACGCCTCGCTCACAGGGTCAGTGCCTCCTGAAGAACGCGGATGTTTTGGCATGTGGGATCCAGATTGGAATCGGCTCCTAGAGGTTGGCGGACCGAAACCGGGCGCCGATAGGGTTGAGCTGGGAATGCGGATTGCGAGAGACGCTTTGCGTCGTGTCTTATTGGATGCTGTGCTTGAAAACAAGAGTGCAGCGGTCCGTTGGTCAACCCACTGCACCAAGGTTGACAAGCTCGACACCAGCGCTCGCCTTCATTTTGAAAACGGTGAAACGGAGATGTGCGACCTAGTGGTTGCCTGTGATGGGGCAAATAGCAAAATTCGAGCCTGTTTGCGGCCAGACGATAAGCTCTCCTTTGCTGGTGCAGTTTTGATTATTGGCACAGCGAGATTCCCTGAAGGACAAGTCCCTAAGCCTGCAGATAAAGACTGGGGCTTGGTGCTTGGTGGCAAGAATGGTGCGGGCTTATTTGTCTCCCCTATCGACTCAAAGAGCGCGGTTTGGAGTCTAAGCTATACGGCCTCGGAGCCGCGCGAAAAATTGAATCCTCCCATGCCAAAAGAACAGTTGGACAATCTATTAGAGGAAGTTTTGGACCGCGGAAGCACATTTACCGAACCGTTTCCTACCTTAGTGCGAGCCACGGACCCAACGACTTTACGTCTTTTTAACGCAATGGACAAGCAACCATTCCAGCATACACATTGCTCAGACCTGCCCGTGGTTTTCATCGGTGACAGTAACCATGCCATGAGCCCGTTTGCGGGCAACGGTGCTAATATGGCGCTCCTTGATGGCTGGGATCTTGCGGAACAGTTGTGTCAACCTCAATCCTTAGAGGCGGCTGTCGGACACTATGATAAATCCAGCATAAGCCGTTCTCAGAATGCCATCGCAGCGTCTCACTGGGCCATTTCTATGGCGCATGCAACGGGCTTCAAGCTCTTTGGCTATGGGATTGCCCTGAAGCTTGCTTCGCTACTGATGTGGGCTAAAGGGTGATTGTGGGAGTAAGGTCCTGGATCAGAATCTCCCAAATTGCTAGGTTTTAAGCTTGATATATTTGTTTTCTCATTTAGTGCTCTGAGATAGCTACTTTTGCAATGATTCCCCATTTGTATTTATCTACAGTTTATCCTAACGTGCATGTGTAATTCTTCTATATACATTCAAATAACCCAATGGCTATCTTTACTCACTGTTCTGTCTCTTCTTCCACAACTTGGAGTATTTCCCAACTCTTACGGCGCCAGGTTATCACAGTCAAGAGTAACCTCTGGCCTAATTTTAATAACAATGCACTGATTGAAGACAATCTCAGGAGCTTAGTTACCCCATCCACTTAAGCCCATAAGCTGCAAGAAGCCACCCAATGCAGAATCCAAAGTCACCATCTTTCATGCAAGGAGCCGTTGTTTGGAAGGAGAGTGTGTACACTCCATGGAATATACAAAGGAAGACTGAATCTACCGACTGGACGCTACTCAGATGACAACCATTCTAGACATCATAAGCTGTTGTTGTCGTATTGTGATAAAACAATGAAACCAGATAAAAGACGAAAAATACATAACATTGCCTAAATGGGAACGGTGGGAGAGTGAACGTGTTTCCTGTACTTTTCCCTCTCGTCCCAAAACTTCTTCTCACTTCCCCTCCATCCTGCTACTCTTTTTCCCCCAAACACTGGTTTCTCTAGGTACAGAGACAACCTCCTGACAAGAGCCATCAGTTCTTCTCAGAATACAGGAGCTCCGATCACCTTTGGTATGTTTCTGCTAATCCCTTTCCTCTGCATTTTCAACCAACACTTCAATATCATGGGTATTGTTTGGACAGATTGCATTGGTAAAGCCAGTTCTTCAGGACAAACCTACTTCTTGTTTTGTTTTGATATCTGTTCCTAATTATTGTGTCTGATCTAGGGACAGAAACCCAGACCGTTAAGGATTAAGATTTTGTCAAAGCGATATTCGACTTAATCCATCATGTCTGACAATTGGAACAGCGGTAGTAAGTCTTAATCCGAGATATTGAACTGCGATCAGATCCTATTGAAGCTGTTTAACCAAGCACTCCTTGATTCCATGTTCCCTGACTGCAAGATTCACATACTCAAGCCAAACCTTCTCGCAGCCCTTCATTTATACATAAGGTTTGCAAAAGTCTGGAGTAGAGGCTGATATGAGCATGACATAGATGATAAGTGGAATGCCGGTGCCGAAGATAACTGGAATGAGGGTGGTTTTGGCGCTGAAGATGGAGGCCACGAAGAAAGTGGTGGTGGTTTTGACGAAGCTGGTGCATCCGGAAACGACGGCGGCTGTCGCAAGTATGCCAAACGTTTAACCTGCGTACTTGACATATCTAATTGTTGCAATTGCAGCTGCGGACAATCAGGTCATTTCGCGCGCGAATGCCCCGAGCCTCGGAAGGCTTCTGGTGCCTGTTTCAACTGCGGCGAAGAAGGGTGAGCCAATCCGATCTCGTGGGCGCTAGCATTCTGATTCTAATTTAAATTAGCCATAGCAAAGCGGACTGCCCAAACCCACGTGTTTTCAAGGGAGCCTGCCGCATTTGCCAGGCAGAAGGACATCCTGCTTCGGAGTGTCCCGAGAAAGGACCAGACGTTTGCAAAAACTGCAAGGCCGAAGGTATCTTTTCCAAATTCACATCTTTCCTAGCAGCTAATATCGCCATTTTTCCCCTGAAAAGGACATAGAACAAAGGACTGCACCGAAAATCGTAAATTCGATCAGCATGATGTCCCGGATAAGATGCCTGAGGAAGCCTGGGCGATCCTAAAGAAAGCAAGTGACGAGAGGGACCTCGAGGATTTCCGTGAGGTACAGAGCTTGTCCGCAATAATTGGTTACTGCTCTCGGGCTAACCTCCCAAGGGCCTCAAAATTTATTCCAAAGCAGTTCCGCTGGCAACTTTTGACGAAATCGAAAAGAAAATGCGCGAAGACAACTTCAAGATCTACCTTATCGCGCTTGTAAGTGTTCCCGGAAATTATTTGAACTGTATCTGGCTCTAAAATGGCATTCTTGAAATCCTTAGGAACGAGAAATCGGCGACACCCTCATCTCGGTCAATTTGCAAGGAAAATTGAACTGCAAGTATGTTGTTGGCTTTTATTTCAACGAGAAACCGCAGCGTGCAAACCTCAAAGCTCGCTGGCCACCTTCCCCTGAAGAGAATGTTAAGCGCCTTGCCGATTCTGGCTTCCCCATGGATCGTCAAATTCCCAAGTGCGACAATTGTGGAGGTACGTTTGCAGTTGTGATTAAGGGGGGGTTCGTTGAGGGGTGCTGAAATGACAGGACAGAAATGGGCCATACTCGCCGTGGTTGCAAGCAAGAGCAAGCCGCTATTGAAAAAGTTGAGGTCAAATGCGTGATCTGCAAGGAACCAGGACACCGAGCCCGGGATTGTACTCAGCCGCGCAAGGAAAGATCTGGCTGCCGTAACTGCGGGTAAGAGATGGCATGCTGCTACCAGCGTTCAACGATACTAAATAACAGATAGAGAATCCGGCCATAACGCCAAAGAATGCCCTGAACCCCGCTCCGCCGAGGGTGTGGAGTGCAACAGATGCCAGCAAGGTATGTACCATTTGTTCAGAATTCGAGAAGGCGCTAAATGCCATGTGTAGTTGGTCACTTTGGCAAAGATTGTCCTGAAAAAGGAGCCAATAACAGAGCTTGCCGTAACTGCGGGTAAGCAAATCCAAATTCGACATCCAAGAGAGTCATCCCTAAGACATTGTTTAGAGAAGAAGGTCATCTGTCAAGAGACTGCGATAAACCTCGTAACATGGACAACGTTACCTGTCGTAACTGCGAAAAGAGTAGGATTTATGCAAATTATCCATGATATTTTTTCTTCGAACTAACGTCCTTTTGTTAGCTGGCCACATGAGTCGGGACTGCCCCGAGAAGAAAGATTGGTCCAAGGTGCAGTGTAGCAACTGCAAAGAGAGTGAGTCTCATGAAGAAAAATGGCTTTGAATATCATTCAGGGTCCCTGGAACTGATTTTTTTTAGTGGGTCATACCTACAGACGCTGCAAGCAACCAATTCAAGACGCCAATGGCGATAACGAAGGAGCTTATGGCAGAGACAGCGGCAAGGACTACGGCAACGGTGACAACCATGGGCAGGCAGGTGGTTGGCAAGAAACCCCAGTTCAAGCCAACGCTGAATGGGTTGGAGGCGAGGGCAATGATGGAAGCGGCTGGTAAACAAGCCATAACCATCTGGTTGCAACCCGCGAAAGAGTCGATTTTCCATGGCAGCTGCATCGCCATTCAAGACAACATCGGCATCTCAGGGTATATTCAGGAAAGCCTCCAGGCGTGGAAATTCAGTACGTTGACTAGCCAACTTGCATTTTGAGGCATCTGAAGCGATTCGCATATGGAAAAGAAGAAAATCATAGTGAACAAAAGGAGTTTGACAATGTTGCGAGATTTATGCGAGTCAGAAGCTCAGATAGCGAAACTATGGAATAATACTACTAACCTTTCACGATACTGCGAAGACTGCTCACTGTGTCTCCGCTAATAAGACCATACACGGATTTGCAAATCAAAAACTACCATCCCCTAAGGTCAGCTTCCGTCGTGAAAACTCATGATGTCAGGAGTGATGCCAAGAGCTTCAGGAACCGTCTTCCAGATTCGGTTAGCACCGGTGCTTGGCGCCGGCATCCCATATCCGGAAGTTCCGCCGCCACTTCTTCTTTTAAGCTTTTGCTACTTCAAGCTTAAGCGCTCGCCAACCGCGACAACTCCAGCTTTGATATCGACGACAACACAAGTTCGTCAAGAGACTAGAGACACCGTTGCTCTACCTTGCTACATTATATGGGTTCATTTCGTTTTTGATCAGTTGATGGCGCATGAACGGATTGTTGAAGCGCAAGGTTATCCGTCGTGCTCCCGCAGGTCTTGCACGGCATGGCGGCTCCCGATTCTTGGAGGCCTTGCTCCATATTTGTGGACCAGCAGTGTTTAGCGCATTGCTTCAATTTTTAATCATGACCTGGAGGACCTCAGCACAATCTCATGCTTGGACTGCTATCTTTTGTGAACATTCAATCCCGAATGTTTGCTGGTCTATGAGATGGTGACAAGGCTCGGAACGGTATTGATCTTATATCTTCTTTACAAGGCTTCGAATACCCCTTAGTGACTCGAACCCGAATGATGATGAGAGGGAAAAATTTACCTACCCGGTATTTCCCAAAGGGGGAAGGCTCGGTGATGATCACTGGGGACAGGGCAAAGTGAACCATTGTTATTGCATTGCATGGATTTAAGCGCCAACAACGGCGGGACCGCTCACACATGCTATCCCAGCTTCACTACCCAATTACTATCGCCACTGGGAGTCGGACAATGGTTTAAGCAATCCACAGGAACCACTCCTCAAGAATGACGAATTCCCGATTCCCGACTCTAAGGTGATTAAGTTCGGTCCGTCTCTGAGGTAGTGCGCTGATGATGCCCTAGCGTTACATGCACAACAAGCAGAAGATCACAGTATTGCTGCCATGCGATTCCTGTTATCCACTCTTCTCCATAATTCATCTCCATAAATTGCCATCTTTTGCTGGGTGCGGGAGGTTGGATCCGATGGGGAATAAGCAAAATCATGGAGAGAGTGGGATTTCCGCCGAATCATAATGATGTTGCAAGCTCACTAATAATTGTTTCAGCGGCCCATTTACTTGGCTTAACCTCTTATTTCGGAGGAATAGTATAACGATTTCTCAGCGGCTACGGTGGAGATCAAATGATGGCAACAGTACAGTGAACCAAACGGAGAAACTGTAGACTCGTGGCGTGAGTACCCATGATGGTTTCTTCGTGCTACTCTCGGGTATGAAGACTGGGTACTGGGGAAATGAAGATTGTAGAATGATAAAAAGAACCTCCGCAACCCCAGCTTTTTCGCAGAATTTCTTTTGTTCTGTACCTCTCTTGTGCTCCATTATTTTGCGAGCTGGCTGACGACTCTTCGCACACTAATATAGCTTTGTCCTTCCAGCCGTGAGAGCTAATCCTTCCTTTTTTTTTCATTTCATGTCTTTTCGCTAGTCGGGAGAGTTGATTGTTAAGAAAAGAAAAGAGGCCCAAACTTGAACCATGGGTGGACGCTACTTTGGGCTTCGTGGGACGAAGCTCAACATTGCGATTGGAGTAATCGCAGGGCTGGACTTCTTGTATGTCACACAGGCTACGCGATCACCTCGATTAGTTTGAAGCATGATCAGCTAACCTGGGAAAATAGGCTCTTTGGTTATGACCAGTAGGACTTGCCGAATCTTGGGGAACGACATGCGTTAACAGCTTGATTCAGGGGTGTTATGGGGGGCCTTTTGACCCTGCCGTCATTTGCGAAAACGTTCCCAGAGATCGATACCACCGAGGAGGGCCAAAGAGGTCTTAATCAAAGCCAAAGGGATCATAGGGCTACAATCCAAGGTGATTATCATCCACTACGTCGAAACTCAGTGCCGAAAATGTATCACCTAACAGTCGATCCAGGAATCTCCGTCGCCTCCTATAACGTTGGATGTTTCTTAGGAGCCATTGCCTGCATTTGGATTGGAGATATTCTTGGACGGCGCAAGACGATCTTCCTCGGGTCCACTATCATGGTGGTTGGTGCAGTATTGCAGTGCTCTGCTTTTGAGCTCTCTCATTTCATCGTTGGCCGTATCGTGACGGGTATCGGGAACGGACTAAATACCTCGACGGTTCCAACGTGGCAGTCAGAATGCTCCAAGTCCCATCGCCGCGGTCAATTGGTCATGATTGAAGGCGCCTTGATCACTGGCGGTATTTGCCTCAGCTATTGGCTGGACTTTGGGTTTTCCTTCCTTGAACCCAGCACCGTTTCATGGAGATTCCCAATTGCGTTCCAAATCATTTTTGCTTTGATTATCATGGGATCTGTCCTGGGTTTGCCGGAGTCACCCAGATGGTTGGTACTGAAGGGCAGGGAGGACGAAGCGATAAATGTCCTGGCCGCCCTAGGTGACCTTCCACCTGATGATCCATTTATCCACACTGAATTCACTGCAATCAAAGACACTGTCCTCGAGTTGGCTGAGGTTGGATTTAAGGATCTTTTCCTCCGCAACAAAGACCGCCATTTGCACCGCGTCGTTCTGGCCTACGTCAATCAGATGTTCCAGCAAATTTCTGGTATCAATCTTATTACGTACTATGCTGCTACTATCTACGAAGGCAGTATCGGTCTTAGCGGGTTCCTCTCGCGTATCCTGGCCGCTTGTAACGGAACAGAGTATTTCATTGCTTCGTGGATTCCGGTTTTCATTGTGGAAAGAGTTGGTCGACGTCCACTCATGCTTTTTGGTGCCGTCGGAATGTCCCTTTCCATGGCCGTTTTAGCCATCGCCACCAGTTTCGTGCATCAGACGAAACCTGGCATTGTTGCGGCTGTGTTCTTGTTCGTTTTTAACACTTTCTTCGCTATCGGTTGGTTGGGAATGACATGGTTATATCCTGCAGAGATTGTACGTTTTCTCTGATTGCCTTTTTCTCCCCTCTTCATTGACTTGTGTCTGATATTCTGTCCCTTCAGGTGCCACTCCGGATTCGTGCCCCTGCGAATGCCCTTGCCACTTCGGCCAACTGGGCTTTCAACTTCATGGTCGTCATGATCACTCCGGTTTCTTTCAGCTCTATTGGATATAAAACCTACATCATTTTCGCTGTCATGTAAGTGGACTCAATTGTGCCAAAGTTGGAAGGGTTGGTGTTAATACTTTATATCACAGCAACGCCTTCATCGTCCCGGTTGTCTACTTCTTCTACCCTGAAACCGCCTACCGCTCTCTGGAGGAGATGGATACCATCTTCCGCAACACAGACTCCATCTTCTCCGTTGTCCGTGTTGCCCAAGAGACACCCCGCCGCTATGGCAAGAACGGCGAGGTACTTATCAGCTATGACGAAACGGAAGAACATCACGTACGGGCTGCGAGTGTCGGGGAAGAGAAATCAGCGGCGTTGGCATACAACAAGCATCACGCTAACCAGGACTATCATATGGAGAATGGGAGTTCCAACTCTTGAGCTAAACCATCTCCTATAGTCATTTCTAGTGATTCCATCACGCCCGCCCCCGAGCCAAAAGCTTGCTTGGTAGCCGCGTGGAAAGAGAGCGGTTTTGCATTTTGAGCTTTCAAGCATCTTGTGAGTCTTGGACTCGTATATTTGCTGGTTGCAAGGGAAATAACAAAGAATGATACCCCCAATCAATTGCGTTGTCGGTATATAGGCCCTTAGCCGATATTCAAATAATGATTTTCGCAATTAACATTATATATACTTGTATATACGGAGAGACGTTCTTTTGAAGTCTAATCAAGGTCTGCTGAGTAAGAAAGAGCCGTCAATTACCTGGTTAGCTAACTTCCCAATGATCGGTGGTAGATGAGCATTCCTTACGTCACTGGGGTATGAAGGGAGTATATGAAGTGTATTTACCCTCATTCTGATTTACGATCCCTAAATTCCCGTGTCTGTTTCATTGCTCATACCGTCAAGCTGAAGGGACATATCATTAGATTGATTCACTATGGTGACGACACGTGCCCAAGAGCGGGCAGAGGCTACTTCAGGCCAGAAACCAACCAAAGCCGAACAACCAATTCCAGCGAAGAAACATACGGCGGAAAAGAAGAACATCCAGAAGGCTGCAGGGAAAGTAGAGAAACGCAAATTACCTAAAAGGGGGGGTTAGCTTTACCCGCAGATGAGCTGAAGCTCAAGGTCAACAAAAACAAGTGCTGACCATGCCAGAAGAAGAACACAAGAAAGGGGCTGAGAAGCCAGTATCCAACGCTGTCCGCAACGACATTGATAAGCTGATTGCCAAGAGGGGGTCACTTCCGTTAGACGACCTCAATCTACGATCTCGACCCAAGCCCGGGACCGAAATGATCTTAGCATTGCTTATGGAAGCTATGCTCAAAGCGGCGCCGATCTCGCACCAGAAAGCGGAGGCGACGCTTGGGCTGCTGCTGGAGCATGGCTTTCAAGATGTAAATAACTTGAAGAATAGCTCCTGGGACGAAAGGGCCAAAGTACTCATCCAGGGAGGATATCGACATTACTATAAAAGGGCGGCATCGAACTTGGCTGAATTGGCGGATTGGGTGATTGATAAATACGGTATGTTGGATCCTTTGCTCTGCTATTCGCGTTGCCCTTGAGAGATTGGTCACGTACATTGATCTTTTGATGCCACAGAGGGCGACCTGGAAAATTTCCATGCCGAAACCGGCGGCTCCAATTCAAGGATTAGATCGACACTGAAAGAGATCAAAGGCTTTGGCGATGTCGCTGTTGACATATTCCTCGCTTCAGTCCAATCCGCTTGGCCTGAGACAGCACCATTTATTGCGGAGCGAAGTTTACAAACCGCTGAACATATTGGGATTGGAACGGATGTCGAAGCAATTTTCAAAACTCTGCATTCCGATTCAAAAGATATGTGCAAGCTGGCTAGGGCTTTGACTGAGATCCGGCTGGAAAAGGAAGAGCAGGAGTTCCAAGTGCATGAGGAATGATGTATTTAAGTCAGATATAATGCTTCCACCAGAAATCTATTCTTCTTAATCTCTGTGAGCGCAAGCCGTGTATCGACAAGAAGCTGATATAGCGTCATGTGCTCGTTAGATAGCCGTTGGGCTTAGTCATCTGGCAGCTGTTGAGCTTCAGCCGAACAGCGAAGGCCAGGCAGCTTCAATTCAACTTGGTCCCAGTCTGCCCTTATTATTGTCGTCAAATTCCCTTTCGCGACATGAAGTATTCGGTCTAACTCCGATATTCTATTTGGATCCTGCTTTGATGGTACGTGGTCGAAATCGGTTTGCCGGCCTCATGAGGCGGAAATGACGGAGTGCTGACCAGCCACCTTTCTTACAGACTTGAGCTCGGCCTGCCAACTCTCTCCCGACACAGCACACTTCTACGAACATCCTTAGCTCCATACTTCTTTGCATGCTAGTCGCGGGCGTTTGATATTTCCTTTCGTTGCTTTCGAAACCAGGTCAACGTCCCATTCAGGAACCAGGAAAATGGATCTCTCGAACATCTTGTACGTTGAAACCCCTTCGGCGTTGGTTTCGAAGAAAGGCTTTAAAGAAGATCGATTCTTGCTTGGGATAAACTAGCTACAACAAGCGCGCTGACAAGTTGGTTCTAGTCGCTTGGTCAATTTGGCCATCGGTGTTATCATGGTGCTCGGCGGGATTTCGCAGTTCTTCTTTGATCCAAAATTGTAAGTACCAGAGCCGCTCGGCGGGTGTGTGGGCTGGAGGCGTACAATGGAGGATCTCGCCAGAACGTTCCTGTGTCCCACTGACTCAGAGACTATAGCCGGAATATAATCGTTGGCATCTACGTTATTCTTTTCGGATTGGGTACGTCACTTTAGTCCGCAAAAATTATCCTCCCCGTGGCATATGATAAACTGGTGGATATTGACTGCTACCAATCCCAGCTACTGGCGGCCTTGAAATCGTCCCAAATGTTCCGACCCAGATCTCTAGACATGCCTCGTTCATGTTCTCGTTCATCGGAAGAGGAATCTGTAAGTTATCATCAGCGACAACTAGATTCTTCTCGTCTAGCCCGAAGGCAGCGTCTTACCCATGTTTCTAGTTTACATCTTTGTGGGGTGCATCATCCTTGAGCACCATGTCCTCCGCATTGTTGCCGGCTCGATCATCGGAGTCGTAGGTGTCGCCTACGTCGCCCTCGAGTTCATCCCCTCAATCGAGCCACCGGCGAACATGCGGGAGGCGGAACCTGCGTGGGGTGCGGAACAGATTTAAAGCCCTCGACTCCTCGAGTCGTCGACCTAGTTTCTCCGAGACAGCCGGATCCATCCAGATTTAGATACGAGTTAGCCGCTATGGGACAGACCGCGGCTGTCGGGGAGAATCAATAATACAACCGAACTTGCGCCCAATCTCGAGATTCTTAAGATTTATATACCTGTTTAAGACTGGGATGAGGTGAATGATCTAGTGTTTCTCAGTCTCTGCCCCCTTTGCTTGGGCCTACATATGAATGCTATCTTGATCGTCATGTTTCGATATGATATGTTTCTGCAAGCTATTGCTTCGCCCGCACTGTACTTTTAAATGGAATTCATTGCTTCTTTGCATCCCAACAGCTTTGATAGGGATCTCGCGCTTAACCCCTTCCGGCTAAACGGCGTCTCGTACCCACAGACCTGGTCTGGCCAATGGGGACGCAGCCAGTGCTGCTGACACGGGAGACAAAGCTTGGTTCGTCCAATCACAGCGCGGCCAGTGTTGATTTCCAATCTTGGCGCACACCCTAGACCAGATCAGGCCTAGCGCGTGCTAGATTGACGTAGCGCAAAGTCTAACTAATCATATCAGATTGTCCGCCATCGCCAGCCGCAAGCAGGTCGCCGGCGACGAGAAGCTCGAGGTCTCGACAGCGCTGCAGGGATTCATTCTATTCGAGCAGATCAGCCGGGGGTGCGAGCCCAGACTTGAAGTGCGCAGGTCCTTTCCAGACACCACGAGGCGAAATCAGAGCAGGAGAGAGAGTTTGATCGAGGGTGGCAACCAAGAGATAAGATAATCAGCCCGGAGGATAATCAGTATCTGATCCCAACGCCGGCTTCTTTGGCGACAAGGATCAATCACGGCTTATGCACTGCGCTGCAGGACTGAATTTCGAACTCGAACTCCCGCGACAAAAGAGGGTCGATGAAGCCGCCGTGATACCAAGCCCGTCTTATCTCACACATTATTCCTTCTTGGCTTTCTCCCGTTTGGTCTCCCATCAGGCCACTCCATCCGCGAGACAAATAACCACAGTCTTTCAGCCTCACCGCCGGTGCAAAGAAGCTTATTGAGCTTCTGTCAACTGAGATAAAGCTCGATATCTTTGATTTTGGGTCTCCAGCCTACAGATCCGTGTTGCAGTATGTGCACTCAATCCCCTTCACGCGTCTCAACAGTCTTGCTCTTCAGCTGCTACATCCGCTCCCCTTTTACTTTTCCATCGCCGACTTCATTCCAAGCTTGATCATATTTTAACCATCTGATTTAGTCTTTTTAGCATCGCATTCGACGTATTCTACTTCTGCTGCGCTGCCTTACCTTCCGAAGCGCCCTCCCCGAAGTAGCTTGGCTTTTCAACTCGACCGGCTGCAACTCGATACATACCCTTATTCCCAGCGCTGCTCCGATACCTCGTACCTTCTGAAGGTCCTCTGTGCATAATCTCCAATCAGTCTGTGCTGTGAACCGTCAGATCTCTGGTCGCGACTAGTTTGGCGGTTGCCTAAAGCAAGCCGGAAACGCAGCTTTGAACCCAAATCGCTCTACAAAAACGCTTGGGTGCCGACTCTTTCGAGAGATTTTAGTGTATTGAATCGACTTTGCTTTTAGGACAACTCGAGGTTTCGCGATAACGGCTCTTGTTGCCAGTGACGTGGGACTTGGCTCACATGGACATCGTTCGAGGAGTTCCCCCGTCGACGGACAGTATGATGCGTCATCCGTCAGCAGAAGATCTTGATGCCGCACATCAGCTCGTATCTTCGGCTCGTGGGGGAAGAAATCAAGTGTCGGATCTAGCTTCCGCAACAGCCGAAACGACCATTATGCATGATCCTGAGAGTGTTGAAGATGGACCCAGTCCTGGAGAAGAGCATCAAAGACCAGAAGAACTGAACGATGACAGCCAACCGAATGCGTCGTACCAGTCCTCCAAGTCTGATGGAAAGGATCAAGTTTTTTTAGGCCATTCATGCGTGTACGTGATTGGCCCCATTCAGCGGTGAAACATGTCGTAATGTACTTTATGGCTGACTCTGTTTGTCATATAGCAACTGCGGGACGAAAAGAACGCCCCTTTGGCGGAGAGCGCCCAACGGTTCAACGATATGCAACGCATGTGGCCTATATCTAAAAGCGAGAAACGCTGACCGTCCAACAAATCGTAATCGCCATTCATCCGCCACCATCGGCTCCAACGCTTTGCGAAATACAGACGTGCGAACAAGCACCTCTCCTACTGCCGGTGGTGGGTGTTCTGGCAAGCAGTTCAATGTTACGAACGATCAAGTCGCTCCAAGTGGAACATGTCCAGGAGGTGGTAGCTGCAACGGAACTGGCGGTGCGGTCGGTTGCGATGGCTGCCCGGCATATAACAACCGCGTCTACAAGTCAGCTTCGCGACCTCCCGCAGCGAGGCAAATATCGAGGGCTTCTCCTCAAACCGTGAATCAACCTGGAATGCTGGGTCATGAGGCAAGCGATTTATTAGATGTGCCACAACACGATGGCAGTATACCCACCGCATGCCAGAACTGCAGCACTACGGTTACTCCACTATGGAGAAGGGATGATCAGGGACATCCTATTTGCAATGCCTGTGGTATGCCTCGTTTTCCTCATATACCACCGTGATTGATAGCTAATATCATTGCCATATAGGCCTCTATTTCCGGCTCCACGGCTGCGCTCGACCGGTCGCTATGAAAAAGTCGATCATCAAACGAAGGAAACGTGTCGTCCCGGCACTCAGAGACAGATCTCCAACTGCAGGTTCATCTAATGACTCGTCAGTTTCTCCTGAACTAGCATCTGCTTCCCTTGCATCAAACCGTTTCGATTCCCGTCGATATTCCCAAGGGGAGCATGGAGGCTCTTTCATCACCAATATCAACAGTCAACTATCTCCTCATATGCAAGCAGCGTATCAAACGCATAGTTCCGCTCCTCCCGCTATCGATTTCACCGGATACAACTCCAAACCAACATCTCTCCCTCACCACGGCCCACCACCGCCCGGCCTATACAATGGCGATCGAGTCAGCCCAAGCGACCATCTTCCCACAAGCGCCACGCCGAAAAAGCGAACCCTTGAAGAAGCAAACGCGTCAGATCCCAACTCTCTTGCTCATAATTCCGACATCCCCACATCAGCCCATCTTCCACCTATACACCCCACCTCCTCATCATCCCTCCCTCAACCAGGCCGACTAAGCTCCATCTCCTCCCTCCTTAACCACGCGGAACGACCTTATGAAGGCGCATCCATCGATCCCTCTCTCGGCGCCAACACATCAAAACCGCAAGCCCAACAAGCCCCACTCTCACAGCACGCGCCACCGGTCTCGTTGTCGCCCCCAGCAAGCGTTGCGGGATCTTTGCCGAGTACAACCCCCATCAGTGCTGCCGCCATCTCAGAAGAAGCTCTCAAAGCGGAGCGGAGGGCGCAGCTTCAGCGAGAAGCTGAGAATATGCGTGAAGCGCTTCGTGCCAAGGAGAGGGAATTAGCTGCGTTGGAACCTTGAATTTTTTTTTTTCTTTGTCTCAAATTGCGATGGATTCGTTTTGTCCCGTGCGTCTACTTACAGGTACTTGGTGTTTGAGCGTTGACTTGTCGTTGGGGATTCAAGGTGCCAATAGATATTGCAAGGAAAGGGAAACGGCCAGCAGGATTATCTTGGTGCTTTTCAGCAGAACAATGCTACTTTTTACAAACTGTTCCTTTTTTTGTATCGCAACTTCTTACCTTTCTTTGGTAGTCTAGTTATAATACCTCCTTCACTTCATGGATTGCAAACTCCGCTGTGGTCTATCCTTTCCTTCCTCCTCTCACGATGGAAGATATCGGATGGTCACTCTAGTAAAAAGGCCAGTTTCAATGTATATAGATTTCAACGTATACCATTTGATTCTTAAACAAGTAGATAAGCTAATAAGGTGCCAAGTAAATGAAATAGAGAGCTTTTCTATTTGACTCCATCCTATCGCAGTCCAAAACCCACAAGCACCCGAGGCCCAAATACAGTGGTTAGATGGTACTGCGGTCTTGCATTGTCGACATATGCCAAAACCGGGAGCACATATTGCACCATTCACTGCGGGCCTCTCTGTGCCGTTTTGAAGCTATCACCGCCGGTAGTATCTTCTATTGAGCGCGTTCAGAAAACATTGCTGTGTTCTCAACCCTCGCTAACCTCATGGACGTTGGTAATGAAGGAGGCAGATACAGTGGTATTCCCCGGCGGGAGTGCTGGTGCACACACCAGTTGGGCAGCCGATTTTCAGTTGCCCACTGATTGAGGGACGCAGAAATATGTCCCCGAGAGTGGCGGAAGAAAATCGAAAAAGCAAAGACGCCAGTCTATCACGGGCGTGGGTTCTCCACAAGTGAAATTGCCTTTTCACTTGGAAGAGCCGTTCTCCTAGCACGACGGGTTTAAGCAGTGCATTTTCGTTGCTAGCCGATACGGAGCAGGCACTGGATAACCCAGACAGGAGATTCTTCGCGGACGATGCAAACGGCTGTTGGATTCGTCATCACGGCCCTGAGTCGCGGAAATTGGTGTAAGGGAGGATCGTTCCGCTGTAGCGTTTTGTGCTGACCTTGATAATGGGGTAGAATGCATCGCCGTTAGGAACTCTTGTTCAACTGCGCCAAAGATGCTAAGGCGCGCGTGTCCATCTCGTTTGGGACTCGCCCGCCCACCATGCCAGCGAGCGCATGAGCGTCGCGGGCAACCGGGTTCTTGAAAGACGGCGGGTATTTCTCAAAAAACGACAGCCATGGAAAAGCGGACCGACTGTGGGTAAGCCCAAGTTTCTGTCTGCAAAGGGGCACCAAGATGGGTCGATTATTTCGTGGTCAACCACGCTCCACTTACTTCGGGCATTGAATATCCAAACGAAGAAGTATGATCGGGGTTCCTATTCGCATTCTAGATGTACGAGTGCCTCTTCAACCGCTCCAAGGACGCTTATTCCATTGAAGTCTGCGGTAATTCAACCCGGTTATTCTTGCAACGCCGGGTGTTCGAGTAGCATGCCGGAACTAGTTTATTCCAAGCATGTCTCCAGGCCTTGGAGGTCTGTTCGTAAGTCAGAACCAGTTGTAGGTGTTATCCACAGTGTTTCCTGATCCGATGTTGTCACGGTTCTTGTAACTACAGGTGTACAAGCCAGTCGATGTGCCATTCTCGAAAGGCGCGCGACGAACCGTGAAATCTTTGAGAAACCCATCTCGAGTCCCAACCACCGGCGATAAAAGAGAGGATTTGGGACGAAGCCCCAAACCTCCAGCTGCGAATCTTCGATAGCAGGCTCCTTTAAGGAGCAGGTTCGCAAAAGTGATGAGCTACAGGATATGTTGCAAATATCAAGCCAAGCCCTCGGGGAGCTTAATGGCTCTGCCACGTTTTAAAAACGGCTTTTATGCAGAACCATAAATGATCCCAATATCATCGAGTAGCTCTCTCGGTGGCATACATCGTCCATGGCAATATCGAGCCCGACCAGAATACTCAGAAGGAGAAATATTCAGTCTACCCCTTGATCGACGCACAAATACGTAGTGGAGATTGCTGATAGGGGCGTGGCCGTCTTCGCTTCGTCCGCATTTGGCCGTCCATATATCTGCTCGCCCGCAGCATATATTCCTGCCTCGTTGGGCACACTTCAGACTCTAACCAGCCGTTGACCGGTAGCCAGGGTTTGGACTGATAAATGTCTAGATCCATCGGGTCGGAACAAGGCACATTGTCGTCCCAGCTATAGTCATCATAGACCCATGCCCCTTCTTTAGTATAGAATTTAAAAGTGTGACCCGTAATACTCTGTAGCAAAGCAAGCCCTCGATACCTTCTGAGATCACCCCAGTTCCCATCGTACAGGACCGGGTCGACAAATTTCATCGCTTGCCAGAGGATAACCCCAATTCGCGACATGGAGTGTAACCACGGTTTCGGCGGAGAGAGGATGACGAACAGGGACACTTCCGGCGGCGTGTAACTGGGCTCGAGTATCGGGTTCCCAAGCCAGTTGAAATGATGTACATTGGAATGGTTTGCAATCCACCATTCCTGCCGTGCTCTTTCTTCTCGTGCAGCAAAATCCCAAACCCCGGGCTCCTGCTGATCAACAAAACAATGCGAATTAGACACGTCAATATCATTAGGGTCTCTGGAAGGTCCCCCGACTGTAAGTTGAGGGTTTTCTTTCCCAATAGTCTGGGTTTCATCAAATTGGAGGACAAACGGTTGTGGTCGAAGGGTATCAACGCAGGATAGCATTTTGGTCGGTGAGGAATATGGCAAGCCGAGATCCGCTGTGATGGACGAAGAGGGTTTTCTCGAGTTCATCTGCCGCGAAGGGTCATCTTTTGTATTTGCAGCTCCTTGCGGTGTAATCTCTGGAGGCTCGTGAGCTCGCTCGTCGGAATCACTAGGTTCGCAGCGTGATGAGTAGCCCGAGTCCGTGAACTGAGACTCATCGTCCCCATCGCTGTCATAACTACTCCAGTCGAAGTTTTCCGGCTTCAATAACTTTGTCAATTCAGGATCTTCCAATGTTTTCGAGTAGAAATCAGCCGGTATTTCCTTGTCAACATGGCGGACCGCGAAGATGCCCAGGTCGTATTGGCTTTCATCCTGGTGAAAGTCTTCCGCTTCATCGTTGAGGTATTCGATGCCAAAGAGCACGTCGGTATTTGGCCGGTGACATCTAACTTCGGGACGGTGATCGAAAAGGGGAGTGCGCGATACTGTTGGGGGAGCGGCTGACAGAGCAGAAGAGATTGATCGAACGATAAATATCGATGGGTCTGCGAGCCATTCGGCGTAGTGCGTATGGACACTAGGAATAGGCTGTCTTGACGGAACTACGAATGTAGCGCTGCAGAGCACGATACGACCGCTGTAATCTCGGAGCATGGCGTCGATGGTGTAAAATGGACCGGGGCTTTCGGGATGTGACGACAAGAGGGTAGATCTGAGTCCCAGGTCCCATGCTGTCTCAGTCTGGTCGGGTAGGTAATAGTGCAATAATGGCTAGGAGGAAGATATCGAAGAGAGCCTGTGGCCTGGCTCTCCAGGACTTGGAGAATGAACGGCTTCCAGTCCAGGAAGCTGCTGATTGCCATAATCCGGCGCGGGTTCCTCGCGGTTTAAATAGATATCCGTGGGCCTGCGGCACCAAGGAAAGAGCAAAGGAATCAGGAAGCAAGGCAGGCTCAGTTACCAAGTCACAAAGGACTCGCGCAAGGATGGAAGAAATTCGCAACAAGGATGCGGATTTCTATGTCCAAGTGAGCGTGGTATCAGTGATACCTCTCGTTGTTGAATCTGATGCCAGTCAAAATCAAAATAACAAATAGAGTCCTATAAAGAGCATAAGTCAAAAAATACAGGGTATAATGCACAGTAGAAGAGAAATTTTCTGCTTAGGGCCAGTGAGTTGATATAAAGAGGAAGCAGATGCGGAAAAGAAGGCCCATTTCCTTTACGCCAGAGTATAAAGATACAAATCATGGATCCGGAAGCCTGATTCCAGGGAACAAACACTTCTCGAAGCAGTTAAAACTCAGCTGTATTAAGCTAGATTCCATCATTGATTGTTTGAGTCACAGCATAACTTCATTGTCACTGCCTCGTCTGCGGAGAAAGCCGCATCAACCCCAAGTTGGTGAATGACCACAGGGATAAGAAGTATCCTCCAGCTCCATTCAGACAAGGTATCCAGTTCTTTGGCCATTGCGACTGTCACTGTGCGGAGATGTCTTGGTCAGAAATGAAAGACTGGTGAGAGGGCAAACAAACAAAATGACAAAGGGAAATGTGAGCTCAGGTAAAACAGGTGTGGATGGACCAAGCCAGCAAAGAGACCGCAACTGGTAGATAGATCGAGTTGTCCAGCAATCCTTTGGCCTGAGAGTGATCAATGCTTCATGTGGGCGAAGCATGCGGTGACAAGGCAAACAGTGTGCTGGCTGCAACTGTGCCATATTTCCGCCTGTCAAGGCAGCAGCAATAGGTCTTGGTTTGAGCCACAGTGCCTGACCACGGTAGGAAATCCTCATCCATAATCATGAGATGGTGCCAGTCTGTCTGTGGCCCTTGACTCCAGGCTCCAACAGAACCGTTGCAGCACTAGTCTGCGGGCCTGAGGCTGGAAATCGGCACTTCACTGAAAAGAATTTGTCTCAGCAAACATATTCTCCTTCAAAACCATCGAGTATCGGTCCAGCAGCGTCCGATGCAGACCATGCTGTCTGAGAAGAGAAGAAGGGCGGCGGGTTGAGGTTAAAGTCGGCATGCTCGGCGGAGTTGACTGTTGGAGCGGGGAACAGCCGTAACCACCGTACCTTGAATGATGGAGAACCGTCTCGCTCTCTCGTAACATCGACATCCACACTCCCTTCTGCTTCATCTGTCATTCAATCAGTAGTCCTTATGCGCTGCTTTCGTCCCTGCACCAGAACATTTCAGACCTTCAGCCATTTCTACCAGAGTAGCCTTCAACAGCCATACCGCTGCTCCGAATTGCGGCCGGTACTACAGCACCTCCGAGCCAGCATCATCCCACAGGCTAGGGCAAGAAGAACAATGGCTACAGCAATGGGGAAACGCCTGGAGGGAAAGACGATTCTGATAACCGGCGCCTCGTCCGGGATTGGGAAAAGCACAGCGCTGGAATTCGCCCGCACGTCGCCGAAGAATCTCAAACTGGTTATCACCGCGCGCAGATTCGACTCCTTGAAGGCGGTCGCCCAAGAGATCAAAGATGAAGTTGGAGAGGGGGTGCAAGTTTTCCCGTGCCAATTGGACGTCAGCAAACCGGAGGAGATCAATAAATTCGTGGAGTCGCTGCCCGCAGAGTTTCGGGAAATCGACGTGCTCGTCAACAATGCGTGAGTCGCTGAATTATTCCCGAGCCGCACATCATTGGGTTATTGCTCATGCTCTCTGGAATTTATTATTAGAGGGCTTGTCAAAGGCGTCGCAAAAGCTCCTCAAATCGAGACGGAGGACGTCAAGATCATGTTCGACACAAATGTCACAGGATTGATAAACATGACCCAAGCGATACTGCCGATTTTCCAGAAGCGGCCAAACGGTGGCTCCGGCGATATCATCAACATTGGGAGCATCGCTGGACGAGAGGCATACCCAGGGGGCAGCATCTACTGTGCAACAAAGGCCGCTGTTCGCAGCTTCACAGATGCCCTCCGGAAAGAGCTGATCGCGACGAGAATTCGAGTCATTGAAATTGATCCCGGCCAGGTGGAGACTGTAAGAATAGACGGAAGCGGCATTGTTATGATTACTGACTATTGTTCTAGGAGTTTTCCATTGTCCGGTTCTACGGGGACAAAGCCAAAGCGGATGCGGTATATGCGTGAGTCCACCACACACCCCCTTTCATCCTGCGCATCCGTTTTGAAACTATTTTGCTCATTCCCACGGGGGCAGCGGATGCGACCCTCTCACACCTGACGACATTGCCGAAGTCATCGTCTTCACCGCTGGCCGGCCAGAGAATGTGGTCATAGCAGACACCCTTATCTACCCTCAGCATCAGGTAAGTTTGATCGTTGAAACGGAGCCCGCTTCAGCAACGTGAGAGAGCTAAGGTCGAAATACTCTTATCTAGGCATCCCCGACGGCCATGCACCGCCGCTCATAAAACGTTTCTGAGCCATTATGACCCAGGCGTTACCCCTCCCCCGCATTATTGCACCCGCGGCTTATCGCTCATAGAGCACGAAGTACTGGGGCTGGGACTACCCCGAAACGCACACCGGGAAGCGTTTCCAGAACACCAACACATGATAACCCAGTACAGAGTAGTAGACGCTAAAATAATAGAACCATGGACATGATGTAAATAAATAGAAGGACTGAGAATTGCAACAACTTAAAAACTGTGAAATTCTCCGCATATTCGTATTCCCGTCTGGAAATTTTCCTAGGCGTCACATCAGCCCGATCACTAACTGAGTGAAAGTGTATCACCCTGGAGTGCCAGGGTATATTGGAGAAGACTTGTGCCGTAGACACCCTGTCCATCGTCCTCTTGTTCACAGGTCATAGCGCGGACGTCACTGGGAAAATCAAACAAACCCCTTGACTCGCTTGCAGCCCAAGCAAAGTATCTCGGCCGTCGAGACTGTCAGACAGATTGGTTCAGGGGCAGAGACATTTATCAAGGTTGTTTCAGGGTGGAACTGGGACGTTGAACCCGACAAGAAAGACCACAGGGCCCAGGCGTGATCACCTGCATATGTGCAGAGAATGTAGCTCAAATCGAAATCATCCAACGATACATATTGCCCAGTGTTGGTTGGCCGCGGGCTTCTCGGCCTTGGGGACAGCGACGAGGGTTCATTCGCGACAAGCTGCCATTGACATCAAGAAACCATGAATCCACCGCTGTAAGGCTGATCTCAGCTTGGCAGTGTGCACAATGGTGTGTGACGCTAGCCCTTTCCGGTTTAGTTTCATGCGTGATGGCTTGGCCCCTAGCTAATCTTGGCGTTCTCGGTCTTTAGTTTCTCCGACGGGATTCCAACCTTTCCCAGGCTTTTCTTAGTTGGAGGCTGATAGGAGATGTACAAGGGTTTCCAACCAGCCATAAAATGAATGACAACGACATCTAACGACTCCTTGTCGCCTCTGGGAGGTTCCCTCTCCGACGCTCTATGAGAGACGGAGTCGCGCTCAAAAACCTACCAACTACCCTATTCTTGAGCTGACGACGTTCGTGCTGCGATGGAGAGCGTGGTGCGCCTTGTTGTCCGTGTGTTGATTCGCCTCGTCCCCCAACCCTGGGTTATGAACATATGCCGCTTCCTCAAGAAGAAACAGAAGGCCGGCAACAACAAGGGATGCGCCATCATCAGGCTCCCGGGTGGCATCGTCGCGAAAATAGGTGCTGGCGTTACCCCCAGCGAAGTTGCAACACAGTCCTATGCGTATCACCACCTCGATCGCCGTATCGTTTGTGTTCCACGCATATACCACTATTTTCAGGATTTCAGCGACCGTGTCTTACCGACAGGGTATCTTTTCATGGAGTACATTCCTGGCCCGACACTGGAAGAATTTGATGAACCAACCAGCACACATCTTACGCAGCGTCTGGCAAAGGTGGTTCAACTCCTCCAACAATTTCAGGCAAATATCCCCGGCCCTGTTGGAGGGGGGATCCCGCTAGGGAACATGTGGGGGTACCATGATGCTGGGATGGCCTTCAACTCTGCTGAAGACCTAACTGCATGGGTGAACAGACGGATTGAACTGCTCAAAAAGACAGTTGATTTCAGCCCATGTCCTCTTGTTCTCTGTCACTTGGATCTTTGCCGGCGCAATGTCATTGTGAGCAAGGATGGTTCACTATATCTCCTTGACTGGGCGTTTGCTGGATTTTACCCGCGGTTCTATGAAACTGCAGGCATCAACTTCTACAAGGATGATTTTTGGAAGTCATTTCTTGACGCTGTCAACAAAACCATTGCTTTAACTGATGATGAAAAGCGAAGCATGGACTTGATCTTGCGAGCCCGTGCTGCTAGCCTACGGTGGATTTTGTAAGTGAACGTGTTGTTTTACACTGATTTTGCCTGTTCCCTATTGCTAACTGCTCCTCCAGTGACTAGTTATACTGGCAAGCTTCACACCCTGTGATCCGCAAAATCAAACATTTACTGACCCGACCTACACAAAAGGTTCCTGGCTCCATTGGGTCATATTCTCGGGCTTGGCCTTTGGAGTAATTGTATTGGAGGTCGTCGATGGCCTGATTGACTTTGACTGGGCTCGATGGATCGATGTATCCCGCAGCTTCCAGGTCCTCAATCATCGTTCTCCTATTCCCAGTAGTTGTGGTTAACCATTGTTCGGTGTTCACAGGAATGCGATACGTTTGAACTCACACCCAGAAGCGGCAACCCACGCCGCTTGGAGCCAGTTTGTAGTTGGCTCGACGCTTCTGGTCCAGTAGTTGAAGGACTTGCCCAACAGTCAACCCTTCAATCGGCTGAAGATCAATCTCCTCGAGGGCGGTGTTGGACGATATATAGGCACAACGCTTACGCTGCAGCGTGCCCATAACGTCGGTTGGGCCTGCCTTGATCTGGGAGCATGCAACAAATCACAGCCTTCCCGCAGCCATTCAACGGCGAAAGAGATCTGTTCGATTTTTTTTCTGGAAGATGAAATCATTCTTACCAATAAGGCGGCCCGTTCTCCGCGCATACATAACTACATACATACATGGACCTCCTGACCGGAAAGTACTTTTTCGCTCCCCCTGGTGTACCCGAGGATGACGAGCTTTTCGATACCAAGGTGCTCAATTGTCAACTGTGCTTCTTTGGACTGTTCCCAGTGAAAATATCATGAAATTGCGGGCACAGCACAGGAAGAGGTCAATGCTATCAATCAAGCGATTTGGGAATCCACGACTTCACCAGAAGTATCAGAGAACCCTGGCTGATTCTATGGATGCCGAGGACTTCCAATTTCTCTGTCATTTCATGTGTACGGATCCCAGAGATCGCCCGTCAGCGGCTCAGCTTTTACAACACGTATGGTTTCATGGCATGTAGACAGAATTCGAACTCCACCTTGATTCTGGTGCTTGGGCGTGTACGGAGTATGTGCTATTTGGTTTTCTGATTTTTTGCGTACTTATATTACCGGCTAAGCTAGTGGTCAGTCTAGCGGTCAGCAAGGCATGAGTTCGAGTATAGCCTCATAAATCATATGATTCGAATTATTTGAATTTGATTCGCATAAGGGTGATTTGGCGCACCCACTGCAACTTGGCAGCAGCTATGGGGCAAAGGCGCCTTATCGCAATATCGCTCCGGTTCTGCAGCAATCGCGGGAGTCTGCCAAAGTAAACCATCCCCTGGACGCAGTCTTCGATGGGCCTGGGGTCCCTGGCTGATGAAAGTATCTTGTTGCCCTCGGCTAACAGGAGTCATCACGATGGAGTTACCGTCAAGCCGATGTGATCAAATCTCGGCATCGTACGAGTCAACCCAGTATCAATGATGGAAAGATATAGATATGGCTTGGCCGTATGCTGTCCTTGAAAAGCGCACGTTGAAGGCTGTAACTTCTATCTCTTCCGTACTTGAAGCTGTTGACGAGATGAATTCACAACCAGAACCTTGTTCAGGGGCTAACTAGTCGACTCCAAATTGCCAGGTAATAAATCTGCATCAGAAGCGGCACGGATCGGTTGACATCCCAGTAACTAGTGTAGAGTCAGGGCTGGCGCAACGACTTCACTCCGCCATCCATTCAATCAACTAGACACATACTGAACACTGTCAGCGCGAAGAAACATCGAGTTCCTCGGGCCACTGGCTGCAGACCAGATCGTTATTGGACAGCGATTGCTTGATGGCTGGGGCTCGCATATCCAATGGAATCGCACATCCTGCAAGGCAACATCGCACACCGTGGATTCATCTGCTCTCTCGGTGCGTCGGGATCACCTCGACGAAGCTGAACATGTTCATAGTCCAGCATCTGGTGCAGAATGCTTTCGCCGTCTCAATGGCTACATTTTCGGCCTCTCATCGTACATTTCCATTCACTTGACATGAATCACAGCTCACCCAAGCCAGGGCAAATGCGCCTTTAAACATCGCTCCATCATGACTGGCACATGCATCTTGGTGTGTGGAGTGCAGGAATCTCGCTCCAGCCCCGACATCCGTCCTACGCGTGCGGATTGGCTCGAACAGAGCATCGCTTTGAATTGGATCTGCAGCGTCAAGTGAAAGAAAATGAATGAGCAAATAATTCGATCGGCTTCAGTGTTGCGAAGCGAAGCGAGTTGAGAGTTGAATGGATCCATGAATCCACGGAAAGCGTCCAGATAGACCGGGTAACTAGATGAGAACAGAGTTATTAGCATTCCACCTGCCGGCGGTTATTAGTTAAATAAAGCAGAGTGCGGAGAGAACAAAGCCATTCTTCTTCTCCTTTTTCGCTCTTTTTTATCCTGCTACAATTCGCGTCTATTCCATCCCGAAAGCAGCAATAATCGCCGTCTCGCTGAAAACCACGGGCGATTCAAGGGCTAGTTAGTATACTTACTTCGCGACAGAACTACGGCTCAGGGCGAACTCTCCTGTAGCCGTCCCCGCCTCCCGAGCTCCCCTCTTTTTGCAAGTAAGCCGAGCGCAATCGCATCGAAGCGTGCAGGTAAAGCAGGACGGGGTGCGTCGCAGCATTGTAGATCCAGCACCGCGAGCATTCTCAACGCGATCGGCCAGCCTGCCACCAGTGACCAGTCCCAAAATCCAACCCCTGACCCTGTCCGAGCGTGGGTTTCTAGCGCCAGACATCTCGAGGTCGTTTTGGGTTGTTGTGTGGACTGGGGCCAAGCCGTCACTTTCGACGCCTTCGCTTCCCCCCCAAACTTGAGAGCGAACAACCACTTCTTGCTCCCTGAATCAACATCCGGTCCACGGCTCGTGCAAGGGCAACAATTGACCTTTCTACCTGTCTTGTACGCTGAGTGCCTGGTTCTAGCCGCGTCCGTCTCTGCGTCTGCTGCTGCTCATTAAACCTGCACACCCCCTGGGACCGCTGAGTGAAGCATATCATGGCTTCGACATCAAAGGTCAGTCCGAATCCAACTTGTGATGCGTCACACTATCAATCGCAACGATCAAATCGGACTGACAGCAGTGCCTGGCTAGTTTCTTCGTGAATACAAGCTGGTGGTTGTTGGCGGAGGAGGTGTTGGAAAATCATGCTTGACCATCCAGTTAATCCAGAGCCATTTCATTGACGAATATGACCCAACAATTGAAGGCAAGTGGCCATGCCCGTCTTTCTTTTTTTAATTAGGCGATTGGCGAGCACTAACATTGGCTATCGACTCCAGACTCCTACCGCAAGCAGTGTGTCATCGATGACGAAGTTGCCCTGCTAGACGTCCTCGATACTGCCGGTCAAGAAGAATACTCCGCAATGAGAGAGCAATATATGCGAACTGGCGAAGGTTTCCTGCTTGTCTACTCGATCACCTCGCGACAGTCTTTCGAAGAAATAATGACTTACCAGCAACAAATACTTCGCGTCAAGGACAAGGACTACTTCCCCATGATTGTCGTTGGAAACAAGTGCGATTTGGAGAAAGAACGAGTAGTTTCCAAACAAGGTACAAAGAGACTCTTATCCGTCATCTGTCTTTCCGATACTGTCGCGCTAACAAAATAACCCCCAACAGAGGGCGAGGCTCTGGCACGGGACTTTGGCTGCAAGTTTATCGAAACTTCTGCAAAGTCGCGCATCAATGTCGAAGACGCCTTCTACGATATCGTTCGCGAAATCAGACGCTACAACAAGGAGATGTCGTCCTACTCATCCGGAGGCGGTGGCTACGGCTCCCGTTCCCCCGATAAAATGGAGCTCGACGAACGGGGCGAGAGCAGCGGATGCTGTGGGAAATGCGTTATCATGTAAATGAGAAACACTGGCGACAAAACACAAAGAAACTTTCGAGCGCAGACACCCTTTGACGACCATAGAAACATGACCGGAGCAGGACGTTGCGATTCTTTTTCAATCTGAATGAGGATATGTCATGACTGAGGCTGGCTTGCAGTTCGTTCTGTCGCCTATCACACCTCTACCCTGGCCAAAATTCCGTGATGCTTCGGTGCCGAACTTACCTGCAACCGATCGGACGATTCTTTTTTTTTTTAACACAAGTACCTTTTCTGCATTTCATTCTTTCACTTGTCCATTCGAGGTTCGTTTTGTGATACCTAGCTACCATCCCTCGAATTCTTGGAGCTTTTCATAATCGGAGATATCATTTCCAGCCGTGTCTTTGTTCCCCGTGGTCTCTGCTCCTTTACCACACATTACAAGTCCTTTTAATCCCACATTTCACCCCTTGGCTCCAATCATGCTTTTCTTCTATTCTCGTTGTGAGTATTAACCCACCTTTTGACCTGATTTTTTGCATTTTTCTTCTCTCACCCCACAATCATTTTCAGTCCGCGATCTGGTTGCCACCTGATATCTCATCTCGTTTTGGTCCTGCTTTCTATTTCGCTCTGGCACCGCGTTAGGATATGCTCTCTCGTTCGCATCTTACTTGTCCTCTCTACTACTTGGCTCATTATGGGAAAATACTCTGCGCGAAATTCAAGCTGGAAATGGTTTCTTTTTTTGATGTAAAATGTACTTCTCTACAGCATTTTAAACACCTTGAGATCTCCCAGCCCTTTTTCTGGCCCTTTCTGTCTTCATTTCGCTTTGTTTCCTTTGTGCTCACCAGGGGTTCTCTACGGACGTTTTCAGGGTAAGTCCATTCGCTGCATACAAGCAGCGAATTGCGGCCACTTTTATTTTGCCCTGAAGCCCACCAGACTATCTATAGTTCTAGAGAATTCTATCTATTCCGTTATATTATTGCCTATTCATCATTCATCATGAAGACACCACCCAACTGTCCTATTGTATCATGTACTAGGCGCCTCTCTATTGTGCTCAAGTATTCACAAAACCAAAGGATGAGCCTATTGATTCCAACTCGCTGGTGGAAGGTAGAGAGGCAATGCGCATCCTCAATACGGAACCACGAAGGGATATACGCCTTCTCCTCACTGTTGGCGGCTCTGGAAGAAAGCTTCAGCGTCATCTGATCTGTAACCATCCCACACAATCAGTCTTGCTAATGCCAATAAGATACATACTTCGGAACTATAAAACGCTGTGCATTCGACCTTTCTATATAGACACAAAATTGCATTCAATGTTCTAATTCTCCTCGTCCTCTTCGGCAGGAGGATCATCCTCATCCTCCCTGGACACCCTCCGTCCCTGCACGTTCTTCTCAATCTCATCCACCAAACTCTCCATATACTCCTTATCCGTTCCCACCAGCGTGACGGTATTCCTCTTCTTGCCCCATCTCGGATAACTACCCACCTTGATCCCCTTTGGCGCCACCCGCTCAGCCAAGCTGGTCAGATACTCCGCGATCGAGCTCTCAAAAAGCGGCGTGGCGAAGAGGAATCGATATATCCCCTTTCCCTCCGGGTCAATCAGCTTGGGGAGGAGAATTGGTTTGAGACGGGTTAATATCCTTTCAAACAGAGATGGGACTCCGGGGAGGATGTAAACGTTGCCATTGACGATGGACACGGGGATCCACAGCTCGTCATCGATGAACATTGCTTGTTCGGAGAGCGGGCGGGTTTCGTCGGTAGGTATATGGACCATGCGTAGTCGGGCGGTCAGAGCGGGCGATGGGGTGTCCCAGTCGAAGTCTGGGCTGGCTTGCTTAGGGGTTGAGAGCCGTTTCATGCGCTCGAAAGCGGCTTCGTGGAATTTCAGCTTCAGGTTAAATGCCTTGGCTATTGATTGGTAGGTGATGTCGTCGTGTCTAGTGAGCTCAAAATTATTAGCATCCAGTCATATAAAAATAATATTAGCCATGGGTTGTGCTGTTTTACGTTGGTCCAATTCCTCCGCTTGTGACGACAAAGTCATATTTGTTGCTCATCCGCCTTACGGCTTCGATAATCTCGTCTTCATCGTCGGCGATCACTTCAACGCGCTTGAGCTGTACACCCATCGAGAAGCAATATTTGGCAAAATACGCGGAGTTGGTATCAACAGTCTAGCGAAACGTCAACGGTCTACGGGTCTCGCACACAATGTGCGCGAGGCATGGCGACCGGAAAGCTGTTAGCCATAGATGTTCCCCAAAGGCCAAATGATGATTGCTCACCTTCCCACCAAGCACCTCGTCTCCGATAATCAAGCATGCTGCCGTGCCAATTGGTCGCTTGCTGTTCTCCAGCGCAGTTCGCTGGGATGATGTCATTGCGCAGAGGGGAGAAGTCGGACTCTTAATAGGACAAGCAGCAGTAGCACGGAGAAGACTGGACAGCGGCGGGGAAATATGTAGATTTAATTGAGCGATGCGACTAAACATGGAGGCAGGGCAGAATAAACGAAGGTGTTGAGAGCAGTGTGCTGGCTGTCTGGGAAAATATCGGCAAGTCAATGCGGGAGGGGCTCTTAGTCTCTACCCTGGAGACAAACAACCAGCAATCCCCACCTCCTTCGGACTTTTGAGGTGCACGTCGTTGCGATCAACTATTGCTGAGTTCCGTCTTTTGTTTTAGCCTGTCGGGCCATCCACTGTTCCCCCTTGTAATATCCTTATCTGATATTGAGCGAGACTATGGTATGAACGTCATCTCCCCCCGCAGCAGCTCACGACAGTAACTAACAGCCGTCGGGACCATCTCAACAGTCTGACGCCAGACTCTATACGTTCTCGTCAGAGACTAAGGAGAAGCTCCGCAAATTCCGCTTAGGCACATCAAGGGCAAAGGATCCACAGGGCCGTCATCTGTATTCCATCCCCCCCGATACCCGGGTTTGTCGAAAGGAAGCAATGACCGCCAACACGCTTTTTATCAACAGATATGATAGATACTAAAAGCCAGGAGATCCGATCCGCAGACGATGCTGTCTATTCCAGCATGGAAGATGTTGCGGATGAGTTGCCAGATTCTTCGCCGCGGTTTATCTTGCTCAGCTATCCGCTCACTTTGGTATGTATAAGCACCTTGCTTAAATGAAATTTGGCCAACTGATTTACCGTGCTTAAAAGCCCTCCGGCCGTCTATCCGTACCCTATGTTCTCATCTATTATCTGCCTGAGAACTGCAACCCTTCGTCACGGATGAGTTATGCCGGGGCAGTGGAACTGATGCGAAATACCGCAGAGGTTAACAGGGTTATTGAAGTTGAAGGGGAGTCGGAAGTGATTGATATCAAGTCGAAACTGTTAGGTGAAGACTAAGCGGCAGCCTGTGTACTTGGAACGAAAGCTATTTAGTAGCTCCAGGCTGGGATGGAAGATATATGGGAGCTTGTATGGCGTTTGGAGTACTCGGGGTGAAAGAGTGCCACACAAGTGGTTATGACACGGGAGTTACTGGGACACCAGCCGGTCAAACCTGATCAAACGGCACAGCCATGCCCTGATGATGAGATGAAAGGGCCAAGGCGGTTCATATTCTAGCATGATTACCCCAAATGGATGATTCTGATGTGTAGTATGGGCTTGCCGCTCTTCTCACTATTGAAGACATCACAAACCTCTTCAAGATATCGAGCATGTTCATCCGTTTTTCACTGTACAAAGGTCGTCATTCCACGCGTCCAAAATGCGGAGACTCCTTCACAAACAACAGGTAAAGGTGTCTTATCAAAGCGTGAACGTAGGTGCTGCCGGAAAAGATTAAACAGACCCTTTGGTGTTTGCAAGGCATTGAAATACCAATATCGTCCGCTGATCAAGGCTGTCTTCATACACGCCGAAGGAGAATAATGCAACGGCGTCTTCATGTTCTGTTCCTCGCGCTCAAAAATGTCCACAAATCGCTCGTACTCTACTCTGAATCTTTCGTACTCAGCGTCCTTGAGACGGTCAACACTCTGCCCTGTCAGCCAGAAAGGCGGTAGCAAGCACCCTATTGGCAACGAACAAGCCAATTCGAGATCAATAACATGCTTGATATTCCACTTCTGATCCACGAGGATGTTACTATTATGCATATCTGTCAATTGCATAAAAAAAGGGCCATCACGAAGGTGCCGGTCGGTAAACCTATGAAGGAGTGCTCGCATTAGCACCAGATCCGTTGCCTGACCACGTGCATCACTTTCGTTGGTTGCAGCATTCGCCTGATATCGTAGCCGATTATCATGGCCTTCAAGTAGGTCAAAGTAGAAACTATCAGCACTGGTGTATGTTGTAGTCTGCGGGGTAGTAGGTATAGACCAGTTCTCCAGCTGATGAAGGTGGCAGAAAATGGGGCGATTTGTGAGGCTGATTCGACCATAATTATCAACGGTCCAAGTTCCTATTCGTGGTTGTGGAGTCTTTGCAAGTGAGAGCATAATTTTCGACATGCTTCGATACAAATTCACAATCTGGATATCTGTATGTGGTTGGGAGAAGGTTGTGGAGAGCATCTGCACATCATCATCTCCAATCCAATCCATCAGGATATAACCATGATCGAGAAAGGAGTTCCTATTTCTAGGAACATACTTGCTAGCAGGGTACTTCCGGTCCCCAAATAAAAAATAGAGAAAACGCCACAACAGGAACTTCGCCCTTTGCCATAAGGGAACAGCTTCAGGTTGGCAAAACTACTCCCGCCATAGACATTAGCAAATGCAAGATATACGCATTATATACATCAGCTATTAAAGACAAATCAACAACTCACACTAAGTCCACCAGGTATTCCGAAGCCTCGTAACTTGGGTATTGGTACGTCTGGACAATTCTTGTCTATCCAGATATAGGTTGCAGCTTCTGACCGCGCCTTTTCTGCTGCATTTCCAGGGCAAGCCTCTTTACCAACTTTGAATGGCAAAGGTACTCTGAGCCCCAATTTGGACGACGACCAAGCACTGTTGATACTTATAGGGATGCACATGTTAAAGCTTCCATGAAGCCAGATAGGTAGTGTACTTGCACCATGTCTGGAGTCAGCCCACAGTGAAAGGCAACAAGTTCCTTGATTTCCTCCTTTCTATGATAGAGCTCCTCATAGAGCATTGCCGTTCTCTGAGTGTACTTCAGCTCGACTCTCATGTCTTCCTCTTCATCTTGGGCGTATGACAGTGTAATGAGCTTCTTGCGATGTAATTTATGCAGCTTCGCAGCATTGGCGGATTTAGCTGTTCTGATATCGTCGGTCCGAGATCCAACATGGTTGTCGTTATGCTCAGGAGTCTTTGTCGGCAGGCTTTCGGCTGAATCTAACATAGTTATTTATAGAAGAGAATAAACGTAAATAAGGCGGGCCAGGACGGAGTACTCCGTTGGCTAGTTGGATGGACCTGGTGAAGAAAGGAGTTGAAGTGTCCCAAACAAGCATCAATTGCGAGCAAACAACGCCAAGAACGGTAGAAAAGGGGCTTGGAACGGATTAACCAGTTAACCGCTGACCAGCTGCCCAAGTTGCATCCAATGTATCAGCTGGATGCTGATATAACGATGTCTTGAACTCGGCTCAAATGCTTAGCAGTGCCTGAAATTCTGAGCAACCAGAACTCTAACATGTTGATTATTTTAATGCCCCTGCTGGTCTCTTTTTTTAGGCGAACAATGGAAGAGATTTTAATCCTCCGACTGCGAGCTAACTTCGAGCAAGGACAACGGTAAAGTCATTTTAGCCCAATCGAAATCGCTTTTCTCAGAACGCGTTCCTGAATGGACGAAAATCATCGTTGGTTTTAATCCAACCGAATCACACCAGCAAAGAAAACCGAGTTTTGGACCGTGCCGTATTCGTATCCCAGACTGCACCAACCCCAGGTGTTCACTAATCATAAAATCAACTGTTTTCAACCACGCGACGGCTTGAAGCGTGGAGCGTGAATCTGGTCACAATTGGATCACTTCTTCCGTTTCAAGTTAGGAGAAGTCAATTGCGGGAACAACAGGACAATGGAGGGAGCTTCAGTTCCAAAACCGCCTGGCATATTTGTCACAGTTCTTGATGAGGGCAAACAGTTTTGCTCGCTCGCGCCGTTCTTCAAATCACAGCTCAATTTTGCAAATTTATGATGGCGCCACGAACAGCGGTGACAGTGACAGATTCCTTGGAGCAATCAGGCAACGGTGAAAAGTAAAAAGAGGCCTGGGCGGAGCCATTTGATTGAGAAGGATGGAGAACTCGGAGCTTGAGTTAGTTCTTATTAGTGGTAAGTTTCGGCAGATGAATTCTGCTTGTTGGATCACCATCAACTCTGAAGAAAGAGTCCCAGTTTCCGCTGACCTGGTTTTGATACAGCGGCAGTCCCACCCCCCTTTGATATGACAGTCGAGATATGGGGCTGGTCAGGTTGTTAGTACAAGTGTCAGAAGGTCGCGCTTTTGTGTCGACTCGGTTTTGGGGCGAATAATGGACCACGGGGAGAAGGGGCCGTAATAGCAAAGGAATCTTGATTCGTTCGATCTCTGGACTGATCTCTGCGACAACAAACCCGCATAACCTGAGCTGTGAGGCTTGGTCTTCGCATCGCACCGTTCCTTTTTGCATAAAGTGACGATGAATTTGTTGAAACGGTGTGGCCTGCGGCATCGGGTTCTAAGAATATGGCCGGCTGTTGGACGAAATGTCGGTTTGTTCACCGTCGTCGGAAATCTCCAATGCCCTCTGGAGACGTTGGAGCCAGGCCCAATATCAGGCTCGCTCTATAGGGTAGTTATACATGAGGAATGCTTAATATAATATACTTGGATCCTCGCGATGAAAGCAGCAGTGCCCAGTACGGCTGGACGCAGGAAGAAGAGTCGAGAGCTCTGTTACGAAATATACGTTCCGATAGGTATTTGTATCGATTATTGTATTTCAGTACGGAATTGAAAACCGAAAATCCAAAACATGGTAATATTCATCCTGAGTCAGCGGTATGTCTTTCTGGAAATCCTCACGGTTTGCGGAATCTGGGGAAATCCACGTCCTCGGGTACGGTTCCAGTTCTTCCGTGCCAAAACTCCCTGGAGTGCTCTCTCCAAACGAGAGAACGTGTCGAAGCGACAGAGGGCAAAGCGGCCTCGCCATCTGACACTGGCAGCTCCTGCGCATCCGGATCAGCTCATGCAGCGCCAGATCGTGCCCCTCCGTAAGGTTTTCTGGAATGCAACCGTTCGTGGGCGAATATACTTTGTCCTTCACGCGGACGAGGGCCCAGAAAAAACGTGTACTCCGGTACCAGGGATGCAAAAACAGTTACTAGCGCGGTACCAGCACGAGACGTTGGGATCCAATGGTCGGCGGGCACGGGGCTCGCTAAGGGAAAAAGTCGGGCGTGGGCCGGCGGTAAAACACCAGCGGTATCGCAGCGGTACCGTCACGGCGACGTCTTGGTGGGTGGTCGCTTCCCGCGTCCCCGTTCCAGGCGGCGGGATCTCACTGGTCCATGCGGCCCACAATCCACCGCCGGGTCGTCCAGCCCCGCTGGGCCTTGTGTGCCCCCACGAATGAAATCGTCCCAAGTGCTCGCAGGCCGTATTGACGGCGTATTGCGAAACCACTGTGTTTCTCCTCTTTTTCCTCTCTTTTCAGTCGCCTGCCTTCCCGTCCTTTCTTTCGACGTCGTTCTCTTCTCTCCCAACGCTCCTCTTCAACCTCCTCCTTGTCGACCTCTATCGTCTCCGCTGCGTCTGCCCCCCGAGATGGTGCCTGTGCAGTAACCAGCGACTCGCCACTCCCTCCGTGACCACGGCCGATCCGGTCAGCGTGCTGTTTACCCCCAATCCCACCCTGGGCGGTTGTGAGTCGGGTTGTAAAGGACGTGGACCAATCACCCCAGTCACCCCGTTGCACGAATTTCGGACTGCACAACCTGCGAGATCTCCCCGACAGAGTCCTCTCGTTGTCGCTCGTCACACAGAAAACGCATTCGTTCCTTTTGACGCCCTCCAGGCCGTGGTTGTGTCTCCTGGGACATTTTGGTTTCGTCCTGGCACCCTATTCCAACACCACGGAATCGGGCTTCCGCACTTTGGTTGACATTTCCAACACGCAAAGTTGCTTCATTGGTCGCCCCCTCACCTGCGTGTCGCTCTTGTTAGACAAAACAGGGGTCCTTCCTTGGTGCACTGGATCGACTGATTCGTCGGTACGCCACTAGTCGTGGCTTTGACCATCCTCGTGCTGCATTTACCGATATCCTGGAAAGGGAGAATAAATACTGTTGACGTCGTTGCTCCTAATTCAACATGTCTGAATCAACTCCCGCCAACCCGACGTCCGTCAAAGGCGAAGGCATTTCCAGGTACATGAAACGTATGAAAACCGTCCTAAAAGGTGGCACTCGTTCGAACAGGAACTCTGTCTCTAGCATTGCCGATATCACTGGTGATTCGAGCAAGCCAAAACCTCCTGCTGCCTCTCCCAGGTAAGCCATCCTGAGATTGTGCGAGTTGTCAAACTTTCAATATGCTGACCTTATCTCTAGGAGCGGTGCAAAGCCCTTAGCGACTATTACCACCACCCTGACTCCTAGCAGCAGGCCAGAGCTGACCAGCAACCAAGATAGAGTCAACAGGTGGAGCGCGATGCAAGAGGAGAAGGCTCGGGCTCTGTTCGCCAAATACGGCTTGACCCTCGAACCCGGCGAATGGGTGACTCCACGATCTGCCAAAGAAGGCGCTGAGCGAGTCGAAAAGCCAATTCGCATGCGAGTTCGCCGCAACTGCCACCGCTGCCTCACCACGTTTGGCGCTGACAAGATCTGCGTCGGCTGCAGCCACATCCGTTGCAAGAAATGCTTCCGCTACCCGCCTGCCAAGTCGAAGGAGGAGTGCGAAGCAAGGGACAAGGCCCGCGAGGCCGAAAAGACCGAACAGGCCAGACAGGCTGAAACTCGCCAAAAGAAATTTACGTTGACAATTCCATCTCGGACTGGTGGTCAAGATCTCGTTCGCAAACCGATTTTGCAGAGGGTCAGGAGGACCTGTCACATGTGCTCCACCCTCTTTATCGGAGGAGCAACCGAATGTCAGAAATGCAACCACATACGATGCAAGAAATGTCCCCGCGATCCGTAAGTGTATTCCATTAACCTTGGACTTGGGGATAGTGATTTTAACGGGTTTCTTTCTAGGGCCAAACCCCACAAGTACCCAGATGGCTACCCAGGTGACGCTGAGCCTCCATATGAGCCGCCGGAACGAGTTTGGCGAAAACCAAGACGCAGAATAAGATGGACTTGTCACTCGTGCTCGACAATGTTCCCTTGCGGCGTGAAGATTTGTCCGAAATGTGAACATGAGCGCTGTACGGACTGTACTCGCGACCCGTAAGTTGCTCTGCAGCAATATTGCCCTAACCGAGATCGTCGCTAACCCGTTTAATAGACCCAAGAAAATCAAACCCGAGCCTGATCCGGAGCTCTTGAGACGCGTGGAAGAGAAATTGGCGGCGCTTAATGTATCCTAGCAACCAAGAAAAGCTGATCTCTTGCCGCCTCGAATGTGATGATTTTGCCGTTTCTCACTGTTCACTTCGCCTGCTGTTCTACTACTTGGATTCCCCATATCCCCTTACATCTACCACCCAAAACAATATCCCTTCCTTCACTCCACGACTTGTGATGACCTAACGGCTCTGAGTGCGTTCTTGATTTCTCGCCCCTTGTCAATTCAGCTACTATTTTTGGGCCCTTTAGAGCAAAGTCACCCTCCATCTCAGCCTAGTTTACCCCTCCTCTCATTTGCTTTTTGCGACCCATCTTTTATGCATACAGATACCAAAGATTTGCAGCTCCCTTTTGATAAATACCATTTTTTGGACGGAGTCTATCCCAGTAATCGGATCAAGATTTATTTTGGAGCAGCAGGCAGAAAAAAAAAGACAAGTTAATGCCAGGCCGATGTAACCTGTCTCATTGGCCTTTTTTTTTTGTATATGCATTGTGAACCCACCAAACCGATACGACGGAAACGACGTGTGGCGAGATTTTTTTTTTCATGCTTACAGTCGAGCCCCCCGACGTTCCATCATTGTTCGATGCGCGAAGCTGAACCCCTGCTCGTTATGCAGATGCTTTTAACACAGACAAGATGTATACATTTGTCCCGCCCCCTGGAGAACTCGGTGCAACAGCAGGTTTTTTCTGCGAATGTAGGAATGCGAGACTTGGGCTTTCTTGCTGAAACAGAGAAGAGCACCGGTTGTCTTGTCGTCGAGGAAGTGACTTTGCCCTTTTTGGTAGGAGTAAGAGAGATCCGAGATTTCTCGGATCCGCGGTACCTCCGCTCTGGATATTCATTTTTAAAGAAAAAAAGGATAACCATTCATAAAGGCGGAATTTAATATGGGCTGATTACCCATCCTGCCTGTGCACGGCCCCTTTTCTCTCTCCCTGAAAAATGAGAAATTCCGTGCAAGGCTGTGAGAAGGGACAAGGGGGACAGAGAAACTAGCGGTCTGTTTGAAATCATTGACGCTGATTTGCAGGAGCGCGCATTTTCCTTTGGGGGCCCTGGGGAATAAAATGCATCAGAAAATGGGCCGTGGTGCTGCATCCCAGGGTTTCTGAGAGACTGCGAGAGTGAGAAAAGGGCAATATGGGAGAGCGGTTCGGCCACCGATCGGACAGGGCAGGGGTGGAGAGGAATTCTTGTCCGCATCCGGCAGGTCACGGTGCTGTTTGATTTGCATATATTATTGTAGCAGAGTGATAAGTTAATAATAGGAACACCCCCCTTCTGACGGGAGCAATGGTGGCCTGGTGCATTGGTAGGGGCGGAGCGGGTAACTTGGCCTGTGTCGATGCAGGCAGCTCGATTCATGAAGCTGCTGACTATCGGTCGAGAATGACTCTGTTCCAACCACCACAGAACACGGGAGGACCCCGTCCACCTTCCCAATAACGCTGTTTGTTGACACCATTGAAGAAGCTGCGAGTCTGCTTCGGGCAGGGGCGGACTGTTCCTATTCCGGTAGTCTTGACCGAGGATGGATTTGATGATGACTCATCTTCAACCCCACCGTGTGAACGACGTCCAGGCAAGGGCCTTGACGATGCTTGTTCGGCTCTGGGGGTGAACCCGACACCACGCAGTCTCCATCTCAACATACAGATGTCAGAAAGGGGCTGCGTGCATGAGAATGAACACGCTTTCTCAATCATCAAACTTGTTTCTGCACACTAGTACTCTCTGGCTCATGCATCTCGACCTCTTCCCCGGCACTTGCGTGGTTGATGTATCTCAGCCAGCGACGAGACTGGATAATCAAACTACGACCGTGTGGACAGAATCGAGGTCACGGAATAACTATAGGCGCCACCTCTCCTGCCTGCATAACGACCCCAAGCTCCGGGCATGCATGAGAAACCCCCCACCTTTCTTTTCGGCCTGGCACGAGATAACGGTTCACTAATCAGGCCCAACAGCCATGCACAAGGGAGGCGCTAAAAGGATCCCTGACTGTTCGCCATCCAGAGGGAAATCTCTTTCCAGGGTCTAGATTTGCGCCTGGGAAATCCATCCTTGCCTTGGGAATGAACTCTGACGCCTGCCAAGAAGCCAGGGCTTTTGAAGATCATCGCCAGACGGTGCATTTTGCAGAAATACCGTTTCCTCCCATCATCCCCTTCTTCTCAACCACGCCTTGTGTCTGAGGAGGTTGTTTGAACAGCTATGGGGTACAACGGAGTGATGTCTGTTGTGCAGAGCTAGCGCACTGTTTCGGAAGGGTGCCTCAAAGATCTATCGTTGGGGTTTGCGCAAGAAAGCATCTTGTTTCTTACTTTATTAGCAACGTAACATAGCACAGGGACCGAGCCCCTTCCGAGAAATCCCTCCGACATGAATATAGGAAGGGTGAATCTCGGCCATAAAAGCGATCCAAAACCGAATATCAATTGATCGTGATGTGTGGAGAATCATCGACGAACCCGTTGGTGGGGCCGAAACCCTAATACTTTGTTCTTTTCGCGCTCCAGTTTCGTTTCTGAGATGCGACAGAGTTGTGCTTTGCTCCATCAGCCTTATGGTCCATGGACGACTTCGGTTTACGTTTCAATCGTTCTCTGGAAAGCTGACTTGCCCCAAGGCCGTGTCTTCGGGACAGAATCGCAGCGCATTCCCATTCCACAGAAGCCATCTGGAAAACGTGGATGACTTGCCTGTTCCGTTAAACCGGATGAGCCATTTCCTGAGAGGGAGAACATTGCAATTTGCAGTCTTTCAGTGGTGGGGTGTTCTCACTGCAGTCTAAGCATGGGTTGCTTGTTTGAGGTTCCGCCAGAATCCCGGCTTCCCGAACCAAACCTTGAGGGACACCTAAATGACTCTTTTGACCTTGTAGCAAGGGAGCTCCTGTTTAGATAGTCTAGAGCTGATTGAGATTAACTTGAGCGCTCCGGCCATGAGATCTGCAAGCGGAACGGCCCAAAGAATGGGAAGCGGCACGTCGCACTTTCAACTCGAAGCGCGAAGCAATGCGAAGTAACACATGCATCACCCTCCCTCGTGCAATACAAACGGTGCATATTGGCCGGGCTTGGGGGACCAATAGCTAAGCATACCAGCCGATGCTGATCAAGATTGATCAAACGGCGCCTTTCATTCCACACGGTTGGATGAGCTCAAGCGGGAAAACAGCTCCGGTAACACTCACGAAGTGAAAACTCAGATGTGGCGTGCTTTGGGTTTCAGGTAAGTCTCGCAGGCCACGGGTATCGAAGCACGACTCCGGGTGGCCCCTGATGATCCGCGAGTGAGGGACGAGTGATTTGCTTGAAGAAATGAACACGGAGTCGCTCCGTCAGGGAGAGAGGCAAACAGACAAGGCAACCGAAAAAAAGGTCATCAGGGCCCAGGAGCCTGGGTAACAATTGATGGGTGGTTCAGGACAGAGTCGAATTTTTTCGCCAGGCTGAATCAGAACATGTTGGTGCATCCAGCACACCTTTTCCCCACGCTTCCCAGGACAGTGGTTGCAAAACGGCTTGGGCATTTCCTGGCGCTCCTGTACCCGATCTGGTGGCCTGGAATGACATGCGGCAAATCCCGTGAAGCAGTTCCAAAGCCCGGGCCCTTCCTGGTATTTCCCTCCACCACTCAGGCGCGAGGGTTCAGGCGTTGGTGAAATCAAATGCAGTGACACAGACAAAAAGAACAAATTTATTGCAAACAGGACGAGCAGCCAAAGCTTCAGGGATCCAAATCCCGTCACCCAGGGCAGCGTTCACCAAAGTCTGGGACGTTCCCGTCCCAGCGCAGCGGTAGCTAATCGGATCGTTGCGCGGCCTCAAAAAAGAACACAACTTGAATAAGCGGGGATTTCCTCTGCAACGGTGAGCCAGGCGCGCTCTGATTTGCGGGCTTGGGGATGGCTCGTTCTTTTTTGTGATCAGCCCTTGATCTCTGGGCTGAGACGCTGGTCGCTGGCTGGTTACCTCTTTGCTGGGAGCGGTGATGTCTGAGTGGCAAATTCCGCATTGTATCTGTCACGGTGACTGCAGGACGAGGCTGCGGCTTCCCAGAAGCAGCAGGTGCCAAGCCTGACACCCGTGTCTGGTAAGTTACGGAAAGATTCCTAGCGGTCCCGTATGTATCGAATGTATGTAACATAAATACGGTTCCAGGTACGAAAACGGTAATTTCCAGAAAGAGGAAGGACCGGAGGATTTGAGATGGAAGGCGCAAGTGTTGACCTGGGAGGCTTGACGTCGGTCCAAAGCATGCGATATATAAATCTCAGCAACCTCCCTCCTCGTGTCACAGGGAGTCTTGTTCTCTTCTCCTCCTCTCTCTGAGCGGCAGTCTACATCCGTTGGCTACAACTCCAGTCGGTTCACGCAACTACGAAGTGATGTCCGTCACACTGCTTGTCCCAGTGTCAGCTATCTCAAGCACGCCTATTGTCTGTTGACAGTCTACTTGAGGCGATGTTTCGATCCTGTGGAATTAAAAAGAGATTGGAAAGGACCGGTGATGCAATCATCTTTGACAGGAGCCGCACTTGCCATTCCATCGCCGAGGTGAAACAAACGAAAATCTTGAAACGCTTGTGTTCTGGTGCTTTGCAGAGTGTTGTTTGAGCTCATTGACCGTTTTCAGCATATACTGACCTCTCATTATTGTTTTCTTCACGACCGGGTCGCGTTTCGAAGGCGGATGTTGAATCTCCCTCGCTTCAAAATGAGAGCAGATCAGACCACGAGGAACAATGAAACAATGTTGCCTCACCAGTCCATTTGGGGAGATGGATGGTTTTGTTTCGCAAATGAGCAACTCAATCGGAATCATCTCGTAAGGGTGCAGGGGAATCGACGGGCGAGGAAGTTTAACCGAACCATCAGCCCACATCCGCCCTCGATGAACCTCGACAAATCTCGTCGGTTCCGTTGTTTGCGGATGGTGGACGAGTTGTTTGCGCCCAAGATGTTCCAAATATCTGCAGCCAACAGTCGCCATGACGTGCTTCATTTTCGAGCCCCAAGCCGTGGCTTTTTTAAATGGACGACGGAAGTCAGCTCTTTCATACTCGGCTCTATAGAAGTGTGCGTTGTCTCTTGTCTTTTTTCGGGGTCCGATTGTGAAGAAGATGTTGCACTGCTGCTGCACGGCATGATTTTGCGATGAATTATCCAATGAGTTGGAATCAATATTCGTACACGCATGCAGAGCGAGAATCCAAGTTTGTTTTTCGGAGTGCGATGGCTGTTTCTGAAGGCTGTATTCACGTTCCGTTTCATTCCCTCACTGGCACCTTTTTGATGGACTTTTGGAGGCCAGGCGGGAAGCAATTTTATTTGAACCCTCTTTGCAACATCACTTTTCAGAGAATCAGAGGTAAATCACTCTCCTGGATAATTACTGATGCCAACCGGCATTCTAAAGAGCGACAAGGCCAAGGATCTGGAAGACTGGCGTAGAAGCTCCGTCAAGCCACGTCGATTGCGTATCCGACTAAGCCTGAACGAGGTTAAACGACAGATGTCCTTGAGGCGATCCATGGCTTGCTTAGTCTCCTTCGATGATGATACGGAGTTGGTCGCCAATGGCATCGAGATTGGAATCATCAATCAAGGTTTGGGCTCACGAAAGCGACAAGGGAGACGCCGAGTACGAGGAGCACCTTTTGCTCCAACAAGAGAGATGCAGGAACACAATAGTTTTTTTATCCTGAGCTAGGGCCTGCTTTCTGATGAATTGCAGGTTTCAGTCGAAAATCCGGGGTTCGGGCGAGGTTGGTGATGCTTATCTTTTGATACCCCATAGCCTATAGACGTCCATCTTAAGACGAATATTTGAAACAGGGCATGCCGACAAGTTAAACCTTGAAGATTGGCTGTCGATCGTCTTCTCTTTAACCTCGTTCTCATCTGCAATTCCGGCTTTATACGGACGACAAGCCTTGCAACAGAGACAGGGAATCCGAGGAGGTTACTTTTTCACAACCACTCTGCTCCAATGGCAGCTTTCGGCAGCGAGAATCATCTGCAGACTGTGTCACCTTGGATGGAGAACGATGCAGAAAGATTCCTAGCACATTGACAAGGTCTACCAAACTCTGAGATTGCGTCTCACCATGTGGCGGTGCCTTGTTTCGTGCATGCTTCATCTCCCCCATTCTTGACGCTTGTCTTCGAGAAACCTATAAAGGAGGAGAGTGCGGACTGTGTACCTCCTGTTTCTCCACTTCCGAACAATCTAAATTCCTCTCAATCTTTCGCATTTCTGCTCTCGATACCCTCAATCTCAGGAATTAGACAGCTTGGACCAACAGGATCTCCCAACGCCAACATGCCTAGCTCGATCTACTATTTGTGCTCCCTCGCCCTTGCTGGCACTCTTGCCTCGGCGAGAACCATTACCGTGATGGTTGCCCAAGGTGGCTTGAACTTCACTCCAGGAACCATTCGAGCCCAGACCGGAGACGAAGTTGCCTTCGTCTTCACCCGAGGTAACCATGATGTCACTCTTGGAGAATTCGACCGACCCTGCCAGCCAGCTCCCAACGCATTCTGGTCCGGCACAATCACCATTCCTTCTGGACTAAACGGCAACGCCACATTCACCATTCCCATTAGAGATACGGAGCCCAAGTGGATCTACTGCAGCTTTGGCAGACATTGCCAGAATGGAATGGTTGGCGTGATTAACCCACCGTGAGTTTCGCTGGCCTAGTATCATTGATCGGCACTTTCCTACTCTATGGGGATGTCTATATCTCTCCTTGGATTGAGATACTAACGCAAATGATAGTAGCGAGGGCGACAACACTTTCGACGCCTACAAGAGCGCTGCCGAAGAAGCCCCAGAGAGCAACCGTCCCACAGCAATCAACGGCGGAAGCTTGATTGTCCGCGGTGACCTCGAGATTCCCGGCTTCCCTGGTAACAGTGAGAGCAGCTCTACCGGTGCCCCAACTGGTTCTGCCACTAACTCTGCAACTGGTACTAAATCTCTCCCCTTGTAACTCTCCGGTGGTTATATCTGACCTCTTCTTTTTTTCCTTACACGCAGGATCCGCAACTGTTCTTCCAACCGAAACCGCTGTCCCAACCGCCACTGAGACTGACTCCCCAACCACAGCCAGCGGAACCCCTCCTGCTACGCAAACTGGAAATGCTGGTGCAACGATCCAAACAAGCGGTGCTTTGGGCGCAGTTATGGCCGGATTGACTGTTGGCGCAGCCTGGTTTGGACTGATCTAAACATTCTGATTGTGAGGAAGGGAGCACATTTGCCTTGACATTTGGCTTTTTCGGTACAACGTGCTAGGGACATAATTTGATATTTAGAGCTTGCTTTTTTGTTTGGTTGATTAGCGACCGAGATACACCGCTTTCACTGCTTGTGTAAAGGCTAGAGAGCAAGAACAGTGCTCTATTTCGACTTGAGATCAAAACCTTGTGAGGGCATTCTCATCTCCATTGCCTAAATTTATTCTGGGATTCAAGTTAAACTGCACTAAACCAATCCACACCAAGTTGAAGCCAATAAAAGATTAAATTTTGATATAGCGGTCGAAAGGCTTTCCAACATTATTTAATAAATCCCATGACCATCTGAGCATATGGATTTGCCACCTAGGCAGCCCTTCTTTCGATACATTACTGGGAAATCCCGATACTCGATGCCCCTGACACTGGGTGCTGAGTGCAAAAAGCTTGCAACACAACAATACCCACAATAGCAACTCCAGCACATATACAATAGCAATTACCCGGTTTGCGGTATTTGCTGCTTCAATTGATGGCGTCCAATATGGCATTCAGTCCATTGTGTGCAGATTTCAGCTGGAATGAAATTCCGGTTGGGCGGCGCAGAGATGGAGAGATATATCTCTCCTCTCGTCGTCCTTGAAAAAGCGGTTTCGACGGTTATGCCTATGTGATATTGAATGCTTTACGCTCCATCACTTTTTAAACGATTTGGCTTTTATTCTGGGTGTCTTATTTTGCTATATTCGCTGGTTGAACCAGACTTGGGCTTGGTGCGACGAATTTGATCATCCTTACGAGATTGGGAGGACCTGCAGCAGGCTGCAGGACATCTGGTGGTCGGATTGTGCAGTTGAACCGAGATAGCTATACTGAGCGAAGCGAGTTTGAACCAGTAAGTGTCCGCTGGGCTGATACTATCCCGTGAGTGTCGCTAATCCTGCTAGAAGCACTTCCATTTGAAGGAGTTGAAAGGCTTTTTACTAGTTACCGGTGTCGAGAACACCTTGCGAACATGGCATTCAATTTCGGAAAATCCAACAATTGGACCATTGCGGAGAGGAGCCGCCGGGACCATGGACCGTTCGTCATCCCGTTTCCCAAATCCAGCACCAGGGAGCAAAAGCCGTTTGGCATAAAATTGTCCGGCGCCTATCGAATTGATTACGAACGGGTTCAGATTCGCATTGCCGCTGCGCAGCATGGTCTTAAGGTCCTGGTTGAGAATGGCGGACAGGTCGTCTTGCGACCGGGCTCTGATGCAAGGGCTCAATCTATCAAGGCTCTTTCGGACGATCTGGATTCCATTTATAATCGTTTCTACAGCAAGCGATTTCCAACGCCAAAACGTCGGCCGGTGGGATATATACCTGTACTTTGGAACCATCCTCAAAAGATCCAGCAGAGGATCCCGCGGCACAGAAAAATTGTGATGCGTGCTTTTGCAGATCTTGCCAAAGTCCTCTCCTTCAAACAGCGGAGAAAGTTGGGCCATCTGCAGCATTCCCGTCCGGCAACGTTGATGACTGAGCGTGACAGGCTTGTTGGGTACATGGAAGAGCTGGGCAATCTACGAGATCAACCCGCGAGTTCCCTCGATGTGTCAATCCCAGGCCTCGCGCAAGACGGTGCTGGTGCCTATCCCCTTGTGGCGGATTTACGGCCTCACGACCAAAAGGTCCTTTGTGCCATGTTCTCTCGGCTTCGACAGATAGCAGAAACTTCCGACGAAGTAATCGCCCGTCAGATCATGGACTACGGGAAGAAAACGGCCGTCAAAGAGGTCATCAAGCAAGTATTACAAAAATCACGAAACAAGGAACGGTTCGATCGTGATAACATCAAGGCACTGTACAGCAAATTAAGGGCATCTTCGCAGCCCAAGTTGAACTCCCAACACACCTTGGACCTCCCGCCTATCTTTGAACGAGGGAACAGTCCGCTGCCGAGTCCGCGACGTTGCACGCCCGGCTCTATGTATGACATTGTTGATCAATCAATTCTCAGGGCCAAGCTCAGGAGGAATATTCGGGAGATGACCAAGGAGCCGGATCGCTGGTATTATCGAACTATGAGACGATACATGAAGAGCTCTCGGAAGAATCCGCTTGCGTTTGGAAAGAATGATGCGGATTTTACTGCAGCTGAGCTGAAGGTAGAGCTTACTGATGCAGAGGCTTTTGCTTTGATTGATGATATGTGAGGAGAGGGATGGTCATGAGAGATGAATTAGATATCTTTGTGTTTATTGTTTGTTACTAACAGGAGGCACAAGTACTGCTGTGAGCGTTTTAGTAAGGGATTTGTATCTCATATGTTTAGGGAACTGATACGGAGAGATCAAGCATCAGAGCCGGCGACTTAGCAATTCAGTTCCCGCACTTTTCTCATAGTCAATTTTCTTGTGCAAATCGACCCGATTTCCTAAACCTCGGCGAATAATCCAATCCTTGCTCTTGATATCCTCTTCAACCACTCCCTCCGGAAGAGGTGGGATCTTGGAGCTCCCGTCCAATCGTTTCAAAAGCACATCTTCCTCCGGGCGAGAAAAGTACACTAAACTATACCTGGTGACATCTGCCTGGGCACCGGGCGGAGAGACAACCCGATGTATGTTAGATCTCAGCAACCCGTTTGTGAACTTGACCATTGCATCTCCCAGGTTGATAATTGCGTGCCCGGGAAGCGGCCGGACATAGCACCACTCCGCATCCTTGCCCGGAGGCAGAATCTGCAAACCGCCAACCCGGTTAAAAAGGACCGTCACGCTGCCAAAGTCAGTGTGCTGTCCCAACGCCGTACGTCGATCATTCATTGGCTGTGGTGGTGCTTTGATGAAGCGCACTTGATCACCTGTCGGACGGTTTATGCGATGTTTGTTGACCAAGGTTGACTCCGGGAGTTCCAGGTGTCCATTTAAAAGGTTGAGGATAAGGGTCACGACAGCATGGGCGTTGGCCATGAACGATTTGAGTAACGGGCGGGATTGATGGAGCAATTCAGGCGCCGGCCAATGCTCAGCGACGTCGAGAATGTCGTCCTTTGACACCTGCGTTGGCTTCTTTTTAGCACTGCGGCACAGAGTCTTCCTTACATCTGGTCGAGAAATAGCCTTGCAAACTTGTAAATCAGCGCAATGATGGGCTCAACACGAACATTGTAGAATTCATTGCGGTCACGGTTCCCCTTCTTGTCGACCACAGCTGCACCGGCTGCTTTGTAGCCAAAGTACGAGTTTTTCTGGCTAAAGTCGTACTTCTTCTTCTCTTCGATATCTAGATCAAAGAGACGTTCGCCGACACCGAACAGCTTGTCGGCTTCGTCAAGGATCACTTCTCCTTGTTTGGTGCCGCGGAAGTCAAGGTAGAAGAACCCTAGGTCTTCGCATGCGGTGCAGAACCGCCGGACTTCATCCTGGTCCTTGTTCAACAGCTTCTCGAGGGACAGACGGTAGAGAGGAGCGGTGACAACGTCATCTGGGAATGGAGGGATGCCGGGGAAGTTCTCTTCGAGGACGGCCATAATTGTCCGGATGGCTCTGCGGGAGGCGCTTTGAGAAATAAACAAGCCTGCTTGGTTAGCATATTTGACAGGAAGAGTTCTTTGCTTTTTATATCTGCAACTAGCAGTGGAGAATGAATGATGGGACGCGGGGAATTCTGGAGAAGCCGAGGGCGTTTGGGAGAGGATGCGGGCTTGGGGGCGTTTTAGTGTTGCGCCGGCGTGCAGCTCGCAAAGTCATCATCGAACATTCACCGTGAGGGCAGGTTGTTCTCAGCGACTCCAATCTCGAGAAGCAACGAGGACATATTAAGAGCAGTCTCTGCCGAACAAGACATGGCGACCCCGCGACCGCCATCGAAACAGCCGCAGTCCCACGTCGCGCACCAACTGCTTTCCCGCGCTCATTCTCCCGACACCGCAGAGCGACTCTTCGCGGAGACAGGTCAAGCTAAAGCCACTTTACCTCCGGCCCACGTCGCCCACTCCTGCCAACAATCGCGACCGGAGACGGCTGCAGCGCCTGCGGAAGAAAGAGTATTTCCTGCGCAAGCAGAAGCCGAAACCGCTCACGGCGCGGGAGAAAAGGGCGCTGGGGGTCCATGATCTACCGAAAGAAGAGGTTAAATACGAGATCTTCAAGAAGCTAAATAGCCTGTGGGTGGAATATATGTGGGAAGTGTTGGAATTGAAGAAAGTTGCGGATAAGGGACCGATGATCACAGCCATGGCCCATGGAGCGAAGCTCGCGAGTGCGGATTTTCACGGCGCAGAGCTTCAGGTTGTCAGGAGCCGCTGTGTCAGTCGTGTGGGTGTCAAGGGCATCGTGGTCCGGGATTCGAAGTTTGCATTTGTGCTTGTGACAGAGAAGAATGAGATGAAGAGTACGTTGCGCATCCCGATCCTCTGACTCTTATGTGCGTGTTGTGTGCACGATGCTGACAGCCGGCCTCGTAGCCATACCCAAGGAGCATACCGTCTTCAGATTCGAAATCCCGATCCCAGCGCTCCCGTCCACAGACAACGACCAGCCCCCAAAGCCAGACTCGCCGAAAAACCTGACCTTTGAACTCCACGGAAGCCAGTTCGAAAACCGCCCTGCGGACCGAGCAAATAGGAAGTTCAAATGGAAAAATCTTGATTATCTATGAGGATTTACCAGCCCCAAGACCAAAAAGCTGGAGTCCATACCGGGCAGTTTCGGCACTTGGCCAGTTGGTCGATATCAGCCCCTTCATAGGATTTGCTCCCGCGCATCCATAGACCCAGGTTGCTAGAAGCTCCGTTATGCCCTTGAAGAAGGGACGGGCCTATCCCCATGCGAGCTGAGATGCTCTGAGGTACGAGCTTGGAGTCTGAATGCCGGGCCCTGTATAATCTCGCTCGAATCCTGGCCACCACTCTGTGGTACGACCTTGAACATGGTTGCAAATCGCTATACAGCGCATATCAGATTCAGAGGGCCAAACTCTTCATTACAGAACCGTGAATTGACCGCCTTGCTTGCTTTCGGGTTTATAAAATAGTCAACATTTGGTTACTCTGTATTGTCAGTGGATATAGAAGGCTACTACTGAATTTCTATCTATACAGTCAATCTTTCGGCATTTGCGCCACAGGAACTGAGTTGCATGAAGCTTGATTAGAAATGTTATTTGTCTGCTTTTGTGAACTTGACCTGCAAGCATGTCTCAAGGCTTGGATCAGATTGCTGGTTGTAATTCGCTCACGTTTGTTTTACCTGGACTGCTGCTGTAGTATAAGGAGGCTTTTTGATCACCATCGTACTATTAGAATACCCTTACATCCCAGCCCACTCTAAGCTAAAGGTCTTCACACTTCTTGCGCTAGGCGATTGACTGTTCTCATCGGGAGGGACTTGTCCACCGATCAGATAGCCCTTCTTCACACCAGTGCCCAAACGACCGCCTACAACCAAGTCCATCAAATCAATTTCCTCATCCCATTCTGAGGCCACAACTAAAAAGTGGGAATGGAATCGAAGCGGGTCGCCTGGGTACGCCATGTACTGACAGCCAAAACGAAGGCCAGGAGACAGGAAATAACCTTCGGAATGTAAGTAGGCGTATAATGGATATGATGAAGGTATCTTTGGCAAATGACCTTCATCCAAGGGTGGAGGTTTGGGGAAAAGGGCAAGGGAGTCTGCAGGGGTAACACCGAGTGGTATGCCTGGGATAGATGGACTGGGAGCGGTTATTTCGTTAGTAGAGGCGTCTACATGGCCAAAGAGGGACTCTTCTGTGCGCCCTGGTTCATCCTGTTGGACATCAACTGATGAAATTTGATTTGCCTTTTTGGACTTCTTGAGGGCAGTCTCTTTCAGCAGCTCCTTCTTGGTAGATTGTACTAATGCTGCACGGTGGCCCTCTTGTTCCAGGTTGTGCATATAACGCCGTCGATCTTCATCAGCCAAAGCCGTCATTCCTTCAACGTGTGCTTTTGCGTCGTCCACGAGGTATGCGACATTTTTCTCGACAAGTAGCCGAGCCTCTTCTGGCATTAACTCCAAGGGCAAACCCAAGAAAATGTTCTGTTGTGGTATTTGAGGTAAGGTTCCTGTGAGAACGCCACAGATATGATGTTCTCGACGCAGATAAGCGATCGCTTGAGCCGAAAAAAGAAAATATTGGCCTGCTATGAAAGAAATAGGGATTGGGAGTTTCGGAGGGTCGTCCATGACGGAGACTTATTTGGTCTGCGCTGTTTAAACTAAGGAAGGCAAGTCAGCTTCCGTTTTTCAGAGATTCTCTTGTATCGTAGGGCAGTGAAGGAAAACAGTCATATAAAAAGATACGTTTCTCAGTCATCGGTGTCCCATAGGGACTTCAGGGGATTGACAGATTATGTATTGAGGATAATCATGTGAATTCAAGAGATACTTAACGCGAGGATACTTACCAATAGCATGAGGAGTTGGAGACTCCGCGAGGTTGTCGACAGTCGGGATGGATTGCAAAAAGATATCGTGCGTTGCGGAAATTTTCTTCGTAGAGGAGCTGTCACGTGGTGCATTGGCTGCCAAGAGCTTGTATTCTCAACCGCAACTCAACCGGAAAGCGATTCAATATCGAAGGCGAAGGACTGCTGCCGTGGATACTTCCTCAGACAATATGAATTTGCTTGGGCTCCTTAGTCTTATCTTACTGGGGCCGATTCTTCTCTTCGGTGGTACAGACTCAACCCTCTTTCGGCTGATGTGAAGTTCGCTTTGGCGCTAACTGAACATAGCCTTTGTGCTCATCGCTGTCTTGTTGCGGATATTTTTCGGAATCCGTATCACTGACCTCTCTGGCGGGGCGCGATCTGGAGTCTATGATCGTAATTACCTACGAACAATGACAAACAGCGGTTCTTCCCTTTCAGAGCAGATTGAATTGGACGACTTGACTCGCGGGGGTGAGAGTTACGATGATGACCATGTGCGATAGATGCGCTTTTGAACGGCCCGAATCTTAAAATCAAAACTCGAGATCTGCTTTACTTTTCGCAGATGCGTCACGTTGTTGTGCGTCATTATCCCCGTCGACCGGCGGCAGGGAAAACGGTTTGATGGTGAATTTTCTTCTGCTGAAAGTGAACGCCCAATCTTCATCCGTGTTCTTGTCTCCTCCACCACCCCTTTCGTGGAAAACTGGAAGCCGGTATATCTTCAACATCCCCTGTGGAGGCTCCTCCTGTGCTGTGGCTGCGCCCGAAGTCGCTGCTGGGTTTGAATGCTCCAAGTGAGGAAAGGGAGCGAGCTCGATAACACCGTCATTCAAAAGTTCAATCCAACGCACAAGTCCAAAGGATCGCGGATAGAGGGAAAGCGGCAGAGTTATCATCGCCGTCATGCGACTGGAGTGAATGGATAAAAGGGCTCGGAGAGAATGGAGAAATTGCAAGACACATTCGGGTCTGCTGGTTCCAGGTGGATACAGCGCTGGTGAAAGGAGAGAGGGTATAATCACTCTATGGATCTTATGTGAAGGAGAATTCGATATTGCTTGTGTCAACTTTTGAATAACGGATGATAGTGGAGAGCCTGGCTGAGTTGGCGGCGAAAGCTGTATAAAATTGATGGACGGTAACCCGGGATGCACTAGGCGTTTGGTTAGATCGAAGGCATGGCAAAATACCACGGGAGCCGCTTGAGTCGACGCTGAAGGATCTAGTTTATCTGCAGCTGGAGCCGGAGCTATGAGCAACGCAAATTAGACGATTTAATCTTTCCGAGCACGTATCGGCTGGTCTACAAACGTACATCTTGATGGAGTTATCCCGGCACCGAAATTCCCTAATCTCTCGTACCTCCATGCTATTTTCATCTTTTCATTTTTTCCTTTGGGCTTTTCATCCGCTGCTTCGGCCGCCCCAATCAGGCCGGGTAGGGTCGCTGCCCACTGCGGATCAAACCCCACGACATGGAGCTGGTGCTCTTGAACGATTCCTTCAGCCGCATAGTATCTCAGTAAAGCTCCAGCAAAATCCGTAGTACCGCTCTCTTCAATTAGCAGGGACGAGCCCAATGCGAGGCCGGCATGTCCTGCGAGCAAATTGTCCAAGGTGGGGGTACCGGTCGACGTGGTTTGGCGGCCATCCACGGGCGATGGACGGAGGCCAAGAACGGGCGGTTGGGATGCTTGGTTTATGGACGCATGGGGAGTGGCAGTGCGTGGTCCGCCCGTAGACAAACCTACGTTTCGCTTGCGGAATGACATGGCCGACTGTGGGACGAATTGGGCTATAAGGAGGAGAGAGACGGGAAGCAATGGAGCTGCAGCTTGCTATTTTGCCGGCATGCCGCTGTTGCGGCTTGCTGAGTCATTGATCGGTCCCTTTAAAACAGCGAGTGCTTTCCACCCTCAAAATCCTTACTTGAGCCTTCAACTGCGCGCAGCGATTCAACGAACCATCCTGTGGGCAGCAGCTTCAGCGTTAATTTCGATAGACCTAGTGATACCCTTATTCATCCTCCGCTGTCCTCGTTCTTATCCGGCGACAGGCCTTTAACCGCTCCTCCACGTTTCCAGCCCAGACCCTCAAATTTCTCTTCCGCTCCGCGCCATGTCTGACCCGATCCTCTTCGAAGATACCTTTTCAATCACGTCGGTCAACGCCCAGAAATATGATCGCGTATCTCGCATTAGCTGTATGTCTTCGGACCAGCTGACCACCTTCACCCTCGACGTGAACACCGAGCTTTATGCCTGCTCACCTGGCGAGTCTTTGTCGCTCGCTCTCGCATCTACATTGGCGTTGGACGGTAAAGAGGAAGGTGCTGGAGGCCGTGCGATGTGGAGAGATGTAGGAATGGGCGAGACCACGTTAGCGAATGATTATGATTACGTTTGCTATGGGAAGGTGTATCGATTTGAGGAGAGTAGCACGGCTGGAAACATGTGAGTCCTGTCGGCTTGCTGAAGCTGCGCTCTAGCTGGAGACCCGTGGTGTAATAGCAAGGAAAGGCTTAGTACGTTTTCTTACCTGGATTAGGGCCGTTTTCGTTTCTTTTGGCGGACTGCTGTTGTACCTTGACGGACCTTACAAGAAGCTCAACCCCTTGAGAATCGACTACGTCTACCTTTTGATCAAGAAATAATCCGGCCATCCGCTTACTTCCGCAAGCGTGGTTTTCACCTGGGCAGACTCAAGGGAACTTGGACGATACGAAGAACAAAACAAAAGCTTGAAAGAGGGTTTCGAGAGTTTGCATTTAGCGCTGGCGTTCTATCTGGTTAGGTTTTAAGGTCACGGAGGTATCACCGTGCTCGTCTAAATCAAAAAGGGGCAGCATCGAAAATATATCGGTTCTAAAGCGTTGGGACTTCATGACGGCGATGGATCCTTGCCTGTATCTCTAAATAATCCTTCTCATTTTCCTGTGTGATGATATTGTGTCTGATGAAGAAGTCGATCAGCACGACCGAGCAGTTGGGCTTGAATTCTCCATTGGCCAATGCAGTTTTCACTTCGTCGACGGTATACAACTGGAAACCTTCTACTTCGGTATCACAAGGCTTGGGAACGACGCTCGGATCAACTTCCAGGTCATAGACGTACTCGCACTCTGGTTGCAAAAGCCCAGTTTCACCGCCTGCCCGCGCGTCGCGAATGTAGGTATATGTAACGCAACCAACAGACTTCGCATTAGCTCTCACGAGATCCTCGGGCAACGAAGCCTCCTCTATGGCTTCACGGACTAGACTTTCGAACGGCTGTTCCCCGGTGCTGATCCCACCACCAACAGTATTATCCAACATCCCCGGATACGTTTGTTTTGTCCTCGATCTTCGCGCAACCCACATTCTAATCCCATCCTCGCCTTTCACGTACACTGTCAAATGCACGCCATAGGTCATGATGCCGAACAGGTTGCTGCCTGAGCGTTCGACGCTGGCTAGCAGTTTCTTGTCTGGCCCGTAGATTGGGTATAGCTCGTTACGCCAACCTCGGAGAACTTGGAAGGTATCTTCTTTAACGGCATCCGCCAACGTGCGAGCGAGGAGGTCGGTCCGCTGCTCGGCAGTAGCATCGTGGGCGGCGAGGAGTGTTACAGTCCGTTTATCCTCGTCGATTTCCCAAAGTCCCTTGGGCCACGGAAATTTCTTGACGACATCGTTGGGAATATATCCCAGCCGTGCATTGCAGCCGGATATTTTGAACCTATGATAGTTGGCTACATACTGTTTGTAGTACACAGGGTCATCGTAGTAATAGGGAAACCTGTGGGAATATATGTTAGCGGTTACACTGATCCGGGGCTCAAAGGGAGTTAAGCTGTCATCTTTAGTTACCTATCACATTCATTCACCAGGTCTAAATATGATTTATTCATGTCTAAGCCTCCCGTTTAGTCTCCATCAAAAGTTGCCAGCCTGGTCCGCTGGCTCTTCGACAACAGTGATACTGGTCCACCCCGCTATTTAGTTAGTTATGTCTGCCGCGCGATGACTAAGACGGTCCCTTTGCGGCTCCTGTTTGCCAAACAAAATCATGATTCTGCAGAGCTCGATTTGTTTCTATGCAGTTGACTGGAGCTTGCAAATCTTTGATCCAACCTCCCTGGACCGCGACTCTATACTACTGCTCTCAGCTATTCGCAGTGCGCAGGATAATGGATGCTCAATTGACAAATTACTAATTCGATAGCTCCCGCTAACCCTCTCTTCCTAGACTAGATTGTTACAGTTGGGAGATTATAAGCAAAGAGAGACCCTCGGGAGCCCTTTCGTGCCAATTGTCTACTTGGTCCCAGCATGTTTTCAGTTGTCCTGCCTGGCCGGCCGTGCCTGACGAACTCCACCCCTATCCAGGGAGATCCCAATTCTCCCGCGACAAATTTCGTATTTACTTTCCCCGCATGGCCCAAATTCTCACACATTGTCGTCTTCCTCCTCCCAGGCGTTACACTTCCACCCGGCGCAGCGGCCGCGGTCTACATTCAATTCTCCACCGGAGCAACTCCTACTCCCAACCCACAAGATTTCCGGTTCCTCGGTGCGATTGCCGACGAGAAGCCCTCTGCCATATTCCGAGTGAACGACCCGGTTCGCCGGCGCACGGAGGCCGAAGAGGAAGATGAAATGCTGGACGAGGGAGCCCCGCCGTCCCCGAATGTCAACATGACGGTCACATTGGGGATATCTATCGAGCCTGCGCAGAGCGTAGCTGCTAAACTAGCTACGTTGAAGTCTCAGTCGCAGTCTATGGAGCTTGCCAAAACGGTAGATGTGCAGCAGAGGCCAAATATATCGACAAGATTGCTTGCGCAGCGGATAATTGGGAATGCGTTCAATTTCCTCTCGAGCTTCGCAACCTCGGACGGGCGGGAAGAGGTTGTGCCATTGAAAAGCTTCAGGGACTGGTGGACGAAGTTTGAGAGGCGGATCGATACTGACCCGGGATTTCTGGAAAGAGAAGGAAGTGGGTGAAAGGTTCTGGCTTGGTTTTGGGAATGCCAGGCTTGAGTTATTTTAAAGGGATTGCATGAAGCCGTGATGGTAATGGTGGGATGCATTTGTCAATAGTATCCTCCTCAAAACATTTCAACCGGAGAAATGCCACTAGAAGTGGCAACGTTCGGATAAGGAGAGTCTCGTATCTGATTCGCAACTTCTGTGGGAAAGCTTCTTATGACTTCTTTTGGGAAACGATAATACAAATATGCTGTATAAAAATTGACCTAACGCATTCTTCGCTCTAAACTGGTATTCTGCATCGTCTAGTTCATGCTTCCAGCAGGAACTTTAAGAAAGCCTTCCCAACGGCTATACCATCATGCTCTTTTCCGACTGCATCCATGCCTTCCTCGTAGATACCTGGCGGAAACGCCCCCATATATTTACGGGTCTGCATTATCTCTGTCACGATTTCTTCCGTAAACTCGGGATGGCCTTGAACCGTAATGAACCGTCGTGGAGAATACATGCCTTGCACTTCGCAACGAGGGGTTGAACCTAGAGGCGTGACGTTCGGCGGATAATAATGCACGACATCGCGATGCATCTGTTGGAGACGCTGTGGATTTCAATCACATCCTGTTAGCCCCTCATCGTGGTTTCCAGTAGGATGGGGAGTGTACCAGTTTCTCCAAGCCAAGCAGCTGCTTTCCTTGCTCAGTGAGGTCAATATCATGTACAGCGACTTCCCATCCGGCGTCATTGGGACCGACTTTGGCACCTAGAGCGCGACCTAGGATCTGATGCCCGAAGCAAATCCCGATCAAACGAACTCTGTCTTGGGCAAGGACCTTCTTTGTGAATTCGACAAGCTTGAGAATCCAGGGGGTATCGTCGTACGAGTTGTATTCTAACATGACAGAGAATGACCGGTTAGCTGCTTGCACAAATACTCATCAAGCTGAAACTAAACCATACTTGCTCCCGTAAGTAGCACCGCGTCGATGTCTTCCAGGTTTGGATATGTGTCACTCTGGTGGACAACGTCCCATTTTGAAAACTGCAGGCCAGAATTGGGGTCAATCTTGTCGGGTTGCTCTAGAGCTGCAGCCGCAGCATGCAGCAGTGCTTGAAACACGCCGCCATAACCGCCATATTTAGCCTTGGTGTTTGTCAATGGTTCGTCGCATTCCAAGAGTGCGATCCGGAGGGGCGGTCTCATGTTTCTCAGCGATGTTTCTCAGCGCAGAGGCGATACTGTCCTGTATGGGGGTCAGATTTGGTCACGGTGGCAGAGGCAGGGGCTGAAGCTGTTGTGCAATGGTGGTATTGAGCTTTGAGGGTAAGAGTGATGGGTGGTCCATGGTATATATCTCGCGCCTCGCCAGATTCACTATATAAAAAGTGAATCATCCCGTCGGTCGAACAGCCGCCATCCCCCCACACTTTTCGGTGACCGACATCGCTAGCGCGCAACGGTTCCAAGCCGATTGGCCCGGCCAAGAAAAGAGTGGCTCCTGATTGGCCTAATTTGCTGACTATTCCATTTTTAGCAGCAATACCCGCGCTAAGCTGGTTTACCGCTTTGCTAGTTTGACAAACTTGGGCGGCAGAATGACTAATCCGACCACCTGACCCGGTGGTTTCGATTCACTCGCCGCCCTTATCTTGCCGAGCCGAACTTATCACCGCCCGAAAGTCTTGCTGTTCGAGGCTTGACTCTCGCTGAGGGCGCCGATTTGACGCTGGAAAGCCAATGCCTGTCAATACAAATTATCGTTATTGACTGACTCTGGCACGGCTGCAGCGAGCAAGGACGTGCTTCTTCAGAGCAAGTGTTCCTCCCTGTGTGACACCATACTTAGTTACTGATGCTGACTTTGATAATTACTATCAGGGAGCTTATAGAGCTCAGTAAAAGTTCGAATCAGCTTCAGCTGTTGGACTGACGGAGCTAGCTCCTTTCATATGTGAAGCTGTTGGAACGAGATGAGCGGTGTGATATTCAACCAAGATCATGTCTTCCCTCACTAGGAACACCGAGTCAACCCCGCTACTAGACCACGATCAAGTCAGCGTACCTGAAATCCTGGAAGATGTCGATGAACAATCCCTGGATCTGGACCTTGCCAGGATCCAGTCGATCCCCCATGGCGGCGAGACTGATCCCGGATTTCCTCCCGTGTCTGACGGGGATAATAGCACGCCTCAGGGCGCCGAACTGAACACGGCAAAAGGTCCGCACCACTTCATCAACGTCAGCCCTGCCCAGTTTTGGGTTATCTTTGCTGGCATCTTATTCTCCTACATTCTTGCGTTCTTCGATTCGACCTTGATGGGCTCTATACATCCTGTCGTCACCTCACACTTTGATTCAGCCAATTCTGCCTCGTGGCTATCGACCGGGTTCCTCCTAACATGCACAGCTTTCCAGCCGCTTTTCGGTCGGATATCCGACACGTTCGGGAGACGACCGGTATATCTGTTTTCGATTGTGATGTTTTTTGTCACCACAGCTTGGTGTGCAATGGCTCAGAGTATTGGGAGCTTTATAGCTGCAAGGGTCTGCTGTGGACTGGGAGCCGGCGCTGTCACCTCCCTTGGAATGATTATGAGCTCAGACCTCATATATGTTGAGTATAGAGGGATATACCAGTCATATATCAATATCGCGTATGGAACTGGATCCTCTCTCGGCCTTGCTTTTGGGGGTCTGTTAGCAGACAGCCTGGGTTGGAGAGCGGCGTTTGGGGTACAGTTGCCTTTTATACTCGTGTACCTCGTAGCGGCTTACTTGACGACCCCGCGTTCCCTCGGGCCCGAATTGGCGTACCAAGAAGGATTCTCCTTGTTACAGGCGATCAAGTCGATCGACTTGAAAGGCTCATTTCTATTGGTCTCCGGTGTGACCGCGTTGATGCTTGGGATCAACCTTGGTGGAAACGTTTTATCCTGGGGCCACCCGCTAGTGATCTCCTCGCTGATAGCTTTCTGTGTGCTTACCGCTTTGTTCATCAGAGTCGAGCAAAGCGCAAAGAGACCAGTAATGCCATTGCCATTGCTATCAAGTTCGCCCCGTGCAAATCTGATCTTTGGTAACTTCTTCGCAAACATCACGATCAACACGATTCTATTCAATGCGCCTCTATATTTCCAAGCAGTCAAGCTGGAATCCCCTACCCAAGCAGGCTTTCGCCTGGTAGGAGCATCGCTAATGCTCATGCTAAGCTGTGTATTCACTGGGGCCCTGATCACAACGACACGCCGACTTAAGCCTCCACTTCTCATGGGAAGTTTATGCCTGATCTGTGGGACCCTCTCCATGAGTAAGTTGCATCGCGATATCCCAGGGTGGAAAGGAATGCTGTCAGTGATCCCGTCCAGCTTTGGGCAGGGCTTCGCATTTCCAGCCACCATGTTGTCCGTCCTGGCTGTTAGCAGCCAAGCGGAGCAGGCCGTTGTGACCACGACGCTTGGCTTGTTCCGCAACCTAGGGTCGGTGATGGGCGTTGCAGTCAGTAGTTGGATCCTTCAAAACTCCCTACTTGTGTACCTCAACCGATCAGTGACGGGAGACGACAAAGCAGAGATCATCCGACGTGTCCGGAGATCAGTCTCTGCGATATCTAACCTCGATCGGATCCATCAAAATCAAGGTCAGTGGCCGGTCAGTGGTCACCCCCGACGATGGCTATGCTAATTAATATTGCTCTTGCCGCAGTCATCCATGCATACGAAAATGCGCTTCACATGACCTTTCTCTCCACCATCTTCCCATCGCTCGTGGTATTGTTTCTTCTTGCGCCCGTTAGGTTGCCTCGACTCCGCCGTCGGGAGCCCAATGCCTGAGTAGTTCTGTTTTCTAGCACTGTGAAACACAACCAGGTGAGACAGGAAGCGGTATTCGGTAGTCATACGTGGAGGGTATCTAGTGTCTCAAACGCTGTTGCTCACAGGTGCATATCCGTTTTCTGGGTGCACAGTTCGCTTTCGGGCTCTAGTTATTCTGGCTAGTTGCTTGGTGGTCAGCGGAAAGGAGCCATGGCCGTCTCAAAATATCTACATGAAACGCAAAAATCAATAGACACTAAACTCGATAAGGGAGCGCTGTATCAAAATGAAGAGGATATTGTGTTCGTAGTCCCGGTTCAAATACTCCTCACGGCATGTTCCCTGCCCCCCCAGGCTTTTCCTCCAAGAGCCCCCGGCTGCCAGCCGGCCAAACAGGCCATCTTGAGTGGTCCACCGCCCAGACAACCCGGGAGCGAACTCCTACATAACCACCCCTCTGTCCGCAGCCTTAAAATCGGCTTTCGCTGGCATATAATACTAGACGAAATTAATTCGGGGTCGGCGGCCATCAGATTGCTCCACGAACTGCACGCTTTCGGCATCCCGTCCACGATCGTCTGTTTGGGTGCCACGAACCAATCCACCGGGACGAACACCTCGCCAGTTTAAAGACAACCGGAGCTCGCTTGTGAGCATCAGAAGCTCTGCATCAGACTTCCCTGGTAGGCAGCATTCATTCCCGCTTCCCTCGTGTTGCTCTCCCGGTTTACCACGTCCTGTTTCTCGATCCCTGCCTGCTCCCAATGCCTCACAGCTAACGCCCAACTCCTAAATTGGATCTGGTCCCTCAGTGCACCCTCATCACGCCTCCAACATACTCACGAGATTCAACAGCGCCGAGAAGCACGTCCAAGCCGCCCCGTATCAATCCCTACGGTCGCCCCCCGGGATCGATAATAGATCCCTGCAAGCGAGGAGCAACGATCCTACATCGACCCTCTGTCGCCGAATCTGCCCTTCTCTACCTCCCACTTGGCGTATCCCATGATACCCGAACAAACACTACGTGTTACACCGCGGGGGAAAGGTATTGGGCTGTGAATAAACACCGCAATAGATGTGGTAGTGAAAGGGGAGCCATTTTTCGTGACATCGGGCGCAAAGTTGCGCGTCGAGGGTTAGTCTCTCCTATTGACTCGGGCCCTGGGGAGTTTTTTTATGGACGACGGAATATTGCTCGATATCAATGTCATCAACAGTGGGCGGACACCTGCTTTCGCAGAATGACTTCGATATCCCTCTGAACCTCGCGACCTCGTCCTCTGTATCCACGATACCGGACTATTCGGGACATGGAGGAGCATACCAGATAGCAGCGAATGTGGACTCGAATCCACTGCAGAAGAATGCAACCAAGGACATGGCGGTTGGCGGTGCCTCTGCTGCTGTAGGGAGGGCGGCTCGACCAGACGCGCCCAAATCCAAGCGCGTACGGACAGGTTGTTTGACATGCAGAGAACGACATCTCAAGTGCGACGAGACACTTCCTCGCTGTCAAAATTGTCAAAAGTCAGATAGACTGTGCAAACGCGGAGTTCGACTGAATTTCATTGACACACAAGTCGCTGCACCGCCGTATGCCCTTCCCTCGAGCCACGATTGGCACGTGAATTTCCACGATGAGTCCCGCGACATAGCATCGGAGTATTTGGGCGGCTACGAAAGATATCCTTCACTGACAACTGAGACACCAAAGCAGCGGGTTGGACCTACGTATAGCTATCGGGAGACGCCCACGATGACGCCACACCAGGGATTAACAAGTGCGTCGCTGCTCACTTCGTTCTCGGAGCACCCTCAAGCGAATATGACAGCTGAGCCAATATTCCACAGCACGCCGCAAGCACAGGCTCCAGACTCGGTATATCCAGATCACCCGATTGCTCGTTCTCCATATGATGCTCCGAAACACCCTCTGGCCCCGGCGAATGAAGTGCGGCCATACTTGAATACTGCAGAAGAAGTGTTGCTGATGCAGGTGTATGTGGAAGAAGTAGGACTCTGGATGGATTCAATGGACCCTGGCAAACACGTATGTGGAATGTCGTTAATTGTTTAAATGTCCACAATTGCTAATTTGAATAGTTTACTCAGTTCCTTCCGTTCCACGCACTGGGCGAGCCGATGCTCTTGAATGCCCTCTTGGCCTGCGGCGCACGACATCTCTTCCTGGTAAACCCGTCGTTTGGTGAAGAAAAGGCGCTTTATTATTATAATATCTCGACCAGGGATCTCTTAAGCTGTTTACAAAATCCGAACCGCGATACGGTGCTTTGCGCAACTACGGCAGTCGTCTTAAACGTATATGAAGTAATGTGCGAGAAAGCAATGCAAAGGATGAACCATATTGCTGGTGCCCGTGCATTGATCAAAGAGTGCCGCTGGAATGCCAAAACGACCGGCATTGGGGGCGCATGCTTTTGGTTGAACGTTGGAATGGAGTTGTTGAGCTGCCTTCACTTCAATTGGAAAATGGCCTGGGATCCGGATACGTGGGACATTGATATGAACTTGAGTATGAATCAAGGAAATACAGCGGGCGATGAAGAGTTTTGGACTCACCGAATGCTGTATATTTGTGCGAAAATTGCGAATTACCGAGCTGCTATAGCGTATCAGGGACTTGACCGAAACGCTCATGACCCCAGGCTAAATCAGCGTTGCGAAGAGTGGAATTCGTTACAGAGTTGGTGTGATGAATGGGCGAGATGTGCTCCAAGGTCCATGATGCCGCTGGCTTACTTACATCCCTGGCAAACAACCTCGAAGTCATCGTTTCCTGAAGTCTGGTGAGTAGCCAAATTATGTCCTCTAGGCGCGTTCTTCTTTCCTAACGGCCGCTCATTATAATTAGGCTTGTCAAACGCTCTGCTGTCGTTGGCCGTCTGTTCTACCACACTGCCTGTTGCCTTTTAGCAAAAGTGCATCCTACTAAATCGGAGTACTCTGATGAAATGCTCTCGATGCAACATAGTCATGCGCACGATATATGTGGTATCGTTGCGCATGTTAAGGATCGGTAAGCCGTCTATAGGCCGTTCCCTTGATACTGGGATTCTGACTAGGTGTTTCAGAGGGGTTGCCAGCGTTTCAATTCGATGTCTGGCTATTGCAGCAGAATGCGTTGTTGGAAGAGAAGCGCAAGAGGAAGTGATAACGATTTTGGATAAAATAATAAAAGAAACGGGATGGCAAGTCGGATTCCTCCAACACGAACTCATCGAGAAATGGGGCTGGAATGGCCCACCGGCGCATTTGTCGCCGCATCAGAGCCAACACCAACAAATAGCCACCGCCGGTCCTTCTGCAGACTTGGGATCGTCATTACTGAACTCTGGAATGCCCAGCGCGGCCCCGTCGAGACCCAGAATGCCACAGGGCATTGTCAATCCTCTTATGGCGACCGCGGACTTTTCGTTCGACAACCATCCATATCAAAACCATTACGTTGCTCCGCATAATAATCATATGAACAACTATCACTATAGTTCATATTAAGATACCCGAAATACCCTATATCTACGAATAATCAGCCTACAACAGTTTCTGCCTGCGGTCAAATTTGACTTTTGCGATATCATATCCCCTGGGCGCCTAGTCGGACAAATGCCTAGTACTAATGTATGAATATACGGGCATGCCAATGGGCCTCTCGTCTTGGTTATGTACATGCACCCAAAACACATCTTTTTGCAGATATGTCTAGCTTTTTTTGTTTTCAGTGCCTGTGTATATACCGCAGCCGCATTTGTGCCAGGCTCGACATATTCTCATTTGGTCCATTTTTGTCCGGCCAACATCTCTGTCCATATACATAATAGAATTTCTTCAATCTCTTTCGAGTCTGTCTAAGACAATTTCACTTCAGAAGGATCGCAAAGATCTGTAGCTAGATGATGTGCAACTTTTGGATGCGTCGAAAAAGGCCTTTTCGGTTAATTTCTCTGGTAAACAAATCACGATAGGAATATAAGGAAATAGAGCCAAAGATGCATAAACCTATAGATATTGGAATTTCGTCATTTTTAAGTCCTTTCAGGCTTCCACCTGAAGCTGTAGCGAGTTGATTCACCCTTTCAATTACAACAGCATAAGCTCTCACGCAAGCATCAGAACAATTATCAAATAATCGAGCCGCCCACCCACGCTTTGCCAGCTATTTAACTGCACTTTCGACTTGCTACCGGTTGACTTAGAACACCGTGTATTCAAATGGCTTCGGCTGATTCACAGGCCGCGAAACGTCCTCCGCCAACTCCAACGTACATTCTACGCGGCCATGGCGCGGCGGTGCACGGCTTGGACTTCTGCAGGCAAAACACAAGGCTCATATCCGGTGACGCAGATGGATGGGTTATTCTTTGGGACATGGCCACCAAGCGGCCTGTTGCGACCTGGAAGGCTCATGAGGGGTCTATTCTAGCTGTCAGAGGTGTCGAATCTACTGCTGAGCATGCGAGTTCTCGAGAGCATAGGATTTTTACGTATGCCTTTCCCCTTTACACAAGCTTTGGAATATGTTGTGATTGCTAAGCTTCTCTGTAGTCATGGAAGAGACAATGCGCTTCGAGTATGGAGGCTAGATGCAAGAGATGAAGAGTTACTTGACAAGAGACTGCCTGTGGAAGAGACTGCGAGCCCCAAGGACAGGAATGAACCTTGGTTAATCTACTCGATCACGGTGAACGCGTTGAATTTTTGTGGCTTCGCTCTCACGTCCAGGCTCCGTGCCAACCTCCATCCGGAAATCGAGCACTCGAGGCTGGAAGAAACGGAGTCGACGCAGATTTTACCCTTGAGTGGAAGTCAAAAGGCCTCTGATATGTTCATTGCTGTCCCAAACGCAATGAACACCGGGGGGATTGATATTTTCCTTCTACCTTCGCAAAAAAGGGTGTGCATGATATACGCAGATGAGTCTCTCAAAACGGGCATGGTAATGGCACTGGCAATGTTTTTCTCGCCAGATGGTGACCTATACGTTGTATCTGGATACGAAGACGGTCAGGCTATGGTCCACATGCAGCGCGGGCCTATTGTGCTTGAAGGGGATACGGATGCGGCTTCTGCCTCGACTTGGACCTGGGACTGGGAACGGATATATCTAAACCGCTCACATTCACAGCCTATTCTTTCCTTGGACATCCCCCCAACAAAGAAGGACTACTTTATCACGTCTTCAGCTGATGCGAAGATCGTAAAACATGTGCTTCCTCGAGAACGCAGCAGCGCAAGCTCTGAAGCAAATACTCCGCTCAATGTAATGAATACCAAGCATGCGGGCCAGCAGGGTCTAAGGATACGTTCTGACGGAAAAATATTCGTCACCAGTGGATGGGATGGTCGCGCACGGCTATATTCATGCAAAACAATGAAGGAATTGGCTGTTCTGAAGTGGCACCGGGAGGGCTGTTATGCTACGGCTCTTGCGGACATTGACTTGGAAGCCTCGCGTGAGAATCAGGTTACAGAATCAGCCTTGGACAAGCCAGGAAGTTCTACTTTGATTTTACGAAGCGAGCCAGGATCTTTGGCATACATCAAACAGCAAAGAAGCCAAAAAGCTCAGCTTACGCATTGGGTCGCTGTGGGTTCAAAAGACGGAAAAGTATCATTATGGGATATCTATTGAGCTGCTGCAAAAGCAGTCCGGTTCCATACAAGCATATCTTTTGGAAGATCAAAACTAAGCAAGATTAAATTCACTGGCCCCGGCCATATGTTCCCTCAACTTTTGTTGCATTTTCCTCCTACCTTCGGCAGCATCCGTCGTTGACGGATTGTCATCGTGGGCAGACGCCTTTCTCTTCTCGCCTGATACAGCCTTACGATCGGCTTTGAATGATTTCTTGGTGTCGTCTTTACCTGGTCGCAGACCTGGAACGTTGATTTTGGCTGGTCTATCACGCAACGCAAAACTTTTCGCTAGATGACCAAGGTGCAAGTCCTTGATATTGAACATATGTCGTTCAGCAGCAATATGCGTCGCATACGCGCGGATATGAGATTGATAAGCCCGCCTAGCCATCTCTAAAATGGTTGGGTTTTCAAGGGCCCAACGTTCAATATCAAGCTGCCACTCAGTGGCTTTTTCCTCCCAGCCTTTGCTAGTGGACTCACTATTCCCACCAAAACCCCGCTTGAGGATCTCGTTTGCGTCGTTTCTCGCAACAGCATTGTTGCTTCCCTCGCGGTAGCTGCTTTTCAATATATCAACGTAGCCTTCCTCATTTCCTGGCAGGAGGAAGATCAGTGCACGACCATCGCGACCTAATCTTGCCGTGCGGCCGATACGGTGAAGATGATCGTCCGAGCAGAATGCCGGGTCATACTCAATCACGAAATCGACGTTGGGCAAATCCAAACCACGGGCTGCGACATCTGTGCAGATTAAAACGGAAGTATCCTTTTGCTTTGCAAAAGCCGAAAGCGTTGCTGTTCGGACGTGCTGCGGAAGGGAGCCGTGAAGTTTATGTAGGATAACCGTATTAGAGGGATTAGAAAACGCCGTCGCTGTTGCAAAGGTGCCATGAAGGTTTGTAGGCTGCTTGTCATCATCAGCGTCTGGCAATTCTTCGTTGTTTTCACGTCGAGTGAAAACTTCGTAGTGGAAATCCACAGAGTCCGCGCAAGAAACAAAGATGATCGCTTTCATGACTGATCCTTTGCGTGCAAATGTTCGTTTTAAGAGGGCCGTAAGGGTAACTAATCGAAGCTTTGCAGCCGCAACTGCGTACGACTGTTTCAACTGGGCTGGTGCCAGAAATTCTGTCTGTTTCGACCTATCTTCCTTCGAAACATCATCGTCCTCGTCGGTAGGCTCTGCCTGTACATGTATCGCATCCTTCAAGCTAATCTCCCCTAGTCTCTGCACATTCATCTTCAGTGTTGCCGAACACAAAATCGTGGACCGCTTAGTCGGTAACTCCTGTATATTAGTCGGTTTCTGTCTCTGGTCCAATTTCTTTATTATGCCCTGAATTTCTTCCTCGAATCCCAAATCCATGAGCCTATCACCTTCATCTAGCACCAGCCATCGAACATTGCTAACATCGAGGACTTTGGTATTCTCCAAATGATCCGCTAATCGACCAGGCGTGGCAACCAAGATATTCAATCCCTTGCGCAGCCGTGCTTTTTCCGATTTTTTCTTTTCTCCTCCGATCACGGTCCCTGCAACGATCCAGTGCGCACACCGGAGTAGTCCATCAAGCACGACAGAGATCTGTTTACACAGTTCTCTTGTCGGGGCCAGAACGATTGCAAAGAGTCCAGATTCCCTATGAAATCCACTGTACTTTTTCTCCTTATTATGACTCGATATCCTCATCAGCTGCTCAACGATCGGTAAAAGGTAGGCTAGCGTTTTCCCCGAGCCGGTCTGCGCTTGGACGAATGCATCATGCCCTTGCTTCAAAAGCTGGGGTATTGAGCTCTTCTGGATCGCCGTCGGAGTTTTCAAGTGAAGTTTTGTCAGTAGATGCGCTGCTAGGTTGGGTGATAAGCCGAGGGATGTAAATGTATCAATTCCGTCGACGAGAGGCGCATTCGACGGCTTCGCTGGCTCTGAGGTGTCCCCGTCCCGTGCGGTTTCATCCGTCGTCGTCGCCGCGGTTTTCGCAGAAGGGTTATATGTAAACAAGGAAGAAATAACCTGTCTGTCTCCAGTTGCCTTGCGATCGACCTGCTCTTTATTTCCTGTCGTGGCGCCGGAACCTGGTTTCGTCGCAGGCTTGAAATCTCCGTTGTCAACCCTCTGCCTCTTCGCAGGTCTTTGGCCAACAGAAACTTCGATTCTGTTGGGGTTATAAGCATTATTTCCTTTTGCTTCTCCCGAGCCCCCGCCTTGTCCGCCTTTCTTTTGTCGCTTCACCGCGATTTTCTTAGCGACCAGACGATCCTTCCATGTTCCGCCTTTGAAGCGTTGCTGGGGCGTGATGATGGTATCATCCAGGCTAAAATTCAGAAGCATGCCATCTTCGGCCATGATGATGACAGATGGCCTTTTGGCTCTCCTTAATAGACGGATTGACCAGTTATGCCGGGAAGTTCACTTCTTCAGCGTCCGCCGCCCAGGATGAATAAATGTCGAGATTCTGAGAAAATAAATCTACAGCAAACCCTTTATTTTATTGGTTGAGATTTGAGCCAATGATATTGAGGATAATTTCTGATTTGTTCCTGATTTGCCATCAAGCCAGCCAATCGATTGTGAAGATCTTATCAATTTTTATCTTTCTCGGCACACCCGCTAACCCCTTTTGACCTCGCACTCAGTCTATCTGATCATCTACACAGGAGTCGTCTGAGAACTGCGATGAGTCCTCTGAGCTCTCCTCACCATCGCCACCTTGCATTTCATGATCTGACTGGGATACGTCCTTGAGGATGCGAACGAGTTCTCTCGTCTGCACCGCGTCCGCTTCGACCCCTTCACAGAGGCCCTCCTCATCCGCGAAGGTGAGGACATCTTCCCACGAGTAATCGAGTATGGCTCTCCCAAAAGCTTTCCGATATAGGACACAGAGTGTAGAATGGCTAAGGTATCCTCTTGGAGACATCCAACCTGGGAATAAGTCAACTTCAGCCGACCGAACCCATTCTAGGTTCCCTTCCACTTTGTGTTTGAGATAGGTCATTAGAAACCGGAAGAAAAGGTATCGTCCAGCCGGTCTCCTCTCATTGCAAAATCTTAACTGTTGTCCGTCGATATCCTAAAGATTTGTCAACAAGGGCCGATATACATTCATAGACTATTCTGGGTCTCTTCAGCTTCAACCTTTTGCCCTTGCCAATTATATCCTTGAGCTTGTCCTTCTGTGTGACGACGCACTTCCATTCACCTTCATTGCCAACGAGCGGTACAATAGCAATTTGCCCCGAATCCAGCCGTCTTTTAAGGCTTCGATGGAGGAAGAGCGCTAGAAAGTCAGCGAGGGGCGTTACACGAGAGAAAAAGACATAAATCATACAATTCCTAACATCAGTGGTAGGCTCCACCTCCGCTCCAAAAATATACCCAAGCGATTTCTTATCTAGGGACCTCGGGACAATATGAGCGGCGGTAACAGCGGTTGCATCCGACCATCCAAGCAGGCTGCATCGGACCTCGCGCCTTTCCAAATTATTCGCAGAATAATATTCCAATGCAGCTTTCCTGAATTTCTGTCTCGAAAGCTTCATGGGCTTTTGCTTTGAGGTTTCAAGGGCAACTCTCCCCACCATGGAGACAGCGTAGGCATCCTCAAGTGACACCCCAGTCCGCAGTTCATCAGCCATATCTTCTTCGATGGCCCTTCGACCCAACTTTATAGCAGTACTTTCCTCCGTCGCTGCAAAGTCTGCTAAAATAATCTCTCGATGCTCTTCCCGCCACTCGGAGAGAGGTAAGCCTCCCTTCTCCCACAGCGTCAGAACTTCGTGACTATACCTTTCGAGGTAATCGATTCTGGAATCCAAGGAAAGAATTCTAGCATTAAGGAAATTGGAAACGGACGATGGCGAAGAAGGATAAGTAGAACTTTCCATCATAGACTGCTCTGCTTTCATCCTAAGAGCGGCCAAGGTAGAAGAAATGGAATCAGGGAGAAGACCCAGGTATCTGTTAGGAAAGTGTACCTCCATCTTGCTGCAACAGTCAACTAGGAAACAGGAGGACTCTAGAAAGAAACTCAGAGAAACGATGAAAGGACATGTGAACAGAGAGGAATTGGAACTTTTGGAAGAGAGGAAGGTTGTGCAAGGTGATTCACAGGCGCTTTAAATATGCCCTGAGAAAAAAATTCTGAAAGAATGAATGCCCGTCTATCCCTTTCAAATGAGACTCACACCCTTTCAGGTTGTTGAATGAATCAACAGGAAAAGCTTTCAGTCTCTCCACGATAGCGTTCATAGAACATCTGTTCAATGCTATTAACGAAATATTGCGGGCCGAAGTTGAGCATAATACACACAACTTTCAATATCCTCGCTTGTATATCAAACTCTGAACTTCCAGTCGCTCTGGAATGCAAGGAGTCAAGGCTTCCATCAGTATGGGTTTCCACCACCCTTCTCCTCCATAATCATACAAACATGCGGCAAGTGCGTACTCGGCATATTCCGGGTAAAACCCACTACGCTCCCAGTCCACAATACCTGTTATCTTCCCTTCTTTAACAAGGATATTCCGTGGAAAGAGGTCTCCATGCGTGAGCACAAACTTCGACTGGCTATTCCTCCGTAGTTCAGCGAGTTTCCTCCTCCACTTCTTTTTTTCGGACGTGTTCTTTATACGGGAAAGACACCATTCATCAAACTCGGCCTCTGGACTGAATGGGCCCATGAACCTTGTCTCGATACCTTCATATGGGTTGTGTGTGGGTTGGCGATTGACACGCCCAATATATGGCTGGGTGCATGACCTGAAAAGTTTTAAATAGTCTGCAAGCTGTTCTCTGATCGACATGCGTTGTTGTTCATCCAATGTCGGCCAGACCTTGTCAAGTGAATTGCCTGGCACAAAGTCGGCAACCATGGCGATTTGGTGGCTGTTGAGTTGGCGGCATTCCCAGACAGCAGGAGCCAAGAGATTCTGAGAATGCGCGTAGGCCATCATGTCTGCCTCTGATTCCCGGGAAAAGCCCACCGTTTTGAATTTAATAGCGACAGGGTGCCCATCTGGGACGTTGTGGCTCCTGATAACGCGGTTGCCAAAATACTCGTATATTGTTTCCCCGTCGAGAGAACCATCATAGTGGCGTTCCGATCGGTCTGTTTTAGACTCGCTATTATTCTGCAGTCTAAACTTGTTCACAAGAAAAGTGAGCATTGTTGCAAGTACTGTCACTCGTTTGCTAGAATAGACAAGAAGAAGAATATATCTTTTTCTGATGACCTGGTATTAGGGAACTAAAAGAATGACATGCAGTGTTGTTTGGTGCAAAGCACTCTGCGTGTTTTTATCCTGTAAGCTTGACAAAGACACTCCAAAAGCTGGAAGACGTGCCGCATCAATCATTTCACCCGCATGGACTTAAAAGCAGGGCCACGAATATCGTGGGTGTGGTCATGGTGAATCTTCACGTGCTGATCGAGTGTCAGCGGTTAGCAGGCGTCAAAAAATAGCAGCAAAATCCGCCATGCTGGGCCGCTAGCTAACCGTCAACACGTTAAATAGAGCTGCCTTCTCCTAGATGGACGCGCATTAAGTGTGCCCAATAGTCTTGTATGGAGTATGTACAGAATCTTCATGAATATATATCCAATATCTGGCAACCAAAGCCCAGTTATACAATAGTAAGCCTCCTGCTGGTCAGGATCTATCCAAAATATTTGAGACGAAATGAATTGGCCATCAGCCACCAAGCATGGTTCAAGGAACTGGTGCCAGGATAATATTGTCAATTAGCCTTACCGGAACGGTACCTCCGCCCAATCCACAGTCCTCCCCAGGCTGTGGAGCTTCGAGAGGGTACATTTTGACGGCACCGCTCAAGACTGCTCCTTTTGAGCTGTCAACTACGTCTACCTCCTCAAGTGACTCCGGGTCTGCAAGAGAAATATAGTCCACTTCGAACTTTGCTCGTTGTGGCGGTTGCAAACTTTCCTGCTCCTTCGAGATAGCAGTCGCGATTCTGTGTGCAGCTCCTAAAATATCTTCTCTAGTACGTTTGCCAGACAAGTATTTCTTTTCAGCCTCTCTCAGGGAGGCCGAGAGTACCAGGCCAACTTTCCGGCGTCGAGTTCCCAGGTATACATTGCGAGAGCTCAGAGCAAGTCCATCTGGTTCACGAATAGTCGGCCCAATCTTTACTTCCGTATTCACATAGAGGTCTTTGACCATTCGCCTAATGACCACGGTCTGTTGTACATCCTTTTGTCCAAAGTACACGCGCTCGGGTGTGACAATATTAAATAGCTTCATACACACGGTTGCAACTCCACGGAAGAAGACAGGACGGGATGCCCCTTCGAGTAAATTGGCAAGAGGGGTAATGTAAACAAAAGACCCCTTGCCGTCGATCTCGGATGAGGGTGGTAAAGTAGGGTACATAACTTTGGTGGTAGGTGCAAAGATGGCACTGATGCGTCCTGAAGCAGCAGAGGCAAGCTTATGGTCTAATTCCTGAAGCTTTTGCATATCCTCCGTCCATGTGCGGGGATAGCTCTCCAAATCTTCATTCACTCCAAATTGCGTGGGATTCACGTAGATGCTAACGAAGACGTCGGTGTTCTCTCTAGCCGCTTGTTGGATTAAAGAAAGATGCCCATCATGCAATGCGCCCATCGTGGGAACCAGCCCAACCGTCCTATTCGAGAGGAGAAGCCGTTTTCGGTACTCACGGAGTGGTGAGACATCCCGGAAAATTTCAAAACCTGGAGATCGGGCATTTGCGGCAAAGGTTGTCCCGTTGGCAAATCTATAAGAGAAGGCTTTGAATATGCAATTAGCGCCATGTCACCATAGCAATTGACTCGCGACTTACTTGAGAACCTCCTCGCCCAGCGGGACATCTTCCGAGGCTACCCCAGCAAATAAACGCGAACTAGAGACCTTTTCAAAGCAGTGGGATATATTGCAACCATTGGAAACGAGAGTGGATATTGCGCAAAAAATAAATAAAAGACAGCCAACTCTACATTGTGAGTCAATCCATTGAGCGACGACTGCTGCGATGTCCCGCCGCCTGCAGGTTGTCGTTGATCCTGCCCAGAAGCGATCTCCAGTTGACGCTTTCCCCGGGTCGGACTAGCGCGGCTCCCTGGATTGCCGAGGTTGAAACTTAGCCAGCGGGACGGAGAATCTTAATTCCCGAATTTGGGACGAGATGGATGGAGACGGGTATCTTGTACTCCAGGTGTCGTCTTGCTTCCATTGACAGCGTCGGGGTTATCTTTGGAGTTGATTTGGAGTGATGAGGACTTGAGACTGAGGTTGTGGACTGCTCATGAAGTTCTCCCCAAAAACAGCCTTGCTCTGACCGCAACCCATTCCCTTGGTTAACTACTTCGGCGCATATAACTAACGTCTGGCTAATCCGCAATGCCTTCAACGAAGCCAGCTGAGGATCCGCCTACTTTTGCGCCCGATCTCGAAATTGTCGGAAATGAGGTTAGGATTCAACCCACTGGCTTCACCGCCGGCACTGCTACCGGTGATGGAGATGTCACGGAACGCCGATTAGTGCAACAAATGGGCCGCTTTCGCCAGAACCCGTTCGATTTTCTTCGAGAGATTAGCCTGTTTGTATCTGGAACAGGATGGCGCGCATACGATGACTTTGTCGGTCAGCCAATCTTCTACTCCGGCTTCACAGAGAAGGTGAAATCCGAGGTTCTGAGCCACCCCTTACTCCAGGGTAAAATTGCCGAATTGGCGGAATTGAGAACAAAGGTGGAGGAAAAAGAAGGGTTACTGAATGGCCCTTCAAATAAAAACGGTGAAAAGAGCATCCGGCGGAAGAACGAGATAATAGCCAATCTGCGTGAGGTGGTCGATACAATGATTGATAATATGATTTGCAAGATGGAGAGCAAGACGTTTATTCGGGGGGCTTATTATCTCTGTACCCAACTTCTTACGCGGGCCTATCACCAAGGTAAGATTTCTTTCTTTTCTATTCGCTCGCAGTTCAAAACTAGAGTTCGGTCCTGAGTGCGAAATATGTAGGAATCCATGTTTCCAGTGAAGAGGTCCTCCGTTTAAGGGCGGTAGCCCGAGAAGCAGCAAAGGAGAAGAAGTCTATAATTTTCCTACCGTGCCATAAATCTCATGTCGACTATGTATCGCTTCAAATTATTTGCTACCGCCTTGGAATCGCTCTCCCAGTTGTCGTTGCTGGAGATAATTTGAATATTCCTCTTCTAGGTCCATTTTTACAGCATGCCGGTAAGTCATATCACAACATACGTCCGTCAACTCGACGTCCTATGTCTGAGAATTATAATAGGCGCAATGTGGATTCGACGCAGCTTCGGTAACGACCCGCTCTATAATACGCTTGTTCAGTCCTATATCGATACACTTCTTAATAATGGTTACAATTTTGAGTGCTTCGTTGAGGGCGGTCGCTCTCGGACAGGCAAACTTCTACCGCCAAAATACGGCATTCTGAGCTTTTTGCTTGATAGTGTCGCTTCGGGTCGTGTGGATGATGCCATAATATGCCCGGTCAGCACGCAATATGACAAGGTCATAGAAACCGAGTGAGGCCCTCCAAAACATTTAACTTTTGAGCTATCTTATACTGATAATAAAATAGGTCGTATATCAGTGAGCTTCTTGGACAGCCAAAACAAAAGGAGAACCTTAGGGATTTCCTCTCTTCGTCTTCGGTTTTGTCCCTCAAGTTGGGACGGGTTGACGTCCGGTTTCACGAGCCTTGGAGTTTGAAAAAGTTTATTTCAGAACAGTTGACGAGAATAAACAAAGCGCCCAGCACCACACAATTGACTGATACAGCTGAAAAGGGTCGTATCCTCAGAACTCTCGGCTATCGGGTCCTTTCCCAAATCAACGACGTCTCGGTAGTAATGCCCACAGCTCTGGTCGGAACTGTTCTTTTGACACTACGCGGACGCGGAGTCGGAAAAGCAGAGCTGGTTCGTAGGGTTGACTGGCTTTGTGACCGTGTGAGAGCTAAAGGAGGGCGAGTTGCACATTTCTATCGAGCTCCAACGGAACATGTGGTAGATCGTGCTCTCGAAGATTTGGGCCCGAAGCTGGTTGGTGAAGTGCCTGGACTTGCAGAGCAAACTTTTTACGCTGTGGATCGGTTTCAGCTTTCATTCTACCGCAACATGACCATACATTTATTCATCACTGAGGCGCTGGTATCTGCTGCGATGTACACTCGTGTAAAACAGGGTGGTGGACCAGCAAACCAACGCATATCCTATGACGAATTAAAATCTCAAGTTTCGTTCTTGTCACAGGTTCGATTATGCTTGATACTACTCTTTTACAGCTGCTCATGCTAATTGATCGTTTAGATTTTCCGTGGAGAATTCATCTTCCCCCCGGAAGGATTGACTGCGAACCTTGAAAACACTTTGAACGGCTTAGAACGGGACAATGTCATCAAAATCACCAGAAACCCGACGAACGTCCCTGTAGTCATTGAACTAAGTGAGCAGGAACGGCAGTGTGGGCGAGAGAATTACGATTTTTATTGCTTCCTTATCTGGCCGTTTATCGAAGCCTGCTGGCTTGGAGCCGTCTCCCTTATGGGTCTTACGCCGCCCCTTTCTAGCCCACAGGCGTCGTGGATTGACATGAAGAAAGCGCACGATAGCGCCCAGCTGGTGCGTAGTCTGCATTCACTAAGACTTTTACTCTTATTATTGTTGACAACTGCGAAATACAGCTAGGCAAAACGCTTTATCACCAAGGAGACCTATCGTATTTCGAAGCTGTAAACAAGGAGACCCTTAAAAATGCATACCAGAGATTCGAAGAAGAGGGAATCATAATTGTCGCAAGAAGCAAGCAGTCCAATGCGCCTACAACGATACGAATCGCTTCGCAATGGATGCCTGAGCGAGACCCCCAAACTGGTAAACTGCTTCCTCGTGGCAGGCTCTGGGATTTCACGGACCTCATAGCCCAGTCGCGGCGAGAAGGGTAAGTTGAGCTTCCTTTCCCCCCTTTTCCGTACGGCGTTTTTGACAACCATTGTCTCTAGTAAAAACCGTCGAGACGGTGCAACCGTGTCTTTCCGGGTTTTATCCATGAGTGATGCAGTTGGACAGGCGCTATTCCAGGCAGCCTTGTCACCGAGCTCGACAGCGTCAACAGAGGACCTTACGCTTTCCACAACAGCGAAGAGACGGAAAGCAATTGAGACACCGTCGAAGTTATGATTGCTATGGTTCTCCTAACTACTTTTGATCTCTTTCCTATTTATACCCCAGGCTTTTGCCAATGTCATAGAACTTGAAAGTTCAATTAGGTGGAATTCTGTAACATAAATCATGCATTGGATCAAGTCAGACTTTTCTATGGGATTTTAATTTTCATATTCATATATGAACTAAACTGCTCGTCTTGGACATCTTTGACATCAGTAGATTCAATAACTTTCAACGTACAAAGGAAGCATGGTCCGGCGTTCTTGCTTGCAAGGACCATGTGCTCCGTGTGACCATAATGATGAGATAGCCCAAACATCTCTAGCTCGCACACTACGTCGGTCCATGTAGTCTTGGATTGCCTTGTATTAGCATCAGTGAACATTGAAATATAGCATTGGCATTTAAACCTCATCACTCAATTTTCTTCCACCAAGCACCTACATGCTTATGCATCCCTAGCACAATCTGGGTACAATCCCTAGGTATTCATCCATCAATGTGAGTGATCCTTGTATCGCATCAAATGCCTTGTTGGGTTTCCAGAGCATCAAGAATATTGACATCAACATGGCAAAAGAACATTTTATCTCCAGATCGAGTGAACATGGTGTAATATGGGTATGAGACTAGTGGTCAGGACGGAGGATAACATATCAAAGATAATGAGTAGCATCCTGCTGCATTACTTGCTCTCCAATGCTATGGTACATGTTTCGGAGCCAGTCACTGCTAGGTACTTGCCTACCTAGTTCCTCTTGTTATCCATATCAACCTATTTGTGGTATCTTGTTTTGCAAAGGCCTTTTTCCATCATTGTCCCTTCAGCCACGCCATGGCCATCCCGATTAGTCGTTCATTACCATATCTCACGCCGAGAAAGGAAGCACACAATGAATGTGATATATTTCCTGAATTCGCTTTCTCTTCTCTTTCTGTTCTTCAATACCCTCATCCACAAGGCTGCTTGCTTGAAACACTTTCAATTCTTTTCCCTTTCGTGACCAAATCTTTTGTCCACTGTCAGAGGCATCGTACCCCTTAGTATCCAGCTTGTTATTTGAGCCATCAGTAATCAAAGCTGCCGGCCTGAATCCGACTTTTTGCTATCCTTTGCAAGCCCTGACACTTTAAAACCTGAGCTTCACAATCTTTTAACCTCGTGTCCTCCTTCGGAAGCCCTGCTCTCCCTTGTCCTTCCTGCCTTCTAGGGACATACTTGTTGCCCCACGAGCTGATCTGGATTCTCCTTAACCCAGACTCTTATCCTCAACGCTTAAGGTCAGCATATCCCAGTTAGAACATCCCCTTAAACAGGCGTGCTCTAACAAAAGGTCCAAGCAGAAACGCCCCCGAACGATGGGTATATCAACAGTTCCAATCTCCGCCAGTTCTCTGGCTGCACTGGAATGCACCACGCCCATCCGAGATGGGGATCACATTAGCGTTATGGACCCCTACCGCCTAGAGATCTGCCAGGACCCCGGCTGTGCAACTATCAGCAAGGAAAACGAGCAGCCACGGATCCTTCAACCTTTTCCAATAGTCAAACTCGTTCCCTCAGGCCCGAATTCCCCGGATCCAAACGGCCGTCATATTTTCCTCCACTGCACCGCCTACGCCGCCAACGGCGCTGGCCCGCTCAAAGACCGTCTGGACGGCACAACAATCATACCAATCCAGCAGCTTAACGGGCCTGACGGAAACCGAGAAAACTATTTCATTTTCTCAAATCTTTCTTTCAAAATTCCCGGGAGCTATAAGCTCAAATACACCCTTATCGAGGTCACCAAAGGGCGGGTCTTCCAGTATGCAGTGGCTCGATCCCAAGAGTTCCCCGTGTTCGACCAAGATATAAACGCCCACGGGGTGCCAACATCGCTGCAACTTACGCTCACGCAAAACCGCGAGTACAGGAATTGGTTTTCCCGTAGCTTTGCTGAAGAATCGTTCACGAAGACACCAGGGATCTTTAGAGCAGAGTCCGTGGTTCAACTGGAGGCCCCGATTGCCCATATTTTCAACGGCTGGGTAGTCAATGCGCGACTGGAAAGATTTGGGCCGTATGGCAATATGCAGGTGTGGGAGTGTCGAGAGCCAGAAAGGGAATAACTTCTCGAAAGGTATGGGATCCAAAGGCCTCTTCCTTCTCATCTCTCCCCATAAGGTGAAGCTGGATGCTAACGGACGAGCAAGTGCTTGGTTGTAGGGAATGAAAAAGCTTTTATATAAGCTCTTTTCTTAAGGACGACTCTTTCTTTTCAACTTGGCGAGCATTGTTGTGTTGAGCGTTTCTTGCCTTCTTGTATGATAGATGCTGGAATCAATAAACGAAACGTCGAATTCCCCCGGATATACTGCGTCACCAAAGTGAAACATCCATCCACCATGGTCAAGAAGGGCCGCCTGTTCTGAGAGCCCCGCACATCCAGCCAGTCAGGCCATGGTCCCAATGGCCCTGCATAAAAAGGAATATCTCCCGCAGCGCCGACCCGCACCACGCCTCCATAAGGCGGAGAGTTGACGTCCAAAATAGTAACAAGGCTCGCTTTCAAGCCAACCACATGCTGCCCCGACACAAAGCCACCACACAGCATTCCTCCTCCCAGGTCCCGCGTGCGGTGTGCTCTTCATCAAGATGTTTCTTTTCTGTTTGTGGTGGAGGGTGGCACTGTGACTAAGCCGTGTCTCAGATGGCGTATCGAATACAACGCAATACGCGGCAACGTCACTCTTTGGGCAGGTCCCTGGTAAGTGACCGTTTTAGCCTCTCCACGGGCACCCATCGCCGCCCGCTGATTGGCTGTAATTGTTTCCTCCGACACTCAAACTCTCCCGTACGCGTAATCCCATACCCCCCGGTAAAACAGGGATGTATATTCGGTACGGCTGCTGCTTTCGACATCGCGACTCAAAAAGGCGTCTGGCTGTCTATTTCGCTTCTGGCTTCGACTTCAATTGTTCTGCGCCCGCATCTTTGCTCTTCGTCTTCGTTTCTTCTTCTTCTTCTTCCTCTCTTGTTCTTGCCGCTCGTTACTCAAGGACCTGTTCAGCTTTTATATCTTTCACAAGGGGGCAAAACTCCTGGCCAGCTCGGGCAGATTTCACTGGATAACCTCGCGTTGCGCGGGTTCTGCCATGTATTTGGGGAGTGAGTGATTAGATCACCAATGGGCAAATGTGAGTTTTTCCCATTCATGGGTTTTAACGGCGTCAGTCACACTAACTACCATTCCGTTGTGAATAGGGAGCTACGCCGTGATCTTGGACGCGGGATCGTCCGTACGTCTTGCCTTTTTGTTTCACTAAATATCACACCGTCCCTGCCGGCAGGAACAGGATCTAATAGACTAGAATAGGGGACTCGCGCCCATGTCTATCGATGGCCCGATCCTGTAGTGACACGCCCAAGCGCGAAGTTTCGAAACGTCGAGAAGTTACCGGAAATCAGCACGAATAATGAATGGACTAAGAAAATCACCCCTGGTGCGATCCCTTTTTTATTATGCGATCTTCTAGTATACTGACCAGTGCAGGCGTGTCATCCTACGCCCAGAAACCGGATCGACTGGGTCCCGATCACCTGAAGCCTCTCCTTGACCATGTCCTCAATGTTATCCCCCCTGAAGCGATACGAGAAACGCCAATATACGTCCTTGCTACGGCCGGCATGAGACTACTATCTCCGCAGGATCAACGGCATATTCTAACAAGCGCGTGCTCATACATTCGCGAAAACACGAACCTATCCTTGCCGGATTGCAGCGTTCACGTCAAGGTCATTGATGGGAAGACGGAGGGCCTGTATGGATGGATCGCCACAAACTACCTGCTGGGAGGTTTTGACGAGCCCGAAAAGCATAATCATGGCAAGGATCACCACACGTATGGCTTTCTGGATATGGGCGGTGCGTCTGCACAGCTTGCTTTCGCCCCAAATGCTACGGAAGCGCGGAAACATGCAAATGACTTGATTTTGTTACGTCTAAGGTCAACGTCCGGACGGCCTCAGGAGTATAAAGTTTTCGTGACCTCGTGGCTTGGGTTCGGCGTTCGAGAAGCAAGAAATCGCTATGTCAAGGCGCTGCTTCGGGAGACAGCTTCCTCAGGCACTCAGAAACGTCCAGATCCTTGTCTTCCCCAAAAACTAAGTGCGACTATCGAAGGAACTATCTTACCTGCCAACGCACCAATTTCAACAAAAAATCCTTATTTTGTTGGAACCGGAAAATTTGACGAATGTCTACGACGGACAATGCCACTACTTGCAAAAGATGTTCCGTGCGAAGATGATCCCTGCTTACTGAACGGTGTTCATGTTCCAGCTATCGATTTCGACGTCAACCATTTTGTTGGAATTAGTGAATACTGGCATACGACACATGAGATTTTCGAGATGTCGCATAAAGACAAAGCATACGATTTCAACACATACCAAAACCGTGTGAAGGAGTTCTGCGGTATGAACTGGGACGAAATAAGGAAAGGAATATCCGGGAAGAAATGGGGCAAAAAGGTCAACGAAGAAAAGGCATACGAGGTCTGTTTCAAAGCCGCATGGATAATAAACATTCTCCATGATGGAATTGGCATTCCACGAGTAGGACTTGAGAATACCCAGAGTTCAGCCACGAATGGGACCAAGGAAGTGTTGAAGCATGGCAAGGAAAAGGGATACTTGGATCCTTTCCAAGCCATCCACAAAATTGACTCCACAGAAGTCAGTTGGGCTCTCGGAAAGGCTGTTCTATATGCATCTTCGAAAATGCCGCCTGCGGAGGACACCTTGCCTGTGGGATTTGGCAGTAATGTGCCAGGTATCCCAAACGACTTCCAATATCCTGCATCACCACACGTACCTGTGCTCCTGCCACAACCGCCTCAAGGCTCTTATACAAACAAGACTGGCGATCATTGGCATGATTCGCTGTTCGATGGTGATTCCCCTCGTCGAATTCCAGGAATTCTCCTCTTTGTCTTGATCATTTTCATCGCTCTCTTCTTCTTGTGCGGTCGGGAGCGAAGGTCGCGTCTTTACCGCAAAATCGGTTTTTCAAAGAGTCGAGGAAGTCCTCACAAGCGAAGAGGCTTACTTGCAAAACTCCCTTTTCTTCGGCGTGCTGTATCTCCAACATACGAACGCGTACTTGAAGAGGGAGCTCGACATTTCGAACTTGGAGGTGTAGATTCGGACGATTCCGATCACTCTCCCACAACCGCACTCCATCCCTCAAAATCTGCTCCCGGCTGGGGAAACCCGCATCACCATCATCATCACCCCACGCTCAAATATGCCCTCGACAATTCTTCAACTCATAGCATCGGATCGGCGTTGGAGATGGAAACTATCAAAAATCACGTTGATCGAACGGGGCTCGTCATTCGGACTGAGAGTCGAGATCGACTATCTCCTCTTACGCTTGGTCCAACTCTGAATGGTCGAAAATCGAGAACATCAAGTCCTGTGAGGCATAAAACCCCGTTCTCAAACATGTGATAACTTCTGTTCTTTTACGGATTTTTTTTTTTCAGAATTAATTGTTGGGGTACGGGATCCGACATGGCGTTACCAAAAGCTGAGCAGTTTTCCGCTTTCTCCTTATTTCTTTTAATATTCCGATAGTCGGGTTGGCGTCGGTACTTGGGTTATTAGGGGTGGATCGGGGCGGAAAAAAGGGGGCGGCATTATCAATCCTTATACATTCATTGCTAATGAACATGGTTCGTTCTTCATGGCTTTTTTCCGTTCGACCTTGAAGGAGTCGCTATCAAATTTTATTCAGCTGCGGTACATATTTTTAATTATACTGAATATAGACATATTGACGACATGGGTTATTACCTTACGGTCTGCATCTGCTGGCTTTGTTAAAATAGAAGAATAAACCATTGTAGGCAAATGGTCAAAACTAACGACCAAAATACCAAAGGGCCGCCTTGCTCCCCGACTAATAGATATCATAGAACCTGATTACTAGGCACCTCACATCCCAGAACTCCGCAAGACATTTCTTTAGATGGAAAACCCTCACAATACACCACATTCTAGCGTGGGGAAAGAAATATTGTACCCATCTACTGATCACATTTTCATATCCACGTCTCCTTCCTCATCCATCGCCCCCTTCGGTATCCGTCCCTCGTTCAACTCTTTCTCTAACCTAGCAATTTCTTGCAGACTCTTCGCCTCGCGGATCATTTTCTCCACCCTCTTGCGCTCACTGGCCGTTAACTTTACTCGTACGGGCTTCTCGCCCACTTGTGACGGAGAGTACCCGCGTCCTCCGCTCGCTGTCGTCGTTGCACTGACATCAAACGTGCGCGATTTTATGCCCATGATCTTGGACGCGAGGGAGGACGGCTGGCTGGCAGATCCAAAGAGTTCGGCGGCTTTGGCGCGTTCGGAATCTTTGACTTTTTGGTAGTCGAGGAACCGGACGGAAGGGAGGAGCCAGATTACCCAGTGGCGGTAATGCTATCATGGTTAATCGGTAGTTAGTAGGCCAGGACGTATAAAGTGCGAGCAAAACGGCCCCCCAATGGTGATGATGTTTTTGCTAACCTCCTTTCTCGTCACTGGATTTTCGAGGAGATTCAAGTGCGTCAGCCTCGATAGATTCTTTAGCGGGTTCTATATCCGCTAGTTCTGTGATATTATTCGCGGTAAGAACCAGCGTCGGGAGGTTTGGTATGGATTGCGCCGATTGAACGCTGGATATGCGAAACTCGGTTCTTCCCTAGTAGCAACCTCCGTAGACGTGGGGGAGGAAGGGAAATTCTAAATTGAGAAAAATCCTTGTCGGTGAAATCAATCGCATCTTGATCCTGTTGAACGAAAC